TAATACTAAGTTTTCCACAATATTTATATAACAAATGTGTTTTATTGTGATTACAGAGTAAAGATGTTCAATAGGAGAATTTACCAAAATGTGAACACTTAAATTCAGAGTGAAATTAAAAAAAAATGTTTAGCATTAAGTTTCCAAATAAGAACGAAAGGTAAGTGATTTTTGAAAGAATGTTCAAAACTTGAATACTTTTACAAAAGTGGAGTCCTGGCTTTCTATTTTGTTACATTTTAGAATTAACCACTATCCCAATTTGTCTCTTTTAACACTGCTTAAAGGAGTTCATTAATGTGAAGAATGACAGCTTATCATACACTTACCTCTCTGGTCTGAACTTCTCAGGTGAAGTCCAAAATCGTGGGTCCATGTGTAGAATGTGCGCAGGAATCCCAATAATGGTTCCTTCAGGGATGTTGAGGCCGTGGACCTGGACAGCTTTTTTACACATCCTCTCAAGCCGTGGTGCAGGAGGAATCAATCGCATTGACTCATTAATAACATGGTCCAGGTACTCTAGATTGGTCAGATCCTCATAAGATATGGGAGCCTGGAGGGACAAAGTATAAGGAGCCATCAAACAAACATTGTTTGAGCTATTTAAAAATTGGCAATGAATCACATGACCATGACATTACATCTTTTGGTAAGTTGGTATCAATTTCTTCCTGCAAGGTCTGCATGGCATCAGGGTTGATGGCCAGGTTGTAAAGGATGTAACTGAGAGTGGCACTGGTGGTTTCATAGCCACCAAAGATGAAGATGAAAGCTTGGGAAAGTATTTCGTGTTCAGTCAAACCTATAAAACAAAATACAGCAAAATGTTAGCAAACATCAACAGCTAGAAAACTATGTTCCAAAGCCATTCTGACATTTAATTTTCCTTCAAACAGAAACAGTGCATTTGCTCTCAAGGTAAAATACATAAAGGACAGATGTATAAAGCCAGAGCTCAACTAGCTAAAGCAGCAGTTCTAGCCTAAAGACTGACAACCAAATCCCTCATGAAAATCGTGACCCAAATTTTGGATCTTTTTTTCAACCAATCAGATTTATTGAATGGAAAATAGTGCAGTTTGGACCTCAGATGATATGAAACGTGACGGAATAAAGACAAGGAACAAAACCGGCATGTTTCATAGACTTTTTAGGCTTTCATACTTTCAGAAAACTCCTGAAAAACTGTATGTGTGAACGCAAACAGCTTGGACTTCACCCGGAGTTTCTCCTGACAGACCCCTAATATTTTTTCCGCAGCAAGTCAGAGTGGGCTGATGTGAGAACGCCACAGGATATTCTGCGGAGAATTCACCTCTAGCCAACGGGAGGGGGGGAAGTGACATTTATATACTGTGACTGCTGCACAGAGTGTATACACACGACCACTACGATTTCCATGCAAGTAATTAAACTGCTGCATTATGTTTTCTGTTCTCCAGTATGTTGTTCTCCACTCTTTTATTGATGTTTTGATTCTGTTTGATTACACATAGCATTGATATAAAGGCAAATATTCTCATTCTTGCATGTATAGTGGACTCTGTTGCTTCGTCTGCTACGTCTGCGTTGTTTTTTATGTCACTTTTTACTTTGGGAGACCCCCCGCACCCCCTCCTGTCATTACCAACGTCAAGGCAGTCCTCTTATATGGATCCGAGACATGGAGAGTGACCAACAAACTCCAGACCTTAACCAACAGATGCTTAAGACACATCAGATGGCCTGACAGGATAACTTACAACAATCTGTGGGAGAGAACAGACCATAAGCCTATTAGCCAGGATGTGCTGAAGACAAAGTGGGGGTGGATTGGACACACTTTATGAAAAGCAACAGTCAACATCACAAGGCAGGCACTGGACTGGAATCCACAAGGGAAAGGAAAGTGAGGAGGCCAAGACAGACTTGGAGAAGATCAGTCGAGAGTAAGCCAAGAAAACCGGACAAACATGGGCCCAGCTGAAGAAAACTGCTCAAAACTGAATATGTTGGAGTGGTGTGGTTGCTGCCCTATGCTCCACTTAGGAGTCTAAAGAAACAAGAAAAAGCAGTCCTCCTGAAAGTGCACAATGTGAAAACGGCTTTTGACACTTTTTTTTCCAGTCAATTGACCCACTGAAAATGGCTCTGAGATCCCTTTTTGGGTCCCGACCCACCAGTTGAGAACCACAAGGATATGTTTCAAATCAGATAATAACCTGAAGCACAGATATACTGTATTCAATTTAACATGATATAAAACAGAGAAAAACAGCAATATCTTGAGGATTAAAAACCGATAGTTTTTGACCCTTTTGCTAACAAAGCGACCTTGATGATTTATAGTAATTCAGATAAGTTGCCAAAAACATTTTCTGCCAATGGAAATAAAGGATTAATCAATTTACCATTTCAGCTTCAAAGATCAGCAGATACATTTAAAGTTGTAAAGACATACCTTTACTTGGCTGCTCTTGTTCATTTTTGTCTCTGAATCTGGTATCTCGTTTTGAACCATCACCTGCAGGAAGTCTGCTCGGAGCTAGAACAGCAACCAGCAAACATAAGGTCATATTAATTAAAATAAGGAGAAAAATGTTTTCATTATGTTTGCTAGTTGCAACTTTTCTCACTAAAGCTGGTTTTAATGACAATTGAACATTCCTTGAAATGTGCTTATTAAGGACCGAGCACCAACCAAGAGGACCCTATTGGACCTCAAGGAATTACTGATTCTTTCTTTCTACAACACTGCTCCAAGAAGGTCAAACATATCCATATCAAAATCAGCAAGACTGATGGTTCCTCAGCGTAGCGTAACATCCAGACATCATAAAGGTTTGGAGGCCCATTCAATGCTACTTGCAGTGCTAAATTTTATGATAAAACCAATAACAAAAGTGCCAAAAATGGCAGTTCCTCAAATGGCCATTTGAGGCTTGCTCCGAAAGAAAGTCAGTCACAGTTAAGCCCCATGTTAATAAGCCCAACTTTAATAAGCACATTTCCAAAAATGTCAAGAAATTCCTATAATTCTCTGCATTTTTTTCTTAACACATTATGGAAGACTTACTGATTTTTCAGACTGACGCTGGTCTTTCAATTTCTTTATGATGTTGTAGAAATAATCAACACTGGGTCTGGACATAATTTCAATATCTAGGAGTTTCAACAGACGGGCACCAAAGGGAAATACCACTGAAAAAAGACCACAGGGTTGTTAAACAAACTTATCATCATAGTGGTGCCAAGATGCTCAAATAATCAAATTGTCTCTGAAATACATACTTAATACAAATATTGGCCAAAATGTAAAGTTTAGAATCTTTTTGAGATGAACAACAAGTGGGTCATCTGGATTGTTTATGGAGTCTGCCTCAACACCGAAAGACACACTGGTAATAACGTCCAAACTGTAAGGTGCCATGAATCTAGAAAAGAAAAATAGAGAGAAAGTGTTCTTTTAGGACATATCATGGATTAAATACTACCACGTTCAATGTCTCCCTGACAAACACCGTAATATTAAACTTGTATACAACACATAAGCCAAAATTTCAGATTTTCAGGTTATGTTATATGCTGATGAGACTGCCATATACTGTATATGTATACTGAAGAACTGGACTGTCAGTTTCAACACAGCTGTCGTTTTGGTAATTGGAAAAACCAACATTAAGAACTCAAGGCAACGACTCAATATTTAACGAACACTTTGTCAATTTCTTGTCATTCAAGGGTTCAGTCCTCAATAAAAATAATGAGTTAAAACAAGAATAATAGTCTGTATTTTGAGCCTTTTTTTGAAGTAAAACATGTTAGCCTCAAAGAGAGATTCCAGTCTGAAATTGAAAGGAGGGTGTTGGTCCCCACAAGCCCTGCCTTGCCCTGCTGCAAACACCCTACTATCTCCGGATGCTGTAGCTGACTGACAGCCTGGTCAACTGCTTGCTCTGCGTTCCATTTGCACCCTGCTCAAACTGATGCCTGTGTTAAATCTCTTACTGAAAGTCCATTTGAATATCTTGTGTTTTCCTCAAATGATCACAAATGGACACTAGTGTCTTTCCTGAGTGATATTATAGGTTTTATCTTCTATTGTAAAGTCTGCTAAATGTGTATTTGTGTTGTTAATCTACAGTCATTGTGTACCGTATTTTCCGCACTAAAAAGCGCACCGGATTATAAGGCGCATCTTCAATGAATGGCCTATTTTAGAACTGTTTTCATATATAGGGCGCACCGGATTATAAGGCGCATAGAATAGAACATGTTTACAACTGAACAAGTCTGGGAGATATAAAACTACGTTTTATACGTAGTGCATTCACAATAACTCAACGTTGTTCAAACGTTAATGTGCATATTCACAATATCTCCCAGCCTAGTTCAGTTGTAAACACGTAAAAGAAACACAGTCTGATACCGCTAATTCAAACGTTAGTGCATAACTCAACATTGTTCAGTTACGTATAACACGTAAAGCTCACACGTAAAGCTCACTTTTTCAGTTCATTCCCGTCCACGAATCCCTCGAATTCTTCTTCTTCAGTGTCCGAATTGAACAGTTGGGCGAGTACGGCATCCAACATGCCCGGCTCCCTCTCGTCATTATCCGAGTCAGTGTCGCTGAGCGCCGTGTACAACCAGTATGGATCAACCAATTAACAATTGATCAATATATAAAGCGCTCCGGATTATAAGGCGCACTGTCGTTTTTAGAGAAAATTAAAGGCTTTTAAGTGCGCCTTATAGTGCGGAAAATACGGTAGTTTGTCTTTTTTACAGCCTCATGTGTATTTATGGCTGAGCTTAATACATTTTAAAACCTTTAATAGAGAAGGGAATTGCAAATTAGCTTTGACTATACATGCTGTAAAGTGACATTGATGTCCATGTTACATCCATGTCCAAACACAAATTAACAAGACATATAGTTGTTAGATATGAGACTAACCTGTTTCAGTCTTCCACTGGTGAAGCATGGTGATAAAGAGCTCCGAATTCTTTTCCACCTTTCGTCTTTGACATTTGTTACTGCATCATCTAAAGGTCCTGCCACTGCATTGTCCTGTGAAAATCTTTGGAGTTTAATACACTGAATGCTTCCATTTTTAAAGGGTTTGACATCTGCATCATTTCTCTTTCTCAGACCTGAAATTGTCTGCTCATTGCTGAATCATCAAACTCTGCATGAACTGAACTTTCTTTGCTCTTCCAGCTAGTTTTAAAATACATGATGAACCCCCTTTTTTAGGATCTACATACACTAGATAAGATATAGCAGATTCAATAAAAGCCTAATTTCCTACATGGTAACACAGTCATAATGATGGTTTAAATTGTTTGTATAAATAGTGATTCATTGGACAAAAAATATATATATATTTGAATTGTATATAAGGACATTATTTTACATTTAATTGTATTTATAGGCCCAGGTGGTTTTCAGCATGACCAGTGCAGGCACATGTTTAATAAAGCCACTGATTGGTTTTACTTCTCGATTACGTGAGTTCTCTTAAGTCACTTTAGGAACAGTGAAGAATGACAGTTTTTTTTCCCATTGCCTTACATCATGAGTGGCGTTCTGGTGCAATCCCCAACCTCAAATCCGTACAAACAACAGGATATCAATGCAGATCTAAACTTGTATAGCCTATAAACTGCTGCCAGTTTCTTCACTTGAGGGTTGAGAAATTAAGTGGGAGGTGTTTTTCGACATTAGGCCATCCTTGCATCAAGGTCCTGTGGTTTGTCAGTGTTCCCTACTCTGCAGAGTGCTTCATGGGGTTATCCAAAGTTATGTAATATGATAAATACCAAAAACAACCCTGACTAACTGATTATGATTCATATCTCTGGTTTACAAATTGTACAAAAAGAGAATTTTCTCACCCTGCGGTTGGTAAAAGCTGAGTAGCACTCCTTGACCATCACAGTTTTTATGATCTCAGGGTCTGACACTAATAATGTCGGTGTACGTCCATCATACAATCTGAAAAAAAAAGAATAAAGAAGATTTAGTTTTAAACATCCAGGCAAGCTGAAATCCGTAATTAAATGTGTACTAAAAATAAACAACTAGTCTAATTTTAAGATCACTGAAAAAAATAAAGCCTGTAGCCTAAATACTTCAAACTCCACTTCTTTTCAAGGAGATACAGGAACTATCGAGGTATTGAAACATAAGTCCTACACTTTGAGCTATTTGTTTCATAGGTTCCTCTTTACCACCCCTTATACTGAGCCTGTTTTCATTAAACAATGACCAATGAACCAAAGAGAATACATTTGGAAGGTTATTATCTTAACTTTCTACTTTGAAAAAGGTTGCAGGTGTACATTACCTTGTAAAATGTATAGTCAGTAGGGATCTACACCATCGTGACTATAAGAGGTTTTTAAATGATATAAAGAGGGTAGAGAAAGGTAAAAGGACAGAGGGCTGCTTGACTTGTGAGTGTATTGATATGCAGCACACACACCGAGTAGCATAGTCAGAACAACTTTATTGACACTTCCTCGAGTATCCTAACATCCAGAACAGGATGCACATACTGGGTACCATACCTCTTATCTTGTCATGGTGGTCATGACCTCACGAGATCAGAGTTTTTCTCCCAACACCGATATCACTTGAAGGTCTAACTCTAAACCTTTAAATATTAAATTACAACTCACCCCCACACGTCCCCGTATTTGGTTTGGCACTCACGATCAAAAGCAACAAAACCCTGCAAGAAATGTCATAAAATGTGTTGAAAGTTGTTCAAGGTTACGATATGTAGGGTGAATTAGCCAAATGTGGGACACTGCCTAATGTGGGACACCTAAGCTCGAGTGGGTGTAGGTCTTCCTACAACAAATGAAAGTCAATAAAACTAAGGGTTAACACAAGTTTTGATGTCATGTGATCAAAATAACAGGCCTTCTCAAATGTCCAATCATAGATTAGAAAGATACAAGCTTCAGAAATGAAGTACACAGCATGAAGACCACCCAAAGGTCAGGGACATACTGCTCAGACACACTTAATGTTAAGGATATACATTTCTTATAAATAAAACAATCCTACTTTTTTTATCTGGATGTTTTTTATGATATGCTTGTTCATCAAAAAATATTATATTATATTTTAAATAAATTCTATAATTGTTATTTTAAATTAAAATTTCCTTTGTCCCACTTTAGGAAACATGTTTCCTAAAGTGGGACAGTATGATTTTCCTAATGTGGGACAGTTTTTTGGCATTCAAATATGCCTGTTATGATTGTCTGCATTTCCCGTTTAGTGGAAATAGCATCATGTTGGGTTATGTTTCAACTTGCCTTGTCCCAACAGTCCAGTCCTTACATATCCGTGTCTACGAACTTTAGTGAGTCTTCCTACCTTTCTCATGTAATGCATTGTTCCAATAAAAGGAAGTGGTCTTGGTCCGGGTACTCCCATTTTCTTGAACACCTTAAATGGCCAAATGCCATACCTGTGATAAAATGAAACATTTTTACTTGTTGCGATTTACCGCCAGCGTCAAAAAAACGAAATTGTCAACAACACAATTTGACAGTTATTACTCACAGCATTAGTAGGGTAAAAAACACTGCCAGCAAAGTCCAAGTGGTTGGTGAAAACAAAGTCAAGAAAAAGAGAAACATTTTGCCTGTCAGTGTCAGCCGAGGGAAGGGAGAGCTGGAGCCGAGAACTACGCCACACGAAAACTGAAGAAGTGTATGTAAGCAACAAGCAACCAGGCTTTATACCAAAGGGAGGGGCTCAAAGAGAGTCCAGGAAATGAACAGTGGTTATGTAATAGGCCACAGAAAGGACCAGTGGCTGCTGTTTATGTAGACCAGGGTTGACAATATTTACAGTCAAGCACCGAGGACCCAAACTTGACTTTACCAGACCATAACAGCATTTGTAAGTTATTTTGGCTATTGAATGCATCAAGTCAAGAGCAAAATTATTACAAATTGAAAAAAATAATTGAAACAGCTTTTCACGTTTTAAAAGTGTCTCCAGAAGTCCGTGTTTATTCCTTAATGGATAGTGATACAGCTACAGCTAATAAAGTCAGAAATGACTTGGACTTAGTCTTTAGACTTTCTTTATTGTCATTCAAACTTGTACTTTACAGTGCAGATAAGAACGACATTTCGTTGCATTTGGCTCGTTGTAGTGCAGGATAAAAACAGCAGCAAGTATTTACATAGAAAAATAAGGTGCAAAGAGATATAAAAACAAAAGCTATAAAATTACTATACAGATAAATATATTGCACGTTTGTGATGTATGTTATATTGTATTTTACAGTCCAGTGAGGTAGTCCTGTGTGGGGGTTTGAGGGGGAATGGAGGGATTCTTTTTTTGTGTTCAAAAGTCTTGAAATGAAAAGAAATGGCAGAAAGAGTGGGATAAAGGGGGAAAAAAGGGCAGGCAAAACTACAGTATTCAAAGGAAAGTATGTGAAATGAGGGAAATCAACAGAAGGAAAAGGAAGAGGACATCATGTCAAGAAGTTTTGATCAGCATATGCTACAGGTCTGCACAGTTAAAGTAGACTAATAAATACATGTGCAACAGGGAGATGTAATCATTGAGATCTTCAGGAAACAGTGAAACTTGTATTTGTGAGTTGCTCCAGGTGAGACAGTTTCTGCAACAAGTCACCTTAAAATGATGTCAAATTATATAGTGGGGATAGAAGAGGTATTCAATTTGGACTTGTTAGGTTTTAGGTGTCCGAGCCACACTCCAGTCCAGAGGGGGCGGTAATAGATATAAGAAAGGGGAGGAACAAGTATGATCCTTCCCCGACACCGTAGATAATAAGGAAACACTGACTTCATCGCTTCGTCCCCACATTGCCCAAGTCTTTAAACAGTGTTTTTACTGCTTGTTTTCGGAAAGTGAATCATATTTGCCAGTGATAGAAAGCGGGGTAAGGTACACATACGATGCATTAACATGTTTGTCTTGTTCGAGTATCAAATGATACTAAATTCAAGCTGCCCTTGTCCGTGACGTTAGACTGCAGCTCGGCTCACCTTGTTATGTCAGCTAACAGAGATTACACAGAGATGTCACATCTTTGGGTCATATTTTAAGTTCTCATGTAACTGGTTCGCCTTTATGTTACGTGCATTGGTTTAACTTTCGTGTATTGAGACAATTATCTTGGATTTAACCCCACACCTTTTCTTAAAGTTGCGCTAAGGTCATCTTGGTTTTCACGTTTTAAGGCAATTGAACGCATCACGGCCACACGTCACAGCAAGCTGCTCAACCTTTTGTTGCTTCTTCACTTCAATGGAAACTGTGTTGAACGCTTGGATGATTGTTTAGCTTGAAAGGTTAAAGGGCTGATTAAACATCAGTCAGACATCGAGAGACTGAATTATTTATTAAGAATTGTGTTTTTAACCCCCCTGCCCTGATGAACATAATCCAACAATCATCCTCCTTTATGGTCTCCAATAAAGGAGCCAAATATCCCGAGACTGAAAGTGTGCTTTTGTTTTAAAGCTTCTTCTTTCATAGCTGTAAACAAAGTTCATTAAGAGTGATATGGTTGACTCTTAATATTTACAGTCTGTGGTTGACTCTTAATATTTACAGTCTGTGGTTGACTCTTAATATTTACAGTCTGTGGTTGACTCTTAATATTTACAGTCTATGGTTGACTCTTAATATTTACAGTCTGTGGTTGACTCTCAATATTTACAGTCTATGGTTGACTCTTAATATTTACAGTCTGTGGTTGACTCTTAATATTTACAGTCTATGGTTGACTCTTAATATTTACAGTCTGTGGTTGACTCTTAATATTTACAGTCTATGGTTGACTCTTAATATTTACAGTCTATGGTTGACTCTTAATATTTACAGTCTGTGGTTGACTCTCAATATTTACAGTCTATGGTTGACTCTTAATATTTACAGTCTGTGGTTGACTCTTAATATTTACAGTCTATGGTTGACTCTTAATATTTACAGTTTGTGGTTGACCCATAGGCCTATAGACAAACAACTCTTTTCTTTTTTTAAAGTTACAAGAAAACACAATCTATCAAATAGGCCTACATTTGATCAAACTGCTGAAAATAACTTTTACGGTTTTGACATTTTGCACATTAACCCATCTGACCCTGGAGGGGGGGGGGGGAAGGTTGATGTCATCGTCATGCACTGCTGTAAAATCTTTACAACTCTTGAGTCATCAGTGTTAATAAAGGTCAACAGTTTCTCAAGGCTCAGGAAGTAGAGACTCATGTGACTGAGATGGACCCTGAGATCGATGTTTTCAGTTATTTTCTTTCATTTCAGTCTATTTATTATACTCTACTAGCATGTACCTTATTTTAAATTACGTATGCTATCTCACCTGCGTTAATGTGACTTCCAAAACGGAGAAGGAGTATAGACTTGTATGACACACTGATTAACAGATGGGTCCAATTCCTCTCTATTGATCGCAGTATTACAGGGATATACAATGGTCACGTAAGCGTGGCTAAGTGAATGCAAAGAGATCATGATTTTATGTTAATCTTTGGTATAACGTGTGATTTTAATTGTATTATTTTAATGCTGTTTAGAATGGCACCTGCTATCCTCACATCATCAAGCTGACAGACTGGGTTTCTGTGTCTTTCATTGCAGGGCTTTCCACAGACAGAGTAGCTACAAGGTGCAAAAAGTGTCCAGCTAGGGTGGGTCCAGGAGAAATTGTATGTCTGTTAAAGCCCAACAAGGGATGGCTTCTGGCAAATTTCAATGCCACTGACTACTATTTTATCATGTACACTAATATTTATAAAATCTATATATTTTTTCAGTGAGCTACAGTTATTGAATTATTGCAAAGGAGAATGGTTGGGCTGGTAAAAGTTTCTAGATGGGCAACGTTGGCTGTAAGTATCATATCAGGTTTCATCACTTATCAGGTTTCCACAACAGTACATGGGACTAGGAATCTATGGGTGTCTCACGATTCGATTTCAATTCTTGGGGTCACAATTCAATTCAGAACACATTTTTCGGTTCAAAGCGATTCTGGATTGATCCATGGATTCAAAGTCTATTTTTGAATTTGTACATTCTTCAGGATCTACTCCGGTCATATGAGACTCGCTGAATTTCTTGCTGCTACATTTGGCGTTTTACTGAGTTAAAGCACTTAGCAGGTAGTGACTGATTAGCAATCACCTCTGATGGTTCATATAAACATAGTGAGGCACAGGTAATAGGAGGGGGGGATCTCTGGGTGCTCCTACAAGAAATTTTGAGCAACCAATGCTTAATTCCTGCTTTCTGGTGAATATTTATGCAACACTTTGTTGTGTAAATACAAACAGTTATTCTGTTAGTTTTCACATGGTAATTTTAAAACTGAGCAGTTTAATATACAACACAAAACTCATAAAAGGGGGAGCAGCTTGTGAGTCAACTTTTTTTTTTATCAGACTCAACAATAGAAAAAAGTAAGCCAGCGCCGCATTGTGGCGTTATTTATTTAATATTTTGCTCATTTTAAAGACATGAAGGTTTCTTAAAGATCCATCAACACAGGTATTTTCTACTTTAATTGACTGATGGGATCTCTTCTCAGAGCTGTGGTCATGCATTGATTTTATTAATCAACATCCTCATTATTTTTCTGCTTGATGTTACAACTCACAGACCTTTTTTGTAACTGTGCTTTCTTTTCAGAAATAATCTTCCACGATGTTCCTCACCCTAGCACTGTTGAAGAAAGGCATCCCCGGAAAGCAGTGGATCGGGAAGTACAGACGCCCGCGACCAATCACATGGCAGATGAAACGCAACATGCTGAAGCATCTGGAGCGCGAGGCTGAGAATGAATACTGGATCAGCCGGCCGTACATGACCCCGGAGCAGGAGTACTGCCACGCAGCGGAGCGCAGAGCCCAGAACTGGCTAAAAATTAAGGAGACCAAGTTTGCAAATTTCCCCGAACACAAGAGCTTGACAGACCACCTGAGTCATCTCAACATCACGAAGACGTGGTCAAGTTAATGTGAGCAGAGATGTGCAAAGACTGTCTTTAGAATGAGATATTGTGTGAATTTGTGATGTTTCATTATGTTTAAAAGTGTGAAGAAGGACAATGACAAGTTGTCAACAAAGTCAAGAATAGATCACTTTTACTCCATAAAACAAATCTGTGAACTGTTTGTTATCAGTCTATAAACCCTGCAACAGGACTGTAACTGCTCCACACTGAGTGCTGCTTATTTGGATAAAAACGGCTTAAAAATGTTTTATGATCCATGGGCTCTTATTTTACAATCATTAACAAAATACACTTTCAAGTGTAACCCAGAAACCCAGGCTCCCCATTACTTTAGAAAATCTCTAATTATATGAACTGCTAAAGATTATTCCATGAGGGAAATGGTGGAATTATAAATCTGTCCAGGGAGTTTTGGGCAAAGTTATGTAATTTTAATAAATTTGGGAGGGGGGGGATATTTTCCCTGAAACACCAGCATGCAATCTAGTGTTTTAACATGTTGTGTGTCAAACGGTAAAGCATAATTGTAGTGGAAGCTGAAGTGTTAAATCCTTAATAACTTTGGAGTTAAGAAAACCAGGAAGGGCAACATTTGAATACATTTCATTAACATCTTCTCACTTGGTTCATTCTGTCTAATGTGTAACCGTAGAGGGGAGTCATGTGTTTTTGTTAAGTAAAAGACTTGTGCTTATCGCTTACATTATGCAGCCTCTTAGTCACCTGCTAGTTTATTGAGATTATGGAACTCTGGAGACAGAAAAAGGAAATTGTTTAGGACTTGGACCCTCAAGTGCAATATACTGTTATCAATGACGTCCGATAACATGTATTGCCTGTTTCAGATCCCTTATCATTCAGATACAAATAACTATCTGGCAAGCGGTCGTTAAAATCCTCTCCTTATAAGGACTTATCAGGCATGGTAATTAAAAACCTGGAAAGCACTTACACCATAAAACACAAAGATATCTGCATTGATATCCTGTCGTTTGTACAGATTTGAGGTTGGCGATTGCACCAGAACACCACTCATGATGTGAGGCAATGGGAAAAAAAACTGTCATTCTTCACTGTTCCTAAAGTGACTTAAGAGAACGCACGTAATCGAGAAGTAAAACCAATCAGTGGCTTTATTAAACATGTGCCTGCACTGGTCATGCTGAAAACCACCTGGGCCTATAAATACAATTAAATGTAAAATAATGTCCTTATATACAGGCAGCATTCCTCATCTTCTAAATATAGGTAGGAGGATGGGTCTGTTTTTTATACTGTAGACACTTTGACCCCTCCCTATCAAGGGTTAATCAACTTCTAGAAACTTAAACATTTCATCATTTATTACTATGACTGAAAGTGCAGGGGGACATTTTGATTTTATTTATGAATGGCATTAGTAAACTTTTGTAACATCTATGAATTTTATTATAACATTTGAAACATAAGCCTCACCTGTTGCATTAATATTTGTATCTATTTTTAATTGGTTGAGCAAAAGGCAGCAAAATTCAGATAGCACTTCCCTACAGCTCACAGAGACCTGCTGGTTACCATGGTAGCCAGCCAGTCTGATTTACACCTGCAAAACAGGTTAACCCAACGAGAAACAGTGGTCCACACTGACCATCATGCTGACTGTCTTTGTATTGTGATGGAAATGTGGGCACCAGAGGCTTTATTTAAGACTCGTCTTAGTGTGGGCACTGCATGGCCCAAAGCTAATTGAACAGGATTAAAAAGCTGCAGGGAAAAAAAACAAACTGCTTCTGTAAGAGTTAATGGGGGAAAAAAATCCACATGGCTCAGATTTTCAGCTCCTACGGGGCCCTCACTTTTTGAACCTGACTAAGCATTTAATCCACACAAAACCAACTAACCAGACCACTTCAAGGTCAACTGCAGGAACCTTTCTTAACAAATCAAATAAATTAGAATACCATTTTAGCATTTTCAGTCTGATACATAACCAAAATAACTTCTGAAATTAAAGAGGACCTTGTCTTCAACAACAAAGAGACTCATATGTAAACAATATTTACATCACTAAGTGTTATTTGCTATCAAATTAAAATCATATTTCTGAAGTACCTTTGAAGACTAATGGTCCTGACTAATTTGTTTTATTAAATTTCAGATATCATCTTTATATCACAATTCGTGAGCAGCACTGCTGTATTGGAGATGGCAAAGGCGTTGTAGTTACTACTAGATTTGTGGTGGGTCCCCATCAATAAAATGACAAACTGAGAATGAAAGAATAAAACACAAACACTGCACTCCTTGTCTATCCTTGAGAAATATTGGACAATTCCACCTGTGTGAGGCCTGCACTTTGTAAATGAAGCCAGGGGAAATTGCTAACATTTCCTATCCTATCACAGGCCAGAAAGGTTGGAAATCTCAGGTTTATTCTTTTTAGATGCCTTTAATAGGCTTATCTCGTGTGATGTATTTTGTAAAACTGTAGAGACAATATAAACCTGTAAAATAAATGTAACGGTGCAGATGTATGAAAAGTCAACAACTCTAGAGAAGTAGCAAACCTCAACATTGTAACTAAATACAGTAGTCAGAGCTGCCTATAAGTTTTGAAGAATAGGGGAGGCCACAGAATATCATCACGGCTGTGGCACAAGGAGGGATGTACAAAATCTCCTGAAGGAAGAGTGTTTGGCAGAAGGAGGCAGGGCAGGGCCAGAAGATAATCACAGCTGCACATGGTTGTAAAACTAATAAGCAACAATATGCTGTCTGTTTATTTAATTAGTTATTTGGCTAATTAATGTAGGCTCCACCAACACAACTAACACAACTTGACTGGAACTGAACTGTGAACAAACAAACCCCATTTTCACCTTATCTGGCCAATTGTGAACATTTCTTCACATCACCAGCCACTCTGTATTTTTGTTGATGTAGATTTTTCTACATGTATTCATGGAAGAGTAAAAGTAGGAACTGACATTTGCTTTGCTTTGCATTTGCCTACTGTCAGCATGATCAAACAAAGGCTGTCTGCTGTTACATTTAAGCCTACTGGTATTCAGAAGCCCGAGGTCCTCGAGTTAACAGAAAACTCTTTTTTTATATTCAAGGTTTTGATTTCTGTGTTCGTCTTGAAACTAGTTCATTTAGTCAATGAAATTAAAAAAAACAGTGATCTGATGGGAATGATAAATTGTTACGGTATGATAATATAATAAAAGTCAGGTTATGGGCATAACTCGCCTGTCAAGCACCATTGGGACAAACTTCAATACCGTCAGGCTAAATCCAAATGTTCCAAATCTTGTTTTCTTTCAGTTCCCTCAAGAAAGCTGTATGAAGTGCAGTAACGATTAACAGAGCTCAGTTTTGTCATTAGAGATTTAGAACATGGTTTTATCCGGCAGGTGGCGCTGCAGCACCTGTCAGGGGTCCATGTGGAGCAGCAGAGTCGCGGCCCCTCCTGTGCGGTTAGCTCAGGCGTTGTTTTCGTCTCGTGGATGATGAGGTGAGTGTCTCACTGAAGAGGCGCCAACGCACCGCACCGCACCGCACAGGGCTGAGGAGACACACACACACACAGCCCTTCGCACAGAAATCCACGCCAGCGGTGCAGAGCCGAAGAGACCATGAATACCAGCAGCAGACCAAGGAGGAAAGAATCCCCTGCAAACGCCTGAGCGCGAAGAAGAAGGATGGCGGGGGGCCGGAGGGGACTAGTGGCCCCTCAGAATACTTTTTTGGAGAATATTGTCAGACGGTCGAACGGTAAGGATGAGATTTATTATCATGATTCAATTTGAAAATGCAGACATTGCAACCAAATCTGCCTACTCGAGCCGGCCAACTTATTAACGATAAAAATAAATAAATAAATGAACTCTCACTTTGCGAACATTAAAAAAGTTGTTTTGAATTGAGCTACGCTGCGGGGGGTTTTAAATCTCGCATTGCCCATACATTTGGTTGCCTATTATCATTTTCTGACTTTCTGATGCGAAGCTCCCGTTCCCTGCAGGAGTGTACAGTATCGTCAGGTGCATTCTTACCACAGATTACATAAACCACAGAAGTCTTAATTGAAAAACATATTGGCCTAAACCACATATTGATACTTGGGAACTGTATAGGCTACATTATCAATGCAAACTCGAGTGTGATTATTCTAAGTAATTTCTGTAAGCTGCACTAATGTGTCTCATGTCTTTGATACTCTCCACTGTTCCTCTTAAAGATATACAGTTTGGTTTGAAATTCACTAAGACTTTATTGGCAAATGTTATACCATTTAAATGCAATACAGATATCTATGAATAAGTTTGAAATATGAGGACCAAATCTCAGCCTGTGTCTAGTCAAGATTACTGCATACACTTTTTTATTTTTCATCTTTAATTTGGTGGAACCAAAAAGCCGATAAAACAACAGTAAGTCATGAAACTCTCCGATGGTGGACAACACAGTCATGTAAGCCATTTGATTGATTTTGCTCCATTTTATTGATTTTGGTGAATGTGGTTTAAAATCTTAGAATATTACTTGTAAGATAATTAATCTAACCTTTGATAGAAATAAGCTTGAAAACTTTCAGCGACACACCTCTAAATAAAAGACAATATATCGGCCTACTTCAATAGAAGTAAAGAGGTCTTCTTCCAAATATTGACATTTCCTCCATGTCTTACATTTTAATTTGTGCTGCTACTGAGAAAAATACGATTCATTTTGACCAGTTAGGATAGAAAATACTTTCCAGATGTAAAGAGAAACATAATCAAAACTGAAAATCTACCAAACTCTGAGCTAGTTATTTTGGGATATTTGGGTGTCAGTTTTACGTGTCGATTCTGTATCATTAGATCCAATAGGAAGTGACAGGAAAGACTGGATAGTTATCAAACTAGACAGCTAGCTGTGAAACACAGGACCAGCAGCTCCATGTGTGCTGTAGTGTATGTGTCTTGAACCACATTCAGACACAATGTTTGACGCACACAAGCTAATTATCTGGCTTAAGCTATAGTGACTTCTTTATTTTTTGAGGTTTGGTTCAAGTAAGAAATTGTATTTTGAAGTGAAGAAAAATGTGTGTGTGTGTGTGTGTGTGTGTGTGTGTGTGTGTGTGTGTGCGTGTGTGTGTGTGTGTGTGTGTGCGTGTGCGTGTGTGTGTGTGTGTGTTTCTATGCACTCCAAGGGCCTCACAGTGAGCCTGGCCCAGTTGCACATAGCTACATTAAAATGTGTTGTGACAGAAGGGAACAACTTGTTCATAAAGGGTGAGCGCTTCTCTCCAGAAGAAGCCTTTTACAAGATCAGTGTGAAGAACTGGATCCTTATGCTTAATGATATCTTAAAAAAACTCACCCTCTAAACCAATGCATATGTTTTTCTTATGACCTTTGGCAATCTGTGGATTAGTGTTAAGTAAAATCTTCTAACTAACGGAGTCAGGACTTTAATCACTAGGACGCAGTGAGAAGCTGAAGTGACTTGCAGTGGTGGTGTGATCACACACAATGACATATTCCTTTTTGTGTAGTCATTCGTTTTTAAATATCCCTTTGCACTACATTTTGATGACACTTTTTAAGATTAACTTCACTTTCTTCCAAAGTCTTCAGTTTTTTCATCCTCTGGAGACTAAGAAATGTCTCCACAACATTTCATGGCATTCAACAAACAGTTATTGAAATATTTTTAGTCTGGACCAAAGCAGAAAATGCTGCACAGTTTAAACTTCTTTCACTAATAATGATTTCTGTGTTTCACCTGAGTGTCAGTAAATAATGTCACAGAACAAAACGGACAATCCAGGGTACCTAGAAAAAGAAAATCTCCATAAAATGTAGAAAAATGTGCAAACTAAGCTGCTCTTGGAATACATATCTGACACCTGCAACCGCTTAAATCCTCAAAATACATTTTTAAGTGGGCCTCAAAATTTGACTTACTATAGGCTATCATGAAGCTGCAAAGCCGTATTATTGAAAGGTGACATGCAGAAAAGAAAAGTAGGTAGAGAAGACAAAGTTAATTTGTCAGATGAAGGAACTGATTATTAACAACATACTTGCAGTACTGGTCTCATTATGTGTGGAGCAGCAATAACAAGTAGAAAACATAACTACGACATATCACCTTTAAAGCTGGTACGAAAGCCTTAATGTCAAAATTTGATTATCTTTCAAGGTTATGTTAAGTTCCATTCATTTGTGTGGCATAATTTTCAGTGAACTTTGTGTGATGTTGGAGTGAAAGCCATGGAAGCACCCATCACATTTTGGAGAGGATCTAGATTAGATTAATTTATAATCAATAATAGGTGATAGGAATCCCGAAAAAGGAATCTGATTTATGATCAAGCACTTATACTTGATTGGATTCACAAACCAGCATCAAAACTGGACTTTATTCATGAAAACAAACAGTACTGTACTTGAGAGTCACAAATAAGCAAGACCGTCTTATCTCTCTGTGCTCACTATAATAAACATAAAAGAAGCACTTGGAGTTTTTTGTCTTGCCAACTGCTGAATTTAGTCTTATATAACTGTCTTTTAGCACACGATTCAGTTTCCAATCTCCTGAAGGAAGAACGTCAGGCTTCTTAGCTGCTGTATGCTTAGTCAGCAGCTAGTCACTAGCTTTGTCATGTGATGCTAACTAGTGAGTGTAAAGTGGGATTTTAGAGCCTTTTCCTGTAAAAAAAACAGCAACCAACTGCTACAACCTTCTTGTTTAATGTAGCTACTCCAATGGAAAGGCCAGTTTTAAATTCCCGTTTGCAATTGAAGGCTGTTTTCATTTTTTAACTTCCTGCCCAGCCCCAAACCACAGAACAAGTTTTCCACTTAATGTTAGCTATGAAGATTTATATATTCTCTCAGTAGTTGCAAGAGAACAAAAGAAAAACAGCTAAGTAGAGTTAATATAGGAGTTTATTGATAATTAAGATTTAAATAAACACATGACTAAGTCACCACAACCCTGCTAGATGTCTACATGAGCTAATGTATGCTAAAGAATTAGCTGCAACAGGCAATAGTTGTGTATCTTTTGTTTCTCCTTTTTGTTGTCACTTTGGTCCGACAACGAATTAATGCAGTTTCAGTCTACAGTAACTATAACACCTATTTTCCTAATGCCTAATTATTTAGTATTTTGTACTAATTGAATGACTCAGTCAAGTTGGCACATTTTTAGATGTTAGCATTCAATCAGGTTAGATTCACAATGTGAGTATTTTCAACTTCACCTGCTTGCTGAAGACACCTGTTTCTCTTTTGCTTGACACTCCCATCTTATTTTCTGATTTTTAAAAATGTCTCTCACTGTAATATGTTAACTTTCTTTTCTTTTTTTTAAATATTTCAGTTTGGACACTGTCACATAGACAGACAGGTACTACAAAGTTTAGTTTGATGTGCTCATGTTTTCTCTACTTCTTTGTAATGTACTTCTAAATGTTCTATACCAAATGCTGTTAATTTACAAAGTCACACATAAATGAATTAACTTGATGAAAATGTTGGTGAGAAGTTGCTGCAACACAGCAAATCCAGGACTAATAACAAGCATAACTTTTTGGACCTAATTCTTATTAACTCAGAAGATAACTCAGAGTTTGTCTGATCATTGTAAAATAACACGTTGGCATGGAACGTCTCGTGCATTATATTCTATCAATCTTCTCATGCTTTTGGTTGTCATTTCAATGTATTTCATTTTGGCGTGATCAAATAAATGTTTGTATGTGTGTGGGTGTGTATGTGTGTGTTCATATGTGTTCCTTCTGCTCTTTCACCCCCGGTGTTGTCACATTGTTGAATGCATAGCAAGGTGTTTTCTAGGTTTCATACCCAGTTATCATAATTTCTCCTGTCCCATTTCAAATCATCACATCTATTCCTTTTTCCTTTTGCGAAAATTGTGTGAATAGATTTGATTTTGTTTTACTTGTAAGTTTTGCTTTTATGAATAAAAATTAAAACGTTTGAGATATGTAAGCTTTTGCCCCAAGCTATAGAATAAAAACACGTTTTTACATAATAAAAAATGTCTCTCAATAATTTGAATTTCATTTATAATGTAAAATCCAAACATGCTGATGTGCAAATGAATAATCAAATCTGACACAACAGTCACAGCACACAGCACAATTGTTTGAAATATAAACGGTCTGTTTTCATGTTGTAATCATAATCATAATGAGACCAATAATTTAAGTCCCCACCTTCAAATGTGTTGATCAGGTATTTGAAACAAACATTTATTCAACATGAGAATATGTTTAGATATTATGTCGTGGCTGAGATTTTAAAATGCTATCAAAGCAAAAGAGATCAACAAAGTGTAGATGAAAAGAAATTCAATGATTGTTTAGGTTTATTAATATTCATGCCATTAATGCGTTTTGCTTGGAGGCCCTGCTAACATTTAAATATGGAAATTAAGCCATATGAGAACTAATGAACTCCTCTCTGTGACATTTAAAATTTGATGACAGCACACATTAATACTTATAGACCATGCTTACTACTTTGTCTTAATAATCACTGTTATACATTAGACTTTTAAATGGCAAACACAAGTACTAGTACCTCCCCCCCAACACCTCTGATACTCTATTCACAAAAAGTTGTCAACTGTCAAGCAACTGCTAATTAAAGAAACATTTTTAGATAGTTTTTACATGAGAAGATTTTGTGTCTTCACACCCCGTGAAGAGTGTGTAATGGGCTGTAGACCATCACGTACACTAATGAAAATCTTTATAGTGTCTTAAGTGTCTCCTAAAGGCAGCGTTACTTAATCTTTTTAATGATAGAGGAAACATTAGAAGACAGATTCAGTTCTAACAAGATAATTGATTTAAAAAAAAAGAGTCAGTAACTACATAATGGGACTACCAGGTTGTGTAGCCATGAGGAGGAGATAACCTTTCATATAAACATTCAATAAGTCACTAATTGCCCCCTGATATTTGAAATGACCTGCCAACAAATGGCCAAATATAACTGCAGAAGCCCTCTTTTTTTAAACGTTTTATTCTTTCTTGAAGTATTGGCCATCAATTACACAGTTAATGTTAACAAATATGCTGAAGGAGGTATTTCCTAGTCACCTAAACACTTGTCATGTCTTTCTGATAGTACCATTTTAAGGTTAGACAGTCAAAATCGTCAAATACTAAGTTCCCCCTTTATCTGCTTCTTAGCTGTATTTTTTTCATTACATCTATAAAATGTTATGTTTTTCTTTATGCAGTTTGACTAAAACCCTGACTTTGAAATAGATCAAATATGATGAGATTAAACCCTTTCCCAACAAACCCTATATTTTATACGTGTTATTGTATTGTTGTTTTTAGGAAACGCTTCACCCCCTCCAGTTATGTGCCCCTTCTCTTTGCCGTTTACTTTCAAACAGATACCAACTTTGTCCTGGGAAACGCTCAGATAGTGGACTGGCCCATTGTCTACAGCAATGACGGTTTCTGCAAGTTGTCGGGGTACCACAGAGCTGAGGTGATGCAGAAAAGCAGCACCTGCAGGTAGGCCAGAGTGTTGGGGTGTTTTTAGTACAGATGGGTCAGGATTAGAGAGGAAGGGGAAACTGTTTCACAAATGTATTCACTTTCAAGTTTATTGGTCACATAAACCCCAAAACCAACAAAGCCTTCTTTATAATACAGGATTATAAACTTTTATTTAGTCATAGCTTTATAATGTAACGTATGAGCTGAGGCTGATGACATTTCAGCTGGATATTTTGATCAAAGTAAAAGAGGAAAAGTTTTTATTTTCTTTAATATGTACAAAAATGTCATGTCGAAACAGTTGTCGGTTTTTGGGGATTATACTTGTAAAAATAAATGGCAACATGATTCTGGCATTTAAGTAAATGTCCCTTTGTGAATGTTTTTTTTAGTATTCATCCTCTGAGAACCATGAATGTCTGTGCCAAATTTCGGACCAATTCATCTCATGGTTTTCAGACATTTAAGATTTCGACCAACTGATCTGGGAGCCACAGAGTAACCTTCAATCTTTGGACTCACTTTCAATATTATATAGAGACCTTATAGCTCAAAGTGTGGATACAGGTGACATTCCTCTATGGGTTTGCCATACTAATGATTAATATTGACAAAAAAAGATCTCAGTTTTGGAATTCTCAGGCCTCTTTTTAAAATGAATTATTGTTAGGAGCCCCTGAATCGACTTACTCCCTCCAGACTGGCATCTTATCATCACAAGTGGATGTAAAATTGTATTCTGCTATGTAGAGGATAGTGTGAATACCACTTGCATGATAGTCCCATAATTTAAGAGTAATTACAGCAGATAGCTTTGACACAAATCTGTGATGTAATCAGGTTGTAACAGCTGAAATTGCTTCCACTTCAATGACTGCAGCAGTGAAACTTTAGACAGTTTGCCTGAGGTTCTGTCTTATTAACTGTTCACATAAAGCCACAAACTGAACTCTTTAAATGAGAAGTATTTGTTCTCCGATGAACAACTTCTAGACTAGTGCTTTTATTGCCTGTAATCAGCATGTCTGTAACCACGGTTTTAATAGGATGACATGGAAACAGTTGGTGCTGCCAGATTTAAGAGCCGTGGGAGATTTCGTGTGTTGTGGGAGATGGAGTTTGCCACAGCCAGCACCGCGGCTATTACTGATTTAGACCCTTGGGTCCGTGAGCATAAGCTTCAGAACACTTGCCAATAGAAATATTGAACAGAGTGTGAAGATTTGCTTCAGGTTTATTTTTAGGTGGCTAAATGGATTAGATTAAGTGCTTTTAAAAAGAAAGGAAAACAGACCTAGAATCATCTCACAGTGTTTGACATCCGTATAAATGTATAAATACTACCGTAAATTTCGTGACTATTGTAAATGAAAGCGAGCTAACAAGTCTTTTGTACCCTTTTCTGGAGGCAGTGGGGAAACATGGAAACAGTATTAAACAACATAACCAAAAACAGTGATCAAAAATCTGAATATGATAATGTTAAAAAAAGAAAGAAGGAGGTTGTCTCTTAATTGAATGTATGACTGATAAAAGGAGGTTATCATTATAAGTACAATAAATATACTGGTACACTTTATGGATTTAGTGCATCAATTCCTTGTCTACAGAGGATGCTCTGTGATAGTTTGATGAGTCCCTTATTCCAGGAGAAGACCAATACCAGAACAACTAATGGCATCATCCGTCACCCTTAACAACGAAGCTGTGGGCGCCGGTGGCCGAGTGGTTAGTTTTTGCGCCCCATGTACAGATGCTACTGCCCTCAAAGCAGACAGCCCGGTTTCTAATCAGACTTGTGGCTCGTTTACCAAATGTCATTCCCCACTTTCTCTCTCCCTGATTTCTGACTATCCACTGACCTTTCTCTGTAATAAAGGTTTAAAAAGCCCCAAAATAAAAATAAAACTGAAGCTGAATATTTAGCTTAAAGCCTGCTCATGGTGGTATCAGACCACACTGTAGCCCAACTCCACTGACACAGGGTGATGACCTGAGTCCATCGATGATATTTTATTTGCCCTCCATATGAAGTTAAAGATGTGTACAATATTGAACTATAGGACAATCAACTCGTCTTGACATCTGCGAAACGTGTTGTCATTGAGTCATTGAAAATGTCTTACTATGATTGGTTGGGAATATGTTCAAACCGTTATTTCTGTTTGCTGTGATGCAAGGAATTTATGAATCTGTAATCAGCTAATCTGATGGTGATCAGCGGTGATGTCATGAGCTGGCTCAGGAAGTAAAAACAAAATGGGGACAAAACACCATGTTTAAGTTTTAACTAATTCTTTATTCAACCAAATCAGACGAAATGAAATAAACAAACAATACGTTATTAACCAAATATGTCAAACAAATCTTTATAAACCCAAGTACACCAGATAATATATTTACAATGAGGTGTGTAGGTGAGAAAAGTCAGTGGTGTGTGACGTGCATGAGTAGGTGTGTGTGGGTAGTTGTTCCAAAATGCAAACATAACAAAAGGTAGGCCTACATTACATAACATTCTCAAACCAAAAATACAGTATACCTGTGGAGAGGGTCCCAGCGGAGAGAGAGATAGAGAGAGTGTACGTGTGAGAGACTGCAGGAGCTTAAGTAACTTCAGCACACTGGGCCAAGGTTTGCTGAGTTACTCTAATTAGTGGGCTGCAATGAAGCCACAGGTTAGAGACACACCTCCAAGAAGACAACAGTGTAGTGAAGACACTACTGGGGCATCACAGTGGTCATTTTAACAGACACAAATAAAACCGGCATAAGTCAAGTTTGGATTCACAGAGTTCACCGTACTGTCAGGTAATCACTGCAGACTTTCATGTGTTATCCCTTTAAAATGTTGCTTTTGGAAGGTGATGATGCTTGTTGTAATCCACACAGCACACTCTGCTGGTGAAAGAAAACTGCTAATGTAATACAATATTACTATTTGACTGGTGAATAAATCTAGTAATATCGGCACATATCTGCGATAAATCAGCAGATACCGATGGTTAGTGGATATGCTAATATCGGCCGATATTATCAGCTGGCCAATGAATCAGTCGGGCTCTAGTATCAATGCATTCTGTCATAAGTCTTCAAATATTCTTCTATAGTTTGAATCATTTAGACTGACGTTTTTTCTTTCATGTAAAAAAAAAAAAAAAAAACAACTTTGTAAGCGGGATTATCAGCCCATAAAACATTCAGATGGTTTGGACGTTTGATGGTTCTGAGGATGACTCAAACATAAAATCATTCCCCCAGAGTGTAGATGTCATGTATCTGAGCCTCTCCTCCTTCAGAAGCATGTGGATCAAAGATGCTATCGCCAACTAAACTGCATATACTTTATGTTTGTTGTCTATTTAATTATGTATATGTGGTTTTTTTTTCTATACTGAATCCCGTAAACATTCTGTGACAAACCTGTGGGACTTTTTCAGGCATGATGAGAATTTGTGATGTACTGTTTTCCTTGAGGGGCGACACATTCTTAGCCATTCAGAGAAGAAGACAAAAATAACCTTGATGATATTACATCAAGCTTTGGTATAAAAAAAAAAAAGTCTCTACAGCTTCAGAACGTAGTCTCATTAAATTTAGCCTCCCTTTAGTATTTCATAACAAACTCTGAGTTATTTTTAGATCATGCCTGAACAGGCTGGCAGCGAGGGTGGCATTATAGCAAAGTGAGATGAATGTCTCTGCCGCACGGTTTAATGCGCTCATGGATGTTTGACCTGTCCTCAGGTTTAATTTGTTTTTGTAAGGCACTTTGCATTTGGTCAATTAGACACCAGGCTGCATTTATCTTTTTAATGCTTTCAGGATACATTTCAGTGAGCTTTAATCTGCTTCCACTCTATATTTAATACCGCCAGTTCTGCAGTGAAACTCTCTGGAGGTCTCTTAGTAGCTATCATTTACTGGTCTGTCTAGTTTAAGTTCAACTCTAAATATATATCATTTCCTATGTTCAGTTATTTGCAGAAGATATGCATTTCAATGAACACATGGGATTAAAACTGTAAAAATGTGAAGAAAAAGCAATAAAAAAAAAAACAAGAGGAGAAACTACAATGAAACCAAAGGGGTGTTTGCAGCTAACGTATTAAGGAGTTTATACATTCTAGCTTTCCTCAGCACTGTGTTAATGAAAGTATGAGCATGCATGATGAATGTGCCTTCCTTTGTCTTTAAAATATATATTTTTAAAATGTCCCTCTGTGTTTTCCAGCTTCATGTACGGGGAGCTCACGGACAAGGACACGACGGAAAAAGTGCGGTTTACGTTTGAGAATTATGAGATGAACTCCTTTGAAATCCTTATGTACAAGAAAAACAGTAAGTGTTCTGTGCCATATGCGAGGGAAAGGAAGAAAAATGTAAAGTTCTACTCTCTTGAAGTGCAAATATATTCAGTGGATGTAAGGTACAGTGGAGTTCAAAGGCAGAACCAGAGCATTTCTACCTCTGTAGAAAAGTGCTAATTGGTTGAGAGCGAGACCAGAGAAACCTTCCCCAGAATATACAGGATGTGGTGCTGTGTTTGTTTCCACTTGCAGGTGCTTGCAGGAAGTCGACGACACTTTGGTTTACACTATGCCATCAAGCTTTCTGTGCACACTCATCATATCTCTAAAAATAAGTGGATAATGCAGCAAAAGTGTGTCTTTTTTGTGTACATTTTCAGGGACTCCAGTTTGGTTTTTCGTGAAGATCGCTCCTATAAGAAATGAACAAGAGAAAGTGGTCCTGTTTCTCTGCACCTTCAGTGACATCACAGCCTTTAAACAGCCCATTGAAGACGATTCTTCCAAAGGTCAGAGTCATTAAATGAAGTGCCTTGTAGCAAAAAAAAAAAAAAAAGGGTTTCTTCACTGAAACTGACAAAATTACATTCCACCTCGGAGTGAATGAAAAAAGGAAACGTAAAGAAACATCCACCATACTTCACTTGGCTCAATAAACATCTGTCACATTATGAAGCAGATGTTTGATCTAAATCTGTGTATGTGGTGCTTTTGAAATGTTGCAGAGGTTACATTAGTCTAGTTTAGATCATCATTGGACACCGCATTGTTCATCTGCTCTGGCAACTATCCCACTCAGACAAAAAACACAACACAGAAAAAGTTATTCACTGAGGGAGTGTTTAAGATAGAACATGCAGTAGTGCAAGTGTTAGACAACAGACATGAAGAAACAAATACAGAGAGTTAAATTATGAAATCAAGTCTGCTCTGCTGAAGGTTATTGCATCAGCAAATACTTCACATTTATTCACCATATTCACACAGCGGCCATTTTACACACGGGAAAGCAGATAAAAAGCTCAGTGCTGTCATTATTCCAGGTTTGCAAACTGTATATATGTATGAAGTCTTTATCATTGCAATGCTTTGGGAATGCCTATGAACTGAAAGGACAAAAACAATGTATAGTGTAAATCTAGAGGCATATCAGGCAAAACAAATATCAGCCGACTTTAAAATTCAACGACTTCATAGCTTACATCACTGTTTGATGATATCACATGATACAGTAGGAAAGGTGTTAAATCTCTGATGATGGTATTGTTGGCTGGTAAACCGTAATGTAAGCTAGGAATGGAATGCTAAAGGTAGCACTTGTGTGTCTTAGCTGCTGAAACCTTGAGTTACTAAATATTATAATTGTATTCTACTGTTTCATTCTGATTTGACCTGTTGATCATCAAGAAGAAATTTCACTTAAAAAATGTAATTTCACACCCTGAGCATTAGATCAGAGGAAAATGTCCACAAAGTGAATATGTTGTATTGGGAGCAGTTTCTCTAAAATGGGTTGTTGCCCACTGGCATAATCTGAAGATTTCCTGAGAGTAACTGCTTGAGTTATGAAGCTACTCCAAGAAACACATAAAGTTCCAGTGTTAACACCAAGACAAACCCTGAAGTGACTAAATGCAGCCAGTGGTTGATGTAGCAACCCAACATACAACGCAACAACAAAAAAGGTAGAGGAAACTGCAGTCTGGGGTTTAATACTAATTATAGAGTCAAAAGGGAAACATAAAAGTTTAGACTATTATGTTTGTCCATTGTTTTTTCAATGTGCTTTAGGACATTTCTCTTGGTTATCACAATGATGGTACACATTTAGTTAAAGTTAAAAAATGGCTTTTGCTGCTTTTGCAAGTCCTTTTGAAGCCCTTGTTGTTCAACGTACCTGAGCAATAATAATAATACGGTCTGATAAGCTCACTTATCACGTGCTTTGTAATTGTTCAATACCAAAAAGATCATTTTCAGACCCTGATTCTACAAGCCTTTTCACAACTCCCACAAGCCTCACAAACATGCTGTTTGCCCCAGGAAATATCCAGTCCAAAGAAAAAGGTTTTTTTTTAAAAACAGCCTGTCAAAGTCGGGGCTTCCTGACTGTGTTTCTAATCCTCAGGTTGGGGAAAGTTTGCCCGACTGACTCGAGCTCTAACAAGCAGCAGAGGAGTCTTACAGCAGCTGCAGCCCACAGTGCACAAAGGGGAGAACGTTACCAAGCACTCTCGTTTAGCTGAGGTATGGAGGAACGCTGCATGCTAGAGACTTCTTCTTTTTTTTTTTTTGCTGTTAAGCATACAACTGTGCTGTTCTGACAAGAGCTCCAGGGTGACTGTTTCCCTTTCTGGAATTGTTTGGCCTTATAAGACTTGTTTGCTCTGAGACTTAATACAGTCAGGTAAACCAGTAGTGATAAATCCAATTTTCGAGTTCTTTACTGATCAATTTTTTCTTCACTGAAAACTGTTAAGCCTACCTCTTGTTATTCCCATGATGCTTTGTGTTGAATCTTTTGGCCAATGAGAAGCTGTGTTGCAAACTTTGCAGAGAACCAGAAATTCAGTCACTGATGTGTGCCAGTGCTCAATTCAAAAAGTCATCAAGGAGTGAGATAGTCATCCCACAGCTAGTGGCACTGCAGAAGAAAATCAGTGATTAATTGACTGAGATCTTTATTGCGAACATGTTAATGGACAAAATAAATAAATAAACAAAAAATTGCAACTGTGATATAATAATACGTTTTCTATGTAACATAATGAATTGAACACTGTAAATGTAATCCCATCGAGATTCTCTTTTGAAGTTTTAACATTGTAACTGACAATGTTTACACACTTCAAATTGTGTGCTTGCTATTTTGACTGATTTGAAGATTAAAAAGGATTTTGTTGCTTCAAGTACCAGGTGCACATTTTTATCTGAAAATAAAGCGTATTTTGTTCGAATTTAAGTCATCCGCAGCCTTTTTTGGTAACGATATTTACCATAGTTTTAATCTTCCCTTCCTTTTTGCTCACTCTTCTTCTCTGTCGTAGAATGAACCATCAGAAATATTTATCCATGCCTGTATAGATGATGCACTTATAGGTAGATCTTCTATACAAACCATATACAAATGTATATATGCTCATTCTGACAGTTAATGTTGTTTTTCTTCAAAACTATCAAATAAAAAGTATTTAAAAAAAGATATTTACCATAGTTGCATTTAGTTGCAATACGTTTTTTTTATATTATTTACGATTTAGTCATTTTGAGGATTTGAATTTATATATTATTGCAACTATCCCCCAAAAAAATGCAAAAGAAGGGACAAGAATTGTTTGCCTCCTGCTCTATATTTATCCATGTGCCTCTTCTTTTGGCAGGTTCTGCAGCTGGGCTCAGATATCCTACCTCAGTATAAGCAGGAGACCCCCAAAACTCCTCCTCACATCATCCTGCACTACTGCCTCTTCAAAACAACATGGGACTGGGTCATCCTCATCCTCACCTTCTACACAGCCATCATGGTACCCTACAACGTCTCCTTCAAGACCAAGCAGAACAACGTGACGTGGCTGGTGGTGGACAGCATCGTGGACGTCATCTTCTTGGTGGATATTGTTTTAAACTTTCACACCACGTTTGTAGGACCCGCCGGCGAGGTCATCTCGGACCCCAAGCTGATACGGATGAACTACCTGAAGACCTGGTTTGTTATCGACCTGCTGTCCTGCCTGCCGTATGACGTCATCAACGCCTTTGAGAACGTCGATGAGGTGAGAGCGCTGGTTCTGTGTTTGTGCTTGAACTGGTACATAGAGCTGGAAAGAGACAGCTATTGATATGTTGTTGTTGTTACATTTGAGAATTTCTCTTTAAAAACACATCTTTTAAAGCTTTGCTATCAGGCTTTTGCCTTTAATTTACTTAAAATCCAAGAGGTGATCAGTTTCTAAGGAGGACGACACATTACATTTGTTTCTATTCAAGCCTGAACCACATTTTAGAAGCACCCTGCATCCCATCCTGTACACTTTTTTTTTTTTTTATAGTGTCAGGGAAAAAAGGAGCGGCATAATAATATGCTTGTTTGTGAATAAATAAATTTTGGACCATAATGAGGCAGTGTGTGCTGGAGAGCTATCACAGGATCTCGAGATAATTGGCACATTTTAATTGGGGGAAGGAGTGTTACATTATTAAACTGAGCCACTCTGCAGTCCTCTGCTTTGTCACTGATGCCTTAAAACCATTAACACCTTATGACAGCTGACAAAAGCACTGAATCATGGGAACTCCTGCTGTGATTAAAAACTAAGCGGTGTTGTGTTTTCAAACCTGCATTTTGAGTTCATTTTAAGTGATGCCATCTACTTATTTTATATGTGAATAAATTAGACTGTGTGGTTTTTTGGAAGGATTTCTAAGCTTTTCTCTCTTTTCACATCCCTTTGGGAGGTTGTCTATTTTTTTGTTCATAGATTTCTCATCTTTATGTGTGTCATTGAAGGGAAAATAACTCAAACGAATGCTTATTACTTCAAGTTTGCTGATGAAATCTATTTAGAAAAAAAGCCACCTTCTTATATGTCACTATCTGAATGAAAACACCTCCATGGTCTGAATCAGGTCCAAAACCTTTATGTAGAAGGAGCATTTTCCACACACTTAAAACACGCACACAAACACTCATACACACAATAATAAAATGGAGCCTCAGGATCCTGCACTTGCTGGATTTCATTATAATAATGCATCCTTGCTTGTGTTTGTATTAGCCCGCATGTGCTTACATGTGTCACGCCTCATGATGTGTGTGTGTTATTGCGACAGCGTGTCCATGTAAAAATGCTGCAGTAGCGTTTAGCGGTGTTGTGCGTCACACTGAGAGCTCTGAGGGGCAGCTCATACAATACAGAGGAATAAGAAATGCTGTGGTAATGCTTTAAAAAAAGAGACATTTTGGTGGCATGGAGCGTTGAGTTTTATGTGCAGGTCAAGCATTTTTGGCCCTTTCTAGTCTTTCAAGGCTTCAGCATCCTGAACGCTGACAAGTTCAACTGGCCGGGGCGACAGAGAGTTAGGGGTCAGCAGAAGGAAGAAACAACCGCCTTTTGGGATTTAAAGGGTAGCTCTGGTGTTATCTGATCTTGTGGGGGGGGGGAAAGTACAAATTCATAAATAAATAAGAAGTCATATGAGTTTGTGAAGCTATCTAAAGAGCGTGTCTTTTCTTTCTGGAGACAAAGTAATGCATCACATTAACCGCAGACTGTCACAATAAATGTCTTGGCGCATTAAAACTTTTGATTGGGCAAAAAAATGAATAATCAAGTTTGTCAGTTTGAGCTCAGGGAAATTGTGATATGCACTTCTATAATTTGAAAATTCAAACTATGATTTTTTTATTAAGGGAGACCTGTTAAGTTTCTGTAAAAAAAAAAAAAAAGAGAAAAAAACATTGTCTGTATTCTGTAGGTCTAAGCAATGTAACAATAATAAAAGACCATCAAAACTGATTTTCCCTGCATCATATACACCTACGCTCCATACGCTCACTTGTTAGCAGCCTTCTTTTCTCCTGCAGTTATACTGCTGCATGTCTGTTACCATCATTACCTGTTGATCAGTCAAGCAGTGTAAAAGCATCAGAAGGATTTAATCTCCTTAAGGGACCCACATGTAGAAAAACTACTCATATCATTATCACCAAGTAAGGCCAAACACTCCACTGGTAACCAAAATATCTAATATAATAGGCAGGTTGGTTGTAAATGTTTGTTTCGGCCCTAGAAAATTTCCCATAATGCACTCAAATGTTGAGAACAATTAAAATTCTCTAACTTCAGAGCCGAGTGAGCAGACGGAATAGACGATGCACTTTTAGCAGAAAAATACCAAGAGATTAACTCGTGCTTTTGAAATGTCAGAATCTTGGGTTAAGCTTTGGATAATCTTATAAACAACTTCAATCATTTAACTTCATTCACCTTAGTGGAAGAAAAAAAAACATCAATAGTGAAAACAATAGTTTTTTTCAGCCCTAAACCCTTAAATCACAACACAATACTTTTGTTTTCTATGACTGTGAGGCTGGAGTGTACATTGAGCCTGGGATAAGGTTATGAACACATTTACTGTACAGCGACATCCATTCCTGCTATATGACCACCGCTTCCAGGATCATCCTCCAGCTTGTCTCTGCATCATCTCAGCGACTCCAATATGCTCCAGATTGCTGTGAGGCAATCCATGGCAGGGGTAAATGAGAGCGGGTAAACAATTGCTTGTGTTATTAAACCTGGCACTGAAACATCTTTGCTGCCACTGCAGACCTTAACGACAGACATGAATAACTTTGATGGCTGTTTCCCCCCCCCCCAACAGGTTTCCAAACAGGGGAGAGGAGATCATTAAGAAGGAGCGGCTGTCAAAGTTATTCTTGGCAATTTCAAAGCGCCGTACATCAACTTGAGACTGATTGAACTTCACAGTATTTGTGTCATTTCAGTTTTTAAAATCTACTTACCAAAAACAACAACAGCAAACAAACCCATTGTTATTGCTGTCCATGTGTTCTAAGAAAAGCCTGGTACAGAATGGCATGCTTTTGTCATACTCATGCTGTACAAACACAAATTAGATGCTTTTTTTGATCTCTTAATTATGTGTTAATTCATTGCTTACTTCTGATTTTCTGTCTTATTTGTGTATTTTTTCTTCTTTTGCATCCCTCCATTCTGTTTGCATGGTCCACCCATCCCCCCCACCTTCCTCCTCTGCCTGTATTCATGCATGGGACGTGATGGGAAGAATTGGAATCACCGAGCTGTCACCCAAGTAGGCTTCAGTTTGATTAGAGCAGTTTTGTGTTTTCTTTTGACTTGTAGACACACCTTTACACCCGACAAAAACGTTATATCCACCCTCCATGAAAGCTCTGACAAAACGCACTACACATCCCCATTCACTCCTGCACCGACATCTCAGCTGCTGTGCTGGATGAGAGTACGACAGCAGAAGCATTATTGCGTGAAGTAAATGTCACAGAAAGCAAGTTAAGATTTGTGCTGCCTGCTTTTTTTTTTTTGTTGTTGCTAAGGCTCTTCATTGCCTGGAGATGACAACAATCTGATTGTGCTCTACACTTTGAAAATGAATTACGGCTTCATTAAAGCTGCATGAGAGCTGATTCAGTCCTCTAGTCAGCGGTTACATGCCATTTGTGACAAATATACAGCAGCAATGAGATATTTAAAAATGTCATCCGGGCATTGAAATAATGCCTACACAAAGGGAGTTTTGAACAAAGTGTGCTGCATATTTTTTAAAAGCCCCTTCTTCTTTAAGCAACCTTTTTAAGTACTTGTTTTCCTGCGTGTCTTATTCCGTCTATGGAAAATGAACCCATTGAGATCTCTTTCGCAAGGGTGACCTGACCAAGAGGGCAGCAGAACACGTTATAAATAAACATTACATGAGTGAGAAACAGTTTACGAACAATGAGCTAAGAGCAAACAACAGTTAAGGGACCAATATGTAAAATATCTACTGAATTAAATATTAAAATTGCCTTACTTTATCATCAGACATTAAGGAAACATGCTATGTAGGAGATGAGAGCCCAGGATAACAATGCTAGGCTAAGCTAACAACTCTGGAATCATCTACTTATCTTACTTGTGAAAAGAAAGTAAATACTCAAGGGACTCTAAATTAACACATATACACTGTTTAAAACATTGACTTAGTCCCAGTGATATCACGATTGGTTTTTAAAGCTGACTTTTGATTCCCACTGATGGCAGCCGCCATATTGAAAATGCTGTCTCGTCAAACTTTCAGTCAATCTAGAAACAGGCAATAAAGAGGAGCTGAGGCAGACCTTAAGCCTCCAGGCAAAGCTAAAACATGCTTACCTGTCAGTGAACTCAGACATGTTCTAATTATGGATAAATCTTAGCCTTCATATCATAAAAACAGACAAGTTGTAAAAAAAAAGGTTATTCAGACTCAAATAATGGTTTTAGTCAGGCTGTTAACATGTTTATTCTTGTGCATGGGATTTCCAGGGCTTTTGGGGCCTGATCAGGTTTAGGTATAGAGCAAGATCTGGTTTTAAATTTGGAAGCTCTTTCCTTTTTTGCTAGTCATGTTTACTTCAGCTTCGTATTCTGCATAGCCTACCAGCTATCCAGTCTCATTTAGCTTTGTACAAGAAAGCAAATAAGCCTTTTGTCAAGCAGCAAAAACCTGTCTCGAGTTAGATTCTCTAGAAATCCCGGAAGTGATGGTCATACCTCCTGAACTTGTGTTTGTAGAGTTTGCAGAAGGGCTTAACAGCGGTATTGCACCGCTAACTGAGTTGTGTTGGAGCTCAGCTCTGTAAAGAGATTTCAGAGAAGCTGAGGTGTCTGGCAGGCAGCTGGATCAGATCAAGTGACAGTGAGCACTGCAGTCGTACTCGGATTGCACACAACAGCACATTAGCTAAATCAATATCCCTCCAAACACACCCACACACACATACACGCACACACACACACACATACACGCACACACACACACACACACACACATACACACGGCCACCAGCAAACTGATGGGATTGTCTGTTTGAATCACTGAGTGGATGTTTCTAGCTGAGTAGACATTTGGCTCCTTGTTATGTAACTGCTGCTTGTAAAATTGTCATGTTGCACAGAAATGGTAAATGTAAAAAATATAAATCAATGTTAACACTTTGAATCTTGTGGTTGTCTCAAAGTGTTTATATTCTCTATTTTTGGTTTAATATCCGATTTGGTAGGGAGACCCTGATAAAAACAAGGAAGAATATTTCCCAGATGTTTGTTGTTGGTACTTGTATAGAATCAAATCATCACAATATCACTAAGATTTAAAGTTTCATTTTTTACTAACAGCTGTCACCTTATTCTAATGTTTGATGAATCTCAAAAATAAGTCTAATTACAAATAGGTAATAAGTGGGAAATTACGGGATTACAGCGGCAAAGTCATCTAAAAAAAGAAAAAATGAAATAGGAAAATAAAAACATAATTACTCACATTTGTGACTGTTCTTACACAAAGAGCAGAAATATACTCTTAAGAGATACAAGAAGACTGCTTGGGAAGCATTTTACATCAACATTAAGCAAGTATAGAGGCATTTACATGGTTCATAAAATACAAAAACAATGAACTGGATATAGAACACTAGTATATTATCACAAATTACTTAAGTAATTAAAATACCTTTTAGCTGCTTACAAGTACATTACATTTTGTATGAAGTCATGAATTCGATCAAAGTGGTCATTAATGCCTTTATATTAAAGTCTAACTGTATGTAAAAGTTCTACAGGTTAAGATTTCTGTAAACATTTACTTCATACATAAATGAATATGTTACAAAGTGTTTCTTCCTCTCTCTTTTGTCTCTTTGCGCTTTTATTCCTGTTTCAGGGGATCAGCAGTCTCTTCAGCTCACTGAAGGTGGTGCGGCTTCTCCGTCTGGGTCGGGTTGCTCGTAAACTGGATCACTACATTGAGTATGGGGCGGCTGTACTGGTCCTGCTGGTGTGTGTTTTTGGCCTGGCTGCTCACTGGCTGGCCTGCATTTGGTATGTTCATGACATTTTCTTTTACTTTAAAAAAATAAATGTCTTACCTTTTCACTTGGTTGTAATTGATCATCATCTTCCCGTATTTCATCTTCTCTGCACCCTGTCTCATCATTTTTTCTAGTTTATTTATTCATAAAAATGTCAAACAATAAAAAAAGATTTAAAAAACTGCCACATGTGATAATAGAGTGTTAAAATAATGCAAATAAATTACATATCAAATTCTGATAGACTGCTTTTAAACTATGACTGACATTTACAGTAGAGCAAATTAACATGGAAAGGCCATTGATTAAGGTAATTAGTGCATTCATTAGCAGTGAACTTTCTGTCAACATGCTTGTTTCATGATTAAAACTGCATGTTTTTGGTAGAGCCACAAAGTGTTGTAATGGTTTGACGAGAATTTGTTGAGCCTCATTAATATGCAAATTTATGGAGTGTTGGCCTCTGAAGTCTAATCAGATCAGCTGCTCTACAGGGGGGGCAGAGTGAGGGAAGCGTTAAGTTTCCATCATGTGCTTGTTTATAAGAATGTCTAAACACAAACACACACTGACACCGATACCATCATGAATGTTTTACCTGCGTACTAAAAGTGGTTATCAGTTTGATAATTTTCAAATCTTGACTTTGTGGATGATTTTGATAGATTACTACATATTTCACTTATACAAAATAGATACTTTTAAACGTTTTTATGCACAGACCAAGCAGATTTTTCTTATTGATGACATGACATGGCAAACATTTGACCTTTTCCTCAAAGGATAACACATCCTTGTAATCTATCTATAATCAATGGAAAATAAGCAGAACCTTTTTTTTCTGTCTACAAGATTTCAACTCATGTTCACAAACGTTGTTCACAAACCTTGAGGCAGCCGAAACACACAAGAGGCTCTAACCGATATCATAAACATTGTTTTATTTGCCCAGACAGTATAATAAAAGATGAATGAATGAAACTGGCATTTCTCCAAAAAACAGACTCCAAAGTAATATAAATAGCTCCTGTATTGTTTCCCGTCGTGTGGTTTCTTTGGTTTCCATGGTCACACACAGGGCCACGCTGTCAAATTGAGAAAAGTGAAACCATCATCAACATGATCACCGGGGTAGTAAATAAACCCTCTCTGATAAAAAAAAAACAAAACACTTAATTTCTTTTCTCAGATTTTTTTCTGTGACTTTCCTCTTGTGAAATACTGCTCAGTTTTAACTCTTCGGGAATTTTAAGTGATTACCGCTGGGAGACATACATCCTGTGATTCTATGATGGGGGGGGCTAATGCATTTCAAAACGGACATTTATAGGATTGATTCCTTTTGCATGCTCAGCACAACAATGTAAATCCAAAACAGTCACGGAGGAAGGAAAAAAAACAGGAAATAAATCAGAATTTTTCTGCTTTCTCAGCTGTTAATTCATAATGTGTTGGATTTTTCCCAAACTGGTTTTCTCAACAAAATGACAGACTCAAGCAATTAGGCTGCTGGGAATGTCAAGGTTCCCTGAGATGGATGGTTGGCTGGATGGATGGACTGACTGACGGACGGGTGGAAGCACCATTACTGTCAATTCTAGTGTACTGTACAAAACAATTGGATGGCTGTTCTTACCAGTGCAGATAGCGTGAGAAAAAAAGACAACAAAATGCAATCTCTAATTTATATTGAACAGACAAGTTACCATACCAGGCTGTTATACCATGTCTTGTATCCTTTCTATAGAACCTCAGTAAACGTTCAAAGCACATTGGCTGTTGCAATCCTGATGAGGGACTGGCAACATGGACCTCTTCTGAATTCTCTCCCACTCTTACACACTTAAAGCACCATAAAAAAATAAATTTCCATCAGCCAATGATTTATTCGTGTTGAGTGCTAACTACCCAAATTAGCTTACTGGTACACTTAGATGGTTAAGAATAGCATAGATGATACGCCAAGATAGGTATCATTGTATACATAATGTCTGCTAAATGTAATCTATTAGCTTAATCTATCCTAGCCCTTTATTTGCATTGTGCCACACATTTCTAGTTCCTTTCTACAATTACACTTTCAGACTTTTACTCCATAAATCCGCTGTCCGCATAACAAAAGCATTTGCTGTTGCAATGAACAGCATTGACTCTCAACATGGGCCTCTGGTGAATTGGGTAGCCAGGACAGCATATGAATAGACCTAGGGAGGCCATATTTTCAAACAGCCAAATCGGGAGGTGGCAAGTGGCAGGCAAAGCTGCCCTCCTGAGCAGCCCGTTAAAGTTGGTTGTCATGGTTGTTTCCCTCATTGAAGTAGATAGTTACAGTAGTACCTCCAGCCTATACCCAATGTTTGTGTTTGTTTTTTTTTAACTTAGTTTTTATTTCAGATTCAACAATTTATACAATAATATTCACAGTTCTTCAATTTTCCTTTTTTGTTTACAGCTGTATCTATATGTTTACAAGGATAAACACAACAAAAAATAAAAAAAAATAAAAAAAATAAAAAAACAAGACAGATATAACTTAACTCTATCATAGGGTAAAAAAAAAAAATATATATATACATATAAGAGGTGTATAAAAATCCATATAAATAATAACAAAAGGAGGTAAGAGTCAAGGGGGGATTGCGTGTGTCTGTGTGTGTGTGTGTGCGTGTGTGTGTAAGTGTGTGTGTAAGTGCGTGTGTGTGAGTGTGTGTGTGCATGTGTATGTAATAGCTTCAGCTTAGAAGCAGTACGGAGATGGCAGGGTTCCATCTTTTCATGAATTTTTCTTTCTGTAGTCTCAGGGTGTATGTTATGCGTTCCATGTGGTAAATTTCCAATACTTTCCCAGTCCACATACTATATGTCGGAGGGTCAGGTTTTTGCCATTTAGTTGTTATACATTTGAGAGCTGCTGTAATAAGATATTTTTTAGCTCTACCATCAATGCCTATTGGTGTTAGGCCCAGTAGTGCCACAGTTGGATCTTTTGTAAACTTTTGATGGAATATAATTTCTAGAGCTTTAAAAACCTCCTCCCAAAATGTTTTTAATTTTGTACATGTCCAGAATATGTGGGTATGGTTGCCAATTTGTGTACCACAATTTCTCCAACATGTATTAGAGTATGCTGGGCCCATTTTAGCCACTATTACTGGCGTCTGGAAGAATCTCATTATTACCTTCCACTTGAATTCCCTCCATGAATTAGAATTGGTTACAAGATGGGCTTCAGGTGTTTGTTTTTTTAATAAGGGTTTGCATGTCGGCATTTCCAATGTCGGCTACTGAAAATGGACACTTGCAGTGTGTGCAAAATGTTGGATACTTTTGCCTAGTACTTTTTGAAAAAGCTGTAACTCTCCTCTCCTGGAGATATTTGGAATACTCTGACTTGACAGCTAGCTTACCTATCGTTACACAGCAGGTCCTGTTAGTATGAGAAGTTTAGGCTAGAAAACTAACAGTCGCAAGATTGATTAACACATGAACAGACAAATCAGTATTTAACTTTGGCTGGTCTTGCATTAGTTTTGTCTTTCTATTGGTGAAAACAGCATCTGGGATAAGGACAGATTAGTGTTTTATAGATATTTGTGGGACCCGGGCCACATAGCTTGAAAAGGGACGGTCCAGGTCAAATCAGGACATATGGTCACCCAGTTTATTCCCATGAACCTTTACTGAACTTTGTGTTTATTGCTGACTAACTGTAGCAACCTAGCTACTGCTTAACTACAACGGTAAACTTGGTTATAATATTGCAAAAAAAAAAAAAACTCATTTTAGAATTTCTTACTGTGGTAGTGCTAATGTTAGCATTTACATGATGTGACTTTAGCCTCACAGAGCTGCTAGCTTAACTGTGTGTTGACTGCTAGTTTTTGTCTTGAGATTGTGCCACTTATTTCCCGTTCCTCATTACATAATATCTCTAATAGAAACTAATTTACTAACCTATAATTGTGAGATTCAATGTCTAAACCTCTAAATGTTTGTTTTCTGTATTCCTGCCAATGTCTGCTGTTCCTCTCTCCAGGTACAGCATTGGTGATTACGAGGTTATCGACGAAGAAACCAACATAGTTCGCATGGACAGCTGGCTCTATATCCTAGCTGAGACCGTAGGCACACCGTACCGCTTCAACGCAAGCGGCTCAGGGAAGTGGGAGGGAGGACCAAACAAGCACTCTGTCTACATCACTTCCTTGTACTTCACCATGACCAGCCTGACAAGCATAGGCTTTGGTAACATCGCCCCGACGACAGACGGAGAGAAAATCTTTGCTGTGGCCATGATGATGATTGGATGTGAGTGGAGCTGTTTTATCTTCCATCCAGTGCGGCAGATGCATGAAACATGAGGAGTTTAACTATGCTCTTTAAAGCCACAATCCACTGAGATAGGTGAATAAATGAATTATAGATAAAGCCATCCAAGTTTGGAGATAGAACTTTACAGATGATTAACCTGAGCAATATTTCTAACTCTGCTGTAGCCTGGAATTTGCTGCTCAGGTTGAATATATTAGCCTATATTTCATTGTCAGGACTTCTGACTGCAATTGGTATTTAATTTTTACTACCATAGGTCGGGGATTCAATCTGTCTTTCTCTCAGCCTAAGGCCTACCTCAGACTCCACTTCAGGAGGTGGACATTTGAATATATAAGTGGACCTTTTGCAGACATTCATTCAGCTTCTCAACTACAATGATTTACCATACAATTAGACGTAGCATTATGGGTGGGTTTGGGTTTTGCAACTGGTCCACCCAAAATCACTTGAAAGAAATAGACTTTCCTTACTTATACTTTTATTTATTCATTCATATGTGATAAAATACAGCCTAAAATACAGTTTCCCCTAAAAAAAAAAAAGGAAGCAAATACATGATAATTATTCAGCTGAAGTCTTTCCCAATTAAATCAAGCCACTTCGCCACCCAGTCTTGTAGAACTAGTGCAGGCGCCCTCGTGTGCACATGATGTTTCTTTGCTCAGCAGCAGATTGATCCATACTGGACGGGGGGTTCTGTTAAGAGGACAGAGAGGGCTACATGTGAAGGACAGGGAATCAGTTGTTACCCAGGTAAACATCTGTCATCTTCTCAAGGATATATGTCCACCTTTCCTTTGTCCATCTCATCCACAGTTACTGCCACTGATTATAGTGAGAGAGCCATGTCTAGTTTCATAACTGTAAAAAAACTGATTGCCCCTGCCTGGTTTGATTGTCTCTCTAATGTGTTGAAAGTACAAGCAGACTGTTTCTGTTGAGACCAGCTCATCCCAGTGCGCCGTTCTCTCTCTGAGCAAAAGTCATTGAAGCTCTCCGATCCACAATCTCTCTCTCTACTTGCTATTAATATAAACAAATAATGATCAATGCATATGATCAGAAAAGAGGGGATAACTTCTTTATAATTTAAATAACAGGGTTGTAAAAATAGCAATAAATAATCAAGATAATATTTTGTACATGGCATTTAGACCAGCATGCTTTACTTATGAGTGCCAATTCAAATATTAATAGTGTGCAGCTTAACAAAAAGCTGCCTCTGCATCGTAAATGTTTTAGAGGAGAACTCAAGCAAGTTCTTAAAAGTGTGGAATACAGTTTGGGCCCATTCATTTAAATCCTGGCGCTGCGCCTGCCTACAATATAGAAATATTTCACAAGTTTATATACTACAACGAACATGTGTTAAATAATGCCAGGTTGTATATGACTTTTAACATGTGACTTTTTACAATGATTATCTATGGAGGAGAATGTGAATTTGGAATGTGCTTTTTGGCTGGACTGATATCTAGTCAATTTCTTACTAGAGTTTAAAAACGTCATATTTTGTAAATGACAGATAGAAAAAAAACATATATTCTGCCCCCTGTGGAGGTGTCTGTCATAACAAGGTTAGCAACCAAGCTAATGTGCCTGCCGTCACACATTAAGCTAGTTAGTCAAATGGCATTTAGTAAAAAATGGTTGGCAAGATATTACTCTACTTAGTCACAATAGGCTAGCATGTTATTGGATAGCCCAGCCACCATAGGTTACCTGCAAAAAGGTCCAAACATCAACACATTTCTACAGCCAGGTAATATCAATACATATATATACTTTGTACAGCTGCTTTATCATCACATGTCTCAGTTTGTCACATTTTTTTGTCGTCAATTTTCATGGATGCAATGGGACAAAGCTCTGATTGAAAAACCTTTTTAGATCACAGGAAATAAGATTTGGGCTGGTGTAAAACTGCCTAACAAGTATAAGAAGCAAACAACAAAAGAAGGCTGAGGTACTTAAGAGTGATATGGCTCAGAAACTGATTTGGTAAATGCAGTGAAACATTTTATCAGCAACACGTGAAAAATGTTCAAATGAAATTTTGAGACGTCTCTAAAAAGCTTCCAATTGTCTTTAACACTATTGTGTAGCTTTCAACAGTTTCCCTATCTCTCCAGTCAAACCACATTGACACAGCACAGTGGGAGCTCTGTTATTCTTGCCTACATTAGTCTCATTACCTCAGTCTGCTGTTAAAGGCATACTGTACTGAATTATTGAGATTTTCTGAAGCAGAATGCATCATCCACAAAGGTTTACAGATTTTCTGAAATGCCTCAGAAAAATGAAACACAGATGAAACACCGAATAAGAAGGCTAATCCTTAGAGAGTAGTGTTAAGTGAAGCATTTTTTTTTTTACCAAATTGTGTGGCTTACTGGAATTTTGTAAGCCTGAAAATGTAAAGCATTTGGCATACTGAGTCATCAGTTAAGGGAAACCATCCTTTCAATACATAAAAATGAATAAGCCTCAACTGTGTCGTTTTCTGTTCCCTGTTGTGGTTAACCAGCAGGCAGAATTAGCCATTTTGCCCTAGATATAAATAATAAAGATATTGAACTTTGTTACGCTGCAGTCGAGACACCCGCTGCTGCTGCTGCTACTAACTAACAAACCATCTCACATGCTGAGCAGGAGGACGATTTTCACAGTATGTCCTTTCTTCCCCATCTCAATATTAAACATTTACAAGATATCTCCAGCTTGTGTGGCTCATAATTTGCTGTACAGCACGGTGCCATTATGTGTGATTGCACGTGGCGAGCAACACCTCAAAGCAATAACTGACAACGCCAGATCAATTTAGTACAGTGCTCCCTGTGATCCCTCTGCAATCACTCCTCACCTCTGTCGAATATCTTTTTTTTCAACCACAACCCCTACCCTGAGGCAGGCACCGATTGTCCCCATCTCCCTTTCCCTTTATTGGCTGTTCAGGTTTATGAATTTACTCTTGAGGGAACCCACAAAACTCATCTGCAGACTTGTCTAAAAATGTCCTTCTTGAGATTCAAATCATCTTAAAGCGTAAATACCTCAAAAAGCAGACAGCCCTCAGGAGGCTTGTTGTAGATGCAATCTACTGTAGTCCATGGCTGTTCTCTATGAAATATGAATGCCCTGATACTGTTCTATTTTTATCATCAGCACTGGATCGGTGCTGGCAGTAGAAGATCACAGTGTGACGAGGGATTTGGGAAGGGGGGGCTTTATACATATGTCCTGTTTCTATAGCAACTGTTGGCCTGGGGCTTGTGTTTCTGACTACTGTCTCTTAACTACCTTCAAATAAGCCAGCTGTTGGATGCCGAGGAAGGCTGGGACGAAGTTGTGCACGTCAGCAAGAAAAGAGCAACGTTGGGAACTAGATGAAGGGCTGTTCCACTGGGAACGATTGAGTTTCCTTTGTTGCAGCTTTTTACTGCTTATCAGAGGAGTGAGGATTGCCATCTGCGCTCAAGCATGAGGTTCGATCATCCGAAACTTTGGCAACTTCAGAGGGAGGCGACTGTCAAATCATCTACGATTTAATAGGCTGAGACCTCGTCTTGCTCTGTCGACCTGCTGATTTTGAAGGATATTGTATAAACAATAGGACCCTTTGGTTGTAAGTGTTGAAGAGTATCATGCTGTACTGCAATGCTTGAGAACATGGCGTAACAAATGAGCGTCAGTGATGAAAGGAGGAAAGTTGCGTTTATCCTTGCCCTTGAGGAGTTGTGACTTTTTAATTAGCATTATTCCCTGTGCAGTGTTTCAACACTTTGATTGTGCACCGTGAAATAAACAAACATGCACACACACACAAATAAAAATGCACAAACAGGTTCCTGTCATCCTCAGAGGATAATTGAAATGTGTGGCTGGTATGTTTCCTCTCCGTCCCTTCTATTAGGGCTAATTAGAGCTCCATTGCCAAGAGAACGCTACACACACTGAGCAGACATGTGATGGCTTTGATCCACGCATACGCCAGCTGTTTCACCAGTTCATCCACCTCAGAGATACACTGCTGTACTCTTTCTTTTCCTGTTCTTTTTTTCTTATCTCATAAGACAAGACTTCAGATTTTTTGCTGGGTGTAACTGGCTGAGGATGGATGGTTGGACAGATTCACACACACACACACACACACACACACACACACACACACACACACACACACACACACACAATGCAAACCTACTACAGTTGAAGAGTTTTGTTGATTATATTTGGAGGCCATTATGAGCTGTTATGTTTTATTTCTCTCCAGACAAAGCACTCATGGAATACTATTAAGTCTTAATAGTAATAGCTAATTTTGTTTGCTACATGATGTGAGATAGTAAATAGGGCAACCAGTATCAAAGAGAATACATCTTTTTCCAGTCTGTGAGACTTTTAAGCCCACATTCGGGGATGTTTTTGTCCTTGGAAAACCAGATGTGGATTATCAAATCCCTTTATGTCCAATTCTTGAATGCCTTTTGAATGAACACAAGCGATGTCCTTATAAATGAATCTCTGGACAAATTAAAGTTATTTAAAAAATAATTTGAGACTTATGAGCACTTTTAAATTAAGTTCTGACTTTTTAAACGTCTTTGTAAATCAGTTAACTAAAAAAAGATTTCTAAGTCCTGATTAACAAAAGATTTAAGATTTCTTTATCCTTGAAAACCAGATTTCTTTTTCAATGAGGTTGTCCCTTTGGGTATTCTTTTGGTTTTGTAAACAATGTTGGAGACTTATGAGTCCTTGTAAACTAACTTTTTGATCATTTTTCGTCCTTGAAAAACTCAGATCAGTCATGATCACAAGTTGGTCATGATAAGCAAAGGGTTAAAGATTTGTACATCCTTGCAAACCCAGTGAGATTTTTATGTCCTTGTAACCCTGATTGGAGTTTTGTGCTTTGTGCATACAGTTTATGGGCTTTTCATTTGTTATTTCTTTCTATGATGATGCTTTCAATTTTCTGTTAACTTATTTGAAATGAAACTTCTACTTTTTTCGTTCCTTTTTTTCCACAGCCCTTCTTTACGCCACCATCTTTGGTAATGTGACAACAATCTTCCAGCAGATGTACGCCAACACCAATCGTTACCATGAGATGCTAAACAGCGTGCGGGACTTCCTCAAGCTTTACCAGGTGCCAAAGGGCTTGAGCGAGAGAGTTATGGACTACATTGCCTCCACCTGGTCCATGTCACGGGGTATTGACACTGAAAAGGTATTTCAGACTGAGCCATCAACAGTAGTTCACTTAAAGGGATACTTCACCCGTTGAAACATGAATCTGTATTGACATTGGGTCATATATGTAGTAGAAATGTGAAATACATTTTGAAGTTGGTGCCTTCTTGGCCGAGAAAAGGCAGAAAGTGTCTTTTTGGCTCATGGGGATGAAAGACACCAAATCCCAGAATGCACAGCACTGCAGGCCACTCCCACTAAGGTCCTCTATTTTAGAATCAGAAATACTTTATTAATCCCAGAGGGAAATTCAATCGTTACAGTTTCTCCAAAATATACAGTATAGCAGTAGAAATATAGAAATAAAAACATTTACAGACATATTTACTTCAACACATGAGGCCATTTCCTCAACTGATTCTGAGATTTCTTCCAGAATTGATCTTGGAAATTCCTGGCAGAAAACAGACTCTATGTCTGTGTCCATAGACAAACAGTGAGAGCACCGACACTACCAGTCTGCCCCAGCTCGAGCCGCCCGGGCTCCTCGTCCTCACCGCCCGGCAGCCAGCAGCCGCAGCAGCCACAACACAAGACCGGCCTGTCGGCAGCAGCCGTCTCGCCGCTATATTTATATTTTTTCGCCATTATCAGCTTTCTCCATAGAGCCTGTTTGCATAGCTTTCAAGCAATATGGCGGACGTTAAGTTTCGATTCTGGGAGTGAAGTTCCCACTCACTGATCTGTGATTGGTCTGTAGCTTCAGTGGTCTATAATATGAGGAACTAGCGTTGTAGTTTCACACCGCTAACTGCAACAGCTTCCAGTGACGCAAAAATCGTCGTTTTGCGTCACTGGAAGCTCCTTTTCAGACTTAGGAATACAAAGATTTCCCATCCCCGGGGAAAGTGAGGGCGGGATGCACTACCATTCAAAAATACTACCAGGTTTCTAATGATACAAAGCTTGATGCAAATGGGTGAAGTATCCCTTTAAAGCTGGTATACTTCTTTTGATATCAAGGGTTTTTTTTAACAAACCACTACCTCCAAATGTAATAATTAGCTCTGTGAGAAAAGTAAAAATCTTTGGACAGAGCCAGGCTAGCTGTAAACACTGTTTTCCATCTTGTGCTAAGCTAAGCTAACTATCTGCTGATAAAGCTTCATATAGTAGACCAAGTGATGCATGATGAATATTAATATGATAGATCCTCAAATCATCTAAAGGTAGAACAATGCAAAAAGAAATGACAATGAACACTGCAAAAAATGAGAGCTGAACTGAATCTGTGATGTGGCTCAATTTTGTATGAACATTAACAGAGCAAATGTATCTTTGTTGCTCTTTTAGACTAAATATAGTATCCACATTTATTCCAATACTTACACAATAGCAGACTTAATCAAATGTTCTACATCAAGTAACGTTCTAGGCTGTTAAAGAAAATGACTCACTTTCCTGGTCTTGTAGAGTCATTGCATTAAACCCACCCCTAACATAACAATTGCAATTTGCCAAAAAAATAGCCTGGAAGGCTGGTTATTGTTCAGCAGGATCATCTGATGCATCTGACAGAGACTGCAGATTTGATACCCCCAATCCTCCCATCCACTCCACTGAAATGCAACCGTTGCCGGTAATGCTCCTTGAACATCACATTATTAGTCATTTTTTAATGTTAACTTATTTCTGGAAAACTATCAGGCTTATTCTGTGGCAAAAATTGAGCTGCCTATTATCAAAACCAGTTGGCGTTTTTTTGCATTTACGGCACAGTAATAGAGCGTCCCCCCTGCCACCCCGCTGAATTCAGTCGATGCTAAAATGATTTGAGTGTGTGGAAATTAAGCAATTTCAGCTGCTGCAGAAAGATTGAGCTGGTGCCACTTTGACTGATGTGAAGCCAGAAAGAATTCATATCACTGAATCCCATTTAATCCATCTGTCCAAAATCCAATTACGGGAACAATTTTATTTTGTCAGCTCAAATAAGAAGCAGAACCTCTAACAAGGCAAGGATATTGTCTCCAGGAAAACTTGTGTAATCGAAAGGCTAATCTGTATTTATGTGCTCAGGGTGTCTTTTAAGTTATGCTTACACTACATCTATGTGTTATTTATTTGTGCTGGCTTCAGGCTACACCAAAGGGTCTAAAAATGGCACATAATCCCCTCTCTGCTTGACATTCATCTTCAAACAGGTTTGTTTTAAAGGCAGAGTCCTGGTGATTAGGTGTACTTGAATGACATGCTGCTGCTCGCTGACACTCAACAGAGAGGCGGCTGGACTGTGAGCTGTTAGAAGCTTCCATTATAAATCATAACTCGTACTAAACACACTCAGTACCACACAGATACATGATGAAGTCTTTCCCAAAGCTTTTGACAAAGAAATGTGCTTCAAGCCTCTTATTTGTAAATAAAGGCTTTCTGGTGTCAGTTGAGTTTTCTTTTTTTTTACTTTGTGGAAATTATTTGCCGACTTTAGAATTTTTTTTTTTGTCAAATGAGCTTTCAAAACCATGCACAATAATAATACAATTACTCACCGAATATGTACGCTGTATTCCGCTTTGAACAGCTTTTGATAATCTGAAATACGTTTTGAAAAGCTCACAACTTTGTACAGGTAAAAAAACACATTACCACATTATTTTTTATCACTGAATATGTAAAAAAAAAATAATATTTGGACTGAAAAAAAGTTCAGTTACTTTTAGTACTTTATTTATGTCATGAGAAGGTCGCAGTAAGGCTCTCTTTTGAACACTTCGTCCTTTGTGATATTTATGTGAAAGATCAATCTTTTGGCTCTGTTTATTAACACTTGACCAAGTCTTTCATGTTGACATTAAACTGTGGCATCAGCCACGTAGCTATCCAAAGTTTTATCCTGAGCGTCACATCATCTTCAATGCCTTTCAATGTTCCAACTTGTCACTTTAATAAAAACTGTTGCCAAGCACATAAGCAAATGTTATGTGTAACTGCCACAACCAGCTCTATAGTATGCTTTAAGTAGTAAGTGAAAAAAAGAATCCCATCTTTGAGCTCTTTTCTCTACACGTCTTTACAGGTGTTGCAGATTTGTCCCAAGGACATGAGAGCCGATATCTGTGTCCACCTCAACAGGAAGGTTTTTAAAGAGCACCCAGCTTTCCGTCTGGCCAGCGATGGCTGTCTCAGAGCGCTGGCCATGGAGTTTCAGACCATCCACTGTGCCCCCGGAGACCTGATCTACCACGCTGGTGAAAGCGTGGACAGCCTCTGTTTCGTGGTGTCCGGGTCACTTGAGGTCATTCAGGACGACGAGGTGGTAGCAATTTTAGGTGAGTCGGATGCTTTTAGTTAAATATGACTAAAAGGTGGATTCCTTAATCAATATGAATATAATTAAATAATCAAATTAAAGTGTTACCCAATTTGAGGACTTACTGTTATTTCTAACTAAGTTTGATTCAAATAATTATAATGAACTGTTTGAATACTTATTTTTTTACATAGTTGTGGTCATTTGTGCTAAAACTATGGACTCTACATTTTCTGTAGAGAGCTAATGAGGAGTGGGAAATTTGTTTGCTGAGTGTGAATAATAAGATGACCTAGTCTCTGTTCATTTATATCTTTGAAAAGTCTAGTTTTATCATTGCAAGACTAAACATAATATATTCATCACGTACAAAGATACACATGTGCAGGAAGGCTGGCTGTTAGTACGAATTTTCATGAAATTCATTAATCTTGGTAACTTCGTGAAATGTATTATTCAAGTCTGCCTACCACGTGTTAACACTCCTACCTTTAGGTGTCTGAAGCTGTAAACTTATATGGGTGAACCATATGTTGTCAGCAACTGTTTGCTAGACAGAGAGTCTACAGTTGTTACGTATACAAATCAGTGTCATGTCATCTTTATTGTTTTATGGTGATGTACCCAAATGGAAAGGAATTTGTGGGTTGCACCTTTTTGACAGAATATAAGCAGCACTGTGAACACTGTTACTTTGTCAGCACTTTGTCAGTCAAGTGATTTGGAAGCGTGCTTGTTTGATGAAGTTGTCTGACCTCGGCCGATTAAATGGTGTTATAATCTCCAGTCTGTTTCACGATTTCTTCATTGGATTTATACAAACAGAAACAACCCCCACCTAACACTGGCTTCGGGAAAAGCCTGATCCCTGCAGCCATAACTGCACTTAACAGCAGGCCTGTGTTACTGTGTAATGTATACTGTTGTGATTCTCTGTGCTGTCACTCTTTGTTGATTGTACGGCGCTGTGAAGCAGAATTTTACCATTTGGGATGATAAAGTCTAAATGTGGATACAGTAGTAGCCAATATGAGAAATAATAGTTCATATGAGATAAGAAATGATTCTGCTGCTGCTGTAAAAAATAAATCAGAACTCTTATCATGATGAGAACGTAGAACCTCATCGATAAGTTAACTCAAATTAGATGCTGTAAAGTGATAGCATAATCAAAGTCAGAACCAGCTTTGTTCTTGTTTAGTGTGTATTGTTATTTGGTGCCATGTTAAATGAAAAAAGCAGTTATTGGTTCAGCTACTGTAGGGCAAAGCATGCTTCTTAATTGTGTGATATGCTTTGTTTCTATTCTGCAGCTATTCAGTATTTACTTTTCACCAGCTTAAGAGATCTATAGGATTTGGATTTAGTTGTAAAAGAAAAAAAATCAACAACAAAAATGCTTTTATTTTTATTTTTACAAATAAACATTTTGTATTTTGTCTTCACATAACTTACTTTTTGCAGTGTGGTAAACATGGTCCCAGGACTTTAGAGACCCTTTGAAGAAATTCACCAAATTACAGCATTAGCGTTTTAACCTAATTAATAATGGATTCCTCGCCTATTTTTATTTCATGACAGAGGCGATCAAGGCTTCCCGTTCCTCCCTGTCAAAGGACCTGTCCCACATCTGCTCACTTTTTTCAGGACAAATACAGTTAGGGTTTTCTTCTTTCTAAATTAAAAAAAAAAAGACATTACACAGAGATACATACATGTGTTCTCCTACAGCATTATGATCTGGATTTATCATTGCCGGGGAACTTCAACAGCAAAGTGAAAGAGAGGACAAAAAAAAAAAATCCAATTTACCTCCAGTGCTGTTTAACAAAAGTGTGTAGCATCATGGTAAAAAAAAAAAAAAAAAGTTGTTTTCAAACTCTCCTTTTGTGTCTGCAGTTTTCACTTTCCTCCTTCTGACTGCAGTGAAAGTGGCTGTTTGGGGGATTGCTGTCTGCTGAGTCATGAACTTGGACAAGAATATGTTTGTCACAGAAAGATGATCCACTTGCTAACATTTTGAATTAAACTCGCCTTCTCAACTCTGTCTTAGTTTCAATAAAAGAAAAACAACTGCTCCTATAAAGAACACAAGAATGGTCTGTTTCTCTAAGACCTCCCTCTCCATTTAGGTTCCCCAATGTCGGCACGATCAATTGACAAGCGGCTGTGCATAAAAAGTTGTATAATAATTCATAAAAACAAAATGAAGAATGGAAACTTATTCAAAAAATTATCTTATTAATATGATTGAGGAAAATTGAACAAGTATAATTTAAAGTCGCATTTTACTCCTTCTGGAGCGTTCTGTTGTAAACAGTGTGTTAGACAGAAGGCTAGAATCAATATCTTTTAATCATAATAATTCATGAAATGCAAGGGGTGACCCATACACCTACAGAGAATTATAACCTATATCTGCAGCTTCACTCAGCTTTATAAATCACAATGTTTCGCTGCAGCAATGTGGACCTTTTTTGCTCCTCTCGTACTGCTTGAATTGCGTTTTTCCTGCCGCATGATCTAACTGTAAGCTCTAAGGCCACCTGTACATTTTCTGCTCAGCAAGAAAACATCCTACACAAAGCAAGCCAGTAGCTGGTGATCATAGCTGAGGATTAAGCAGCTAAATAGTCTGATATTCCCCTCAGGAGTTGGTGGAGACCTCAATAGAGGGAGACAGATTTTTTATCAAATATCAATTACCCAAAAACATTTCAATGAATAATATTTTTTTCTCCATAACTAGTGCACTTTTTAAAAAGCAAGTAGTTGCTAAGACATGCTTTTTTATAAGCTCTAAATATGTGCTGATATGTCAGTGTTTTGTTCACAACTTGTTGAAAAATCTGAACTTTTAAAACTTGAGCGTTACTGTGTTGTATCTGTGTGAGGGTGTATGTGCGGTGTCTGTGTGCAAGGTTTTGTGTTTGTGTGCGTGGTTGTGTGTGTGTGTGTGGGTGGGTGCGTGTGTTGTCTCGGTGTGCGTGGTCATGTGTGTATTAGTGAGCCCTGAACCTCGTCTTTACAAAGATAAAATAACAAGAAACGTTCCTTTGCTTGCGCTGGCCTGATGAAATCCCTGCAGACTTTTTCTTTTTTAACTCCCTTCTCTAATTTGGCTAATTATTGATTAAGTGAATAATGGATAGCATGCTCTGGCTGCACCAGAGACACTATACTGGCTTGGTTTTTTCATCAATAACCTGCTATTGGTTCCTCTCCGCAACAATCAATGTATTTCAGGCTAATACCATTGACCTGGTTGGAGCCTGTAATGGAGCCTGAAGTGATGAACAAGTTGCTACTATGAATCAAATTCTTGTTAGCCTAATGGCATGGGGAACAGAGTCGACATGTTAAGTACACAAACATCTCATCTGATGCTCAGGCTGGAGCTGTTTGACTTATTGTTCCTGAGACTGCGCTAAACATAATCAGTTGCTCTTATGTTACTAATCATTTGAACTTATCTGTTTGATTATTGTTTTGGTCTTATTGTGCTTCATTTATTTTTTATACTGTATTCAAAAGAACTGATCAGACATTTTCACATGTACATCCAAATTGATCATTTAATGTAGTTAAACAAAGGGTTAAACTGTTGATTTGGAGGCTGATTATGGGCAGGCACACACATCGCAATGATTTGTTGATGCATCTGTTCGGTTAAAAGTTCAAACCATAGACTGTATGGTTCAAGCAGATGTTGATGATGACTGGTGCCTTCACAGGCAAGCCGTTAAAAGTGCTGTCTTACACTTACTAGTTACTATAGTAACTGAGTTACAAACAGAGCTACTGCATTATAAACATAAAGAATTAAAGGGAAAGTAACTGAAGTGTTATTCTTTTCTTTTTTTGCTTCAAAGCTCATATTAAAATACTTATTATTTAGTGTGGCTTTAGTTGTGAGAGGAAACAACTCGAAAATTTCCTGTAACATTGTAGCTGTTTTAATAAGTAACGTGTTACTCCCAACCATAGACTGTCTCCCAACACTGTTAGCTAGGCTACCGTGTCAATATGGTCCCATTGATTTCTTATGTTAATGATTATTTTTTTTAAACTTAAAGTAAAGCACAATATGCCTTGCTGGATTTGGTCCAGTTAAGGAGTGAGCACCTAATGCTTAATAATAGGATAAATAAATGTGAACCCTATTTTTACATAATGTGTGTTGTAAATGAGGAAAAAGCATGACACATCTTTGAATTGATCCAGGAGATAGCCTTAGCCAGCAGTCGGTTTAAACATTGTTCTCTCTCTGCAGGTAAAGGGGATGTGTTTGGGGACGTTTTCTGGAAGGAGGTGACTCTGGCTCAAGCCTGTGCCAACGTCCGAGCTCTGACCTACTGTGACCTCCACGTCATTAAACGGGATGCTCTGCAGAAGGTGCTCGAGTTTTACACAGCGTTTTCCAACCACTTCTCAAGAAATCTGTTGCTCACCTACAATCTACGAAAAAGGGTGAGAGAATCTACAAACAGTTCCATGAAAAATCATTAAAATCCACTAAGTTTAGATTTTGGCTTTACAATCTACTTTTATATAACATCCATGTCTCTAGTTTCTACATTTTTGCTGTATTATGAAGCAGCTCAGTTGAAGAGCGTGTAAGCAACAAAATCATTCACTAAACCTTGATGATTCTTTTCTTTAAGTTGACCCGATATATGTTTTGAAACAAAGGATTCTTCATGGTCGACTGCAGTCTGCTTTTACTTCAAGCACTGCATTTCCTGTGGCTTTTTCCTCTTTTGAGCTTGAACTTTAAGTGTTTTTATTTTGGTGACAAGTCATAATAGCTGTGGTGTTTTTCCACTGGGCTTCTTAAAGAAAACAGAGCGTTAAGGGCTCTGTAAAGTTACACTGGCTAAACTTGTTGCTCATGTATGTAGTAGTATGTGCTCATGTGCTCATGGAGTAGTTTTTTTATTTTGTGTAAATACAGATTTTGAAAATTGGTCCACTGAAGTGTAAAAAAAAAAGTGATTATATTCAAGATAATCAGGATTCCATCCCCATCATATTGCCTAGACTAAGCTGTTGGCCGATATGTCGTGTGAAAAAAAGTCTCTGAAAGACCTCTGTGGTAGTAACACAACTCTGAGGGTTTCTTGTGCTATAGGGGAACGTTTCTGAGGAGGAAATGCTAATTCTTTTTAGCAACCTGTTGGAAAGAAATCAAACAAAAAATCACACCTCTAATGTTTTCCACTGAAATATGCTAGCACAGATTAGCACAAAGACTTAAAGCAAGAGGAACCAGCTAGCTTCGCTGAACAACAGAATATGATTAGGATGTGATTCTGGAGTCAATATAACTTTCCACTGTATACCAAAAGAAACCCCTGTCCCTTTAGACAAACTGAATTGAATAACATCTCATAAAACTGGGTAAAATTCATCATACAAGCAGATGCGTTAAACAGCCATCATATATTAAAGCCACTCCTACATTATTCATCCAGAAATGAACAGCTGTGATCAACAACTTAAATGTAGCTACCAATCATTCCTCCATTCATAATAAGGTTAGCCTGCCCAAGAGAGTGCAAGAGAGATTGAAATGCCTGCATATTAAGAGGCCATGTCATCTGCTGTAGTAAAATCACTATTCACCAGGGACCAATACATTCTGAATGTATACAGCAGGGAAATCCAGAGATGGATTGAAAAAGAAGCCAGACGCTGCCTTCAAATGGAGCTGGTGAGGTTTTACTGGGGAAATCAAGCAAACCACATGTTTGACATTCGAGTGGTTTAAGTCTTGAGAACAGTTTTGAAATGAGACTGAGAAAAATGTTGTCTCACATCTTCAAAAATGATGGACGATTTTGTGCTGATTGCATTTCAGTGTCATGCCAAAGAACAAGAAAATATTAGATGACAAAAAAACCTCTATTATTTAGAATGTTTTATTCCCGTCTTTTATTATTTTAATGCACATACTTATTCTCTTATGTTACTAATATTGGTTTTGATGGATGAGAAGGTCTCTGGGCAAAATGTAATTCATTGTATTGACACTGTACCTTTTATGTATAAGACATAAAAACTGGATTGATTTTTTTTTTTTTTTTAAAGGAATATCAGAACAATGCTTAAATAAGTCAGAAAGATCCACATGAGCCCAAAAGTTTTTCGTTTTTTTTTTGCTTGTCTCTGCTCCTCTAGCCAGACAATGTTTACTGACTGATGGATAATTGTATTGGCTTTTATGAAATTGTGAAACAAAATACATTTTTCCCTTCTATACTCTTTGGATTAGAGTAATAGTTGGAAAATACACTCTTGGGTGATTAGAATAGCTCCTTCAAAAATGTCCAAAGGTGACATATCAGCTAGTATAAGCTAATTCTTTATACATCTATCACCAAATTTGTAGTAAAATGCAAGAGCATCACATTTTAGAAACAGAAAATCATAACGTTTTTCATGGGAATTTAGAATGAGTGTCTTTTTCACAAGTATAGACCCCGAAAGCCCCGACTATTTTACAGTAAAAATGATCATGGTAGCTCATTAGTAAAACCACAAGTCCAATGTTTAGAGACTAAAACCACAAGTTAGACCATTTGCTGCATTTCATCCCTCTTCCCAACACTATCTGTCCACTGTCCTGTCCTCTCAGGAATGGCATTAAAAGCAAAAAATAATCTAAAAAGAAATAAGAAAACAGCAATGGATCTCTCTTATAATTGCTTGAAAACACAAATCTTCACAATACAAAAAGGTTGTTCTTTTTATCATTATATTGATATTTGGTTGTTTCTTTTATTGAAAAAGCCAGACAAGCTTTTATACCTTTTTCATTTTTATACTTAGCTAAGCACAATATACAGTAGATGTGTGAATGGTTTCATTGTTTTCTCGCTGACTAGTTTATCTAAAGCACTTAATGTGTAAACACAGTAATGATCTATTGACTTGCTTTTCCCAGAGTTCTTGGTCTTTTTAGTGGAGGGAGTTTGATCTTTTATGGGTTTTTTTCCCCTTTTTTGTATGTTTAAGCCTTTCAATGACAACAGAGGTTTATTTTGACTTATTTTGGGGAGGTACAACATCATGTTGCCTGAAAAATGTTGCTTAAACATTTAGCTGCTGTGCATAAGTTAACGGAGAGCCTTCACCAACTGAAGCCAGAGGCAGGATGTGAACTTTCCCTTTGTGTCTTGGGAATTACCTCCTTGAGGTGACATTTAAGCAGCAGACACATTTTGTCTTCTCACACAAACTGTACAATCTATACGATCGATGCATATGTTCATCTCTTTGTAGAGGATCTTGATCTGGTTTTATGCTTATGTGTTACTTAAGACGACTGAATGGACTTAAAAAGAGGAATAACAATATTAAATGCTTGTGCACGGTCAACACATATTTCAGATTATTCAGAATCAACTGATGATTATTATGATGGTGATGTAGTCATAAGTACTTTTAATTTTTTTGTAGATTGTATTCCGAAAGATCAGCGATGTGAAACGAGAGGAGGAGGAGCGTCAGAGACGTAAAAATGAAGCCCCTCTGAACTTGCCACCGGATCACCCAGTACGAAAACTCTTCCAGCGCTTTCGGCAGCAAAAGGAGGCTCGACTGGTTACGGACAAACCAGAACTTGACGAACACGACATTGAGAAGGGCCCCTTGTACGTGAACGTCCCTTTGGCTAACACAGCCATTACAACCACCAGCATCATCACTGTAACGGAAAGCCCTGCAACCCCCTCATCTTCAACACCCTCATCTTCAACATCCCCCAACGGTACTCCCTCAGAGAAGTCAAAGCTGCAGGTGCCAGTACCTATTTCTCTGGTTGGAGGCCGTGCTGCTGAACCACTCAAAGTCAAAGGCTGGGGTCGCTTCAAGGAGTCCATGGTCAAAACTGACAACTGGAACAAAGTAACCAAAGCTGAATCCATGGAGACTTTACCTGAACGGACCAAGGTCCTTGAATCACAGATATCTTTAAAGAAGACAGACTCTTGTGACAGCGGGATCACCAAAAGTGATCTGCGTCTGGACAAAGTAGGCGACTGTCGCTTGACGCCCCAGGACCGCAGCCCCGTCCAGCCTCCAGACACCAGGCACCCCTTCTACCCAATCCCAGAGCAAACTCTTCAGGCCTCGCTTCAGGAGCTCAAACTGGAGCTGAAGGACGACCTCAAGAATCTGAATGTTCGCGTGTCTGGCCTGGAGGCGCAACTTACAGAAGCACTTAACCTACTGAAAATGAGGAAATCAAGTTCTGGCTCTCCACAGCCTCTTTTTGATGTGTCTAGACCTGCTTCACCAGAACTAGAGAAAGAGGACATCTTCTCTTGAAGGATTAAGGAATAATCGGGAACGGTCTACTGCAAAATTTAGCTGGAATCCAGTAATATCAAGATTACTTGGATAGCTGAAGCTGCACCATTTACAAAAGGTGATAGTTTGTCTTTAGGTAGCACCAACCTTCATCAAAGGTTTGTACCTGATGGTAAACCTGGAAAGGCCAGGTTGCTGTCCAGCTCTTGGTGTCTGACTCTGAATAAAAACTGACAATGCAAGGTTTGTACATAGAGGTTATGTTTGTACATGTTTTTCCATTGTATTGTAATGGAAAAATAGCTTGAGCAGTTTGTCTTTAGTCCAAAATCTTTTTATAACATCAGATTCTAGGAGTTTCAGCTAAACCATGCTGAATCTGTGTTGCAAGGTTCTAATAGAAACAGCATGACCCACTGGTTTGTTATTGAATCATTTGTATGGGATTCTTTGCATGCCACATAAAGTACACGTATTCCTCATATTGCAGACAGTGCGTGTTTGATTATCGCAGCCAGGCAGCAATTCATTTGCATTATTTCACAGTGACAGTAAGAAAGGATGGTCTTTGCAGATGTTGAAACATTCGCAGAGTAATTTCCTCAAGCAATTGATGAAGTCTTTTATTATATCAACTGTCAGGATCATGATGAACTTTAAACAAGATAAAACAGGCCAAGCAATCAGATTTCAATCATAATCTAATACATCTTTCAGCAGAGCTGATAACTTCCATAAACCACGGACAGATGAGTTTGATGACACTGTATGAGAGCCAAGCAATTTAAGCTTTGGTTAAAAAATAGGAAGATTATAATTTATTTATGTTAAATAAAACAAAATAAAGTCCAGGCTTGTTTGTGTTATTGTTCCAAGACATTAACTGAAACCTATGTAAGTGATGATTTCTGGCCTTTAATGTCTGCTGAGGTAATTTTTACATTTGTTACATCAGTAAGCATGCACGATTCAGTAAGCATGTCAGTCCGCCAGAGTAAAAAAACAATCATCAAATGACAATGCCTGACACAATGTATCTACAAAATAGGGGGCAAAGATCAAACTCTTAGAGTAAAGATGAAGGTTGTTTTGTCATACAAGATGATTCTGAGGGTTTCCAGTGCTGGTGATCCTTTTCAGGACTGTGATTGCCTTGTTTTGTGGCTGACATTTGGAGTCAATTTCAACTTGCTTGCAGTGAAAATGTTTCCTCTATATGCACTTTTGAAATGGGAGACAACCAAGCAGGAAACCAAAATGTTTAAATCATGAGTCATTTCTTGACGGAATAACAAACGTGTTGAAGAAATAGTTTACAGAGCAGTTTACACAAAAATGTATGATAGAAAAATATTTTTTGAAAATGTGTTTGTTTTTTAAATAAATGTTCAGTTACCAAATGTACTCTCACAGATGAACTCTAGCACATTAGCTTCCTAAATTAGATTGTTTACCAAAAATGAATCTGTGTAAAATGAATGTATCAGTGTAGTGTTATAGAAAGCAATGAGCAGATATCAGTAGATGGGTCAGGAGACCAGGGGGCAGAGTAAGAGAGCGGCTCAAGCTTTTTGTCTGAACAAAACTCTAAAATTGGTTTATAAAACAACGTTTAATTTACAGAAAAAGACGCCTCCAACTTCCAGTTAATCAGAACCATGAGTTTTGATAATTAGCAATAATTGTTTATATTTTATAGATCACAGAATTCATGCAGATTCCAGGTATTGAAGACAACAGTAGATGTTTGCAGTCTATAGTAATTCTTAATCATATTTATGATGAATAATAATATGTACCTACCAATTGATTGAAATGATGGGTAAAACATTAAACACATTTTAATATGTTTTGCTTCCATCTTCAGAAATGGGAGTCTTCGCTGTTTTCCTTTTTAATATTTCAGTCACTTACAAATATTCTTCAGCTACTTTGAGGTTTTGACAGTTGGTTGGAAAAAAATCAAGCATTGTGAAGATGTCCTTAATTGTGACACTATTTGTCACAAACCCAAGTTTTGTTTTGTTTTTCTTCTACAAATAAACAATTTAAGAAAAAAAACACATGATGGTGTTATGCATATTTTCAGATTTAAAAAGAATCAGTCATCTACTATCCAAGTAAAAGTTGGGACATTGTTTCAAATGATAATAAAAGCAGCGGTGACTATTTGCAGGGGATCGATTGAAAATAGCACAAAGAGAAAATACCAAATGTCCCAACTGAGAAATGTCCTTGTTTTTGGAATTTGATATGCCCAATTTGGATTTGATGGCTACAACACGATAAAAAAAAAAAAAACTGAAAGTGGCAACCGAAAAACGTAAAAAGTTGTAATGATTGTGAAAAAAAAATTGGAATATTTTAAAGTTAAAAAGGAGTCTCTTCATATTGAAGCCAAGATCTTACAGGGTCATAAATATCATGACTTGAACTGGCTATATGGAAAGGACATAGACCGTGATGACCACCCACTGGGAGCTGAACAGAGTGTTTTCTAAAAGTTGTTACCAGCGCATGACTCAAAAGCCAGCATCTGTGATTGTAAGGGGGTGCATTAGTGCAAATGGCATGGGTAACCTGCACGTTTCTAGGCATCGTTAATGCTGAACCAAATTATGCTGCCAAATAGACAACTTCTTTTTCAGTGAGGGCCTTGCTCATTTCATCAAGACAATCCCAACCACATTCTGGATGTATTACAACAGCATGGCTCTGTAGTAAAAGAGACAGGGTCATATACTGACCTTTCTAAAGTCCCAAATAGTAGAAAATATTTGGAGCATTCTGAGGCGAAGGAGGCCTTGAACTGTTGACAAACTGAAATCCTACATTAAGCAAAAAAAAAGAATCCCACTTCCATAATTACAGAAAATGGTTTCCTCATTTCTGGAAACACTTAAAATAAATAGTGACGCATCAGAGTGGTCAACATGACCCTGTCCCAACTTGTTTTGAAATGTGTTGCTGGCATCAAATACAAAAAGGGCATACGGTTTTTCATATTCAATATTTGATATGTTTTTGTGCTATTTTCAATCAAATATGGGGCTTCAGTGTTCTGCAAATCAAATTTTATTTACATTTTACGCAACCTCCCAACTTTTTAGGAATTGGTAATGAGAAAACAAATAGGCCGATTCCATAATAAAGATCATCATCACTTGCATTCCTATTCAATATTGTAAAAATGAGTTTCCCCTCAAATACCTACACTATTAAACTCATCACTCCAACTCACATCTCATTTATCTTTTTCAATAGAATTGTGACTTTTACTTTGATAAATGATCTGATTATGTCCTTCAAATGGTAAACACCAGAACCAGAACTCAAAATGTTTCATTTCGGTTAAAGCATAAGCGTTGTACGTCTTCCTGATCTATCTTTAGTATACCTTGAAATGATTCTTTAATATAGAAAACTTACGGTTATTCTATATTATTTATTATTCATATGGATTAATGTATGTTCCCTACATACCTTCTCTCTTATCCAGACAAGCCCAAGATGGACACAGCTGAGGGGGGAAAGGTTTTTCTCTGTAACACATTCTTTCCCATCAAAAATTCAGCTCGCTAAAAATAAAGGAGTATGACATGAGAGAAGTGAGATCTCCTCTGATTTAGAGCCACTATTTGAGGGGCTTTATGGGTCTGGTTCTGCAGAGAAAATTGTGATCTTAGAGAAAGGAAAAAAAAGTCATTTTGCTACTGCGTCTGTATCACAGAGAATTCATAAAGCTGGTGCTGAGTAGAGTCAAGAGTTCGGAAATCAAAGAGGTTGAAAAGACAGCTGATAGTTTCACTGAGGAATCCATACTGAAAGAAAGATGTAAAAGTTGTGTTATTGCAGACGGTTTTCATGTGAATGTTGAAGTCTTTAGAACTACAATAACATTTTGCATAATGTCTTTACATGAATATTCCTCGGTGTATATATTCTGCGTGTGTTTACATCAACTTGAGTATCCCGCTTCTGAGCAGGTTTTTTTGAAGTATCCAGTTTTTGTGTTTGTGCATGGCATGTACCGGTAATCATCATATCTTGAAATCCAAAAACCGGGAAAAGGCTCGTAAACCAAGCTACTCAAGTCCATGTAAACACATTCACTGATGAGTGACAGATTTTGGTTGACTAGCTGACAACTCCTCTGACACTCATTCAAATGATTAATCAATCAAAATATCTGAGCTAGCTTAGTCTTATCATTTTGAATGGGACATCATATGACAAGAGGAATATTGGGAGAAAAAATACTCTTCATTTTAAAAGGTTTTTTTTTGTCAGCTACAACAGCATTGATACACTGTCGTATAACAAAGAATTGGTAGGGATTACTTTTAATTACTGTATCCTGGGTTTTTTATTTTTTTATATTTGTTTGTTTTATATTTATTCCTCAGGATCTCACACGCTACTTTTAGTTGTTGTTTTTTAACAAATTATTTGAAGCACCGCAGGACAAATGCAACCAACTCTCAGTATGTTAACCTAAAGAATATTAGGAGGAATAAACAGGTCCATTTTTGTTTTTATGTTCTTTTACATCTGTCATTACTTTTTTGACATGATTCCACTCATGATTCTCAAAGATGAACTGTGGAGAAAGTAACAGGAGTTGACAAGATTAGCATAGTAATGGAAGAAGCTATGCTAAGTTTGATTTTTTTATTAGCCAAAAGCTGACAATGAGGTTATCCAAGGATGATGGGGGTCTATCAAATATCACACATTTACACTATTTCTCATCTTTGAGAAATCCTTTCTTTAATAACAAATGGCCGTGGTTAGGGAGGCTTTCCATTTCCACTTCTTCAGCCTCTTTGCTAAACTAAAATGAATGACCCCAAATGTCCAAAATTAATTCAAATACAAAATAAGAATATAAAATAGCATAATAACTATATCAGTCCTTGGTATACAAGTCCATTTGTTTTCAAATATTTTAAATCTAGTAATTCACTGACTTCATTATTTGACTGTTTATGAAAACAAACTGGTGAGAAATGTGATCCTTTGTGTAAAATGTTACAAGACAGCTCAAAATGTCACTATAACTTATATAACCTGAAGTCAGGTCATTATAACTTCAAACATGCAAAAAAACACCCAACAGTGTGATCACGACTGTGATGATGAATTTAATGTCATTAACAGGAAAACTTTGAGGCTGCTCTGGCTCGCTCTGAATAACAATCAACAATGCTAAAAAAAAAAATAGAAAGTTTTGTTAGAAAAATACTTGTGTTGAAATATTTTCAGCCACTGGTTTACTTCACCACCGACACATTTGAATGACAGAATTGGCAGTACTCATAACAGATATTTGAGTCTGTTTCTGTTGAGTTACTTTGTTCTCTCATGTGGAATGTTTTTTTTTAAAACACTGTATGGTTTCCAATTCTCCTCTGGTTTCTTTACATTTTATTGAATCTAAACATTAAGGGAGGATTTTTAAGATTTTTGTTAGGAACTCTGTAAATACGTTTGTTTTTTAAATCTTTGAATGCATCCCAACATTCTAAAAAAGGAAAGAAATTTATACCAACACCTAATGAATGTGATATTATATGGGATGAAGGATCAACTCAGAGACAAGATTCTTGAAAGCAATATGTTTCTCTGTGCTGTAACATTTATAAAGAAAGGTCCAAACACTAATGATTCTACCGAAAACCTTAAGCTATTAATCAATTGAATCATTGAAAAAGACTTTTATGGCACTGCAATACCGCTTTGTCCATGTCATGACATTCGACTACTTTAAAGCATGAAACACTGTGCCTTTATCATAGTGCCCCATTTCCAAGCCTGCGGTGAGAAAAGCTAATGTTAAACATCAAAACTTCTGTCACCTCTTTCAAACTAATTGAACAGAGGAGTATTTTTGTGGTCAGCTCCAGAAAGCTGCCTTATTATGAAACCCGACATGCATATCTTTAATATATATTTATGCACAGATTATACTGCAATGTTTAGATTCTGGAGTTTGAAAGTTTGACATTTAGGTTTAAACGTTTGAAATTTGGTGAAAGGTAAATGTTATATGCACATGCCTCTCTGTTCACACTACATGTGATGAGAAACTGTTTCAAGCACAATGGGAACTCTTTGTTTTGAACTGTGACATACTGTACTGTTAACAATAAATATTTTATAAATACTGTATGCCTGTCTGCTCTCTCTGGAGAATGCTTTGAACTGCATAGCATCCATATTCTCTTTAGATTCTCGGACATTTGATCAGGGTGATTATCGGAGAAGGTGTAACTCAGCAGGTGTATTCTGCTGCTGATCTTCTTAAATCAGATTAAGCTCACAGTTCAGCGCGTGTTTAAGAGGATTTCTCACTGACCCTCTGCTCATAATGATCCTTTCTAATGCCCCTTGGGTTGTATTAATCCTAACAGCACATTAACTAATGGAAACACTTGAGGCTAACCAGAATAACAAAATGCTGTTTACACAGTAGGACCACATTACATTTATCATAGACCCGTGCAGGTAACTCAGATCAATGATTGAGAAACTTTACACACACACCTTTGGGACCTTTGTGGTTTGAAAGTAAAGAACCGGTGGGGCAGAAGCAACCTGAGAGTTTTATGTAAATGATAAATCTCAGTGATGGCAACTCTTACTTAAAATAAACATATTCTTAAACTAATCTTCTCACTTGTCATCTCCTGCAGCTGTTTGCTTTCCTTGCTGTGCACTGTGAATAGTAAGAGGATCAGGTTCTTTTTGCAGCGTCACACTTTCTAAGCTCTAAAGACACAATAAAGCACAGATAAGCTCATTAAAGCAGCTTCTTATTTCTTGTTGAAACACAAGAGTTGGTCTTTAAAATGTGTTGACAAACTATTTAACGGGATAACTGATCTTTTTTTCAGATAAGGATCTAAAGGATAGAAAAGAATGGTACACTTAAAACAGTGTGTTTATCAAACTAATGGTTTGAAATTGAACAGCCCTTCATTAAATCAACCCAAAACTTCTTAAACTTATCCAACTCATCACCTGAACTTAGATAGCTTCAAGTTGGTGTCATTTAAAAGAGTTGCAAATAATGATTGTTTCAGTATTTTATCATTCACACAGTATTTTAAATTCATCACTTGTTTGTTTTGGATAAAGTTCAGGATACAGTGAAAGCTTTGACTAAATCTTTTCCAGAGTGACTTAAAAAAAAACCTAATTAGTATTTAATTGACCATTTCATTTTTTTTAAAGATTTTTTGTCTTTAATCGTAGATAGGAAAGCTAGATTGACAGGAACATGTCGCCATAGATTTTTTAAACTGCAACCAAAGCATAAAATGAGTCTGTCTCGTTATGCGTTGCTATATTTAAACTCAGCGTTAACATCCAAGGAGAACCTGCCACAGACCGGGTATGGGATGTCAAAAACAAACATGTCTTTTTCACAGTTAAAAAGGTATTGCACATGCTTTATCTTTTGAAAACAGTCAGAACTTTTTGATGTATCATCAACTTATAATAAAGAGTTTTAATGTTTTTCAATACCAACAGTTTAAATGTACTTTAAATATGTTGAAGGAATTTCTTATTCTATGGGAGAGCAAGGTAACCCCTATAGCAAACAAAAAGGAAGGGCATCCACTTTAAGGTTGGGGGTTCGATCCTCAGCTTCTACAGCAACATTTCCTATGTGTCCTTGGGCAAACACTTAACCTCAAATTGCTTCCGCTGCTTCGTCGGCAGTGTATGAATGTGTATGAATGGAGTACTTACTTCTGATGTGTGAATGGGTGTGATTGGGTAGGTGAGTACTTACTTCTGATGTGTGAATGGGTGTGATTGGGTAGGTGTGACATGCAGTGTAAAAGCACTTTGAGTAGTCAGAAGACTAGAAAAGTGCTATACAAGCTGAAGTCCATTTCTCAATTACCATGTATGTAAAAAAAAGGATATTCATAAGCGTTATATTTTAAATTCAAGATTTTAATCCATTTATGGAAGAAGGAATTGCAAATTTGACATTTTGGAGGTACAAGGTGTATACAGAATGTTAAAGGCTGTGTTTTTTTTTTAACACCCATGGGGAAAAAAAAAAGCTTTGACCAGTGTATAAATGTCATCTACCATTGTGACTGTATAGAATTAAAAGCTACTGTGCAGTCAGTGTAAGGCTTTTAAAAATACATAAACCATGAGTTTTATTCTACTTTAGCCAAATGGCCTCTGCCGAGGACATAATGACATCGATCAGATTCCTGCGGCTCTATTCAGCCTTCTGTGCCTATTGTCCGAATATGAATACACAACTGCTTTTATGCTGAGCTAAAGGACGGTAAATATAAAATTAGCATTTCTCCAGCTTTACTGCATCACTGAGCAATACCTTATCAGAGTCATAAAACCGAGACGGATTCAGAGCCCTTATTTTCATTCAGTTTCTCAGAATAACAATGGGTCTTGTGAAGGCTATTGGGTTGAAAAAGAGCCTGGAAACAGCAAAGGCTGCTCATGTATACTACCTTGAATTTACTAAATGACACTATTTTGCTATTGCAGTTTCTGTGTTTCTTTTTACATTTCAGAAAGATTTTGCCTGATGTGGAAAGTGGCAACTCAGCTTCACTTCAGCCAAGTCTTGACTTTCTGGGGCTTCGGGCCAGATTCACCACAGACTCTCTGGCTGGTGTGGACGAGGCAGGTTGTTCTGGTTGTTTGTTAGCAGTTATTCACACCTCTAAACAAAGTCAAGGTGACTCATGGTGGGTGGGAAGTCCGCTCGAGCCCAATCTGAGCAAAGCAGTAGAGGAAAGCCAGCATAGGTGGGAGCATGGTAGACCAGCCTGAAATCAGAAGAAAACCCTTTGAGTTATTTATTTTTAAATGTTAGTAATCCTAACATTTAAAAGATTTGGTCATTATCTTGTTTTATCCCAGATCAGGGTTCCACCCCCTGCAACGAAAAATATTTATATTTGAACTGAGCTAAAAAGTAATTGCTTTGTCTTGCTAAAGACTTGCATTCTATTCAAGAGGTAAATAGACAATAGAATTAGTAACAGTAGTGGCAGTGGCCAGGTTTTCTGCTGTACAGTGTATTATTGTTATTCTCTTTTTCTATTTATAGCTGCTTCTTAGAAAGTCGAGCAGGCAGGTAAGGACGGCTTGTGTGCGCCTCCTCCCAAACTGGCTTCCCTCCAGATTATCTCAGAAACCTGCACCTGCACCCACAATGCTTTTCAATGGTCTATTCTTTTCTATTCATGTCAAAATCTAATTCAGATACACACAGTCTGCATCATGCACAGCTGCCAGTTTCTCGGTCTGCATAAGAATAAGGTTGCATTGGCCAAGGCTGGAAAACACATATTTTGATGACAGTTGCACAACCAAAAAAGGAAATACTTCTCACTAATGCCAGTTTATGATAAAGTTAGTTTAATCACATTTGATCACATTTGAAAGACCTTTCACTGAAGTTTAAGTCTTGCTGACATGTCGAGACATCCCAGGGTTTTGACTTGGCAGGTATTTAAATTTCATTAACGCTCTCAGTGTGAAATATATTCTGCAAGCAGTCATCCAACTTCAGCTGTAACATGACTTCAATCTAACACAGGAAGAAACAGAACTTAAAGGACGCATCCACCACAAGCCAAATGTATATAACTTCTGGAATTAATTGAGAAGAGAGATTAAAGTTTCTGCTATTTTGGAACGTAGCAGAAATGTTTTGAGGGCTCTGCTGTTCTAAATAAGTCATTATAAAGCAGTGGAAAAGAGATGAAGAGTGGAGCAACCTTTAATGAATAACCCAGTTATGTCAGTTGCGTGACTCTAATCAACAGGTGCTGTAATTACACAAGAGTTTCTTTTGCAGCTTGATTAACACGCTGCTTCCAGTTCAATTGAGGTGAAAAGGCCAAATGAGGAGAGATGCATCTGAAAACCAAATATATCATTGATTAATGAGCAGAAAGACTGTGCTTCTCAGTAAAGTAGAAATAGACACTGTATTGGTTTTATTCTTATGCATCTCTTTGGATACATTTTCATCGGGCTGAATGAAACACAGGTTAACTTGTGTTAGTTAGCAAATGTAAGCTTGTTTTAGCTGTGCTATTAGCACTGCTTGATAAACTGTCTGTTTTATTAATCAATCAATCAATCTGTCCGTCAGTTTGATCAAGACTGAAACACATAAAATATTGGTTAAACTTAAACAACCTTTTGTAGAGACATTCATTCTCATCAAATCCCCAGGACTTTGTTGACTCCTGACTTTTCCTCTTGCACCAAAATGAGGCCAAAGCCTGGTTTTCAGTGAATGAGCTCTACATTTGGTGTTATTGTCGTTAAATAAGTAAATAAGTCTCTACATCATGTAAAACTTTCAGAGCAGTATGTAAGTTATCTTCCTATATCATTTCATTAGACATTCAGGAAACATGCTATGTTGAAGTGCAGCTAAGTTTCGATTCTGGTCCAGAATGGTCTTTATTTGTTTTGTCCAGAAAAGGTGGGCAGGTTTTTTTGGACGCCCCTCGGTTTGCCTGGTTTCCTAGATTTGAGATCAGTTATCACTGCAAACCTACAGGAGTTGCAGCGATGGAAGCAGGCAAGCAAACTGGTTGAGATATAACGGATTCTACCAGATCTAAAAATGAGCACTTTTCTGGTGGGCAGGTTTTTTTGGACGCCCCTCGGTTTGCCTGGTTTCCTAGATTTGAGATCAGTTATCACTGCAAACCTACAGGAGTTGCAGCGATGGAAGCAGGCAAGGAAACTGGTTGAGATATAACGGATTCTACCAGATCTAAAAATGAGCACTTTTCTAATAAGCTCCACGTGTCGGCGAAATGGCAACCCCACATGCACCTTGACTCTAGGAAGGAATATTTAGCTTAAACAGACAGAAAGATCAAAAAAATCTATTGGATTGAAACCTAAATAAATGAACAAACAAATTATCTGAATTCCTTCTTTGATAAATTAAGCTTTAGATTTAATATTTTACCTTCAACCCGACAGACAGAAGTAAAGTAGACAGAAGTATCTGACTAAGTTTAAATGCTGTCATATTGCACAAAGTTAAGTTTTTTAGACTGCAGTGACTGACAACACACTACAGACTCTATACTGTCCCAATCCCAATGTTTGTTTGTAGACAACACTATCTGTTCTCTGTTATGATTGTTGTTGAAATGGTAACAATCGCAGAACCTGTAGTTACAATCTTCAATATTTTTAGCCCCAAGGGTTAAAAAATGAGTCTTAACTTTGAACACAGTGACAGAAATTAGATATGACGGTCAACAAGTTTCTTCAAGGTATAATAGGCTGTATGTCTTTTGGTATGTTGCACAGTAAACAACTCTATGTTCTCAGTAAAACACATACACAGGTGAAACTCAATGAGACGCCAAGTGCATACTCAGTCACAATGTATGACCTGAGAGTGTGATTAAGGTTTCTTTTTTTGCCAGTGAGGTCAGAGAGCAATTACGCTTCTGCCGGCACCAGTAAAAATCCTAGACAGGCTGATTTAAAAGCATTGATCTTATGTTAATGAAGGAAACAACAACTCCCTCCCCCGGTGGTATATTATGCAGACACATGCAGACAAAAGGAATGGCTTCAGGCATATCTGGACGGTGCATTATATTTCAGTTTCAAACACGACAACACAAACACTCAGTGAGATGAACACAATTAGCAAGTGGCTCCATCAATGCTCTATTCAAAATCCGCCATGTTGAATCTTTATTATTTAGTATCAAAGTGGGTCAAATGTGTTGTTGCACAAGCAAACTGAGATTCTCAGTTGAGTTTATAGCGCTTCTCTCAATAATTCACAACAGATATGGTAATTTCAAGCACCCTGTTCTTATTTTTAGACAACTCTTAATTTATTTAAAACAAGTCTACAGTATGGTATGTGTGAAAAGGGGGCAGAAGTGCAGGAAGAAGCGTGTTACACATGGCCAGGCTTACATCTATTTTTTAACTGGTGACTGGAATATGACCTTTTTCAGACTGATTTAGCTCTTGAAGCTAGAGGCCGCACAATTGTGTGACACAATCAGAAGCCAGAATGCTCCAGGGTTGAAGAACTGATAGTGATTAGAGAAAAATACTGTCGAGAACAAGAAGTGAAAAACCAGAACAAGAGGGAATATTTTTGAATAAAGAAACGACTGAACACAGACTTAATGTGTAATATAACTATTTGAAATGTGAGAATTTGATCAGAAACAAAAATGAAACTGTTGTCAGATCCGGACAGATGTCATTTTATTTTCACCTACATGAGCCGTTGCTTTTCTTTGTAGAGTCATAAAGCTGAAATGAGGATAGTTTATCTTGCTTGTGCTGGTGTTGTACTTGGTGCAGGTATTAAAGGGGTCACCTTATGGCCTTTTTTGGGGTTCATATATTTAATTAATGTGCCTACAAAAGTATGTTCACAATAGCTAATGATCAAAAAACCTAGCAGTTTTCACATACTGCCGCTCCATGCACTCCCTCTATTCCGACTCTGCCTGCAACGCTCTGAAGTGCCCATGTTCCCATTCCCCACGTCTGATCTGATTGGTCAGCCGGTCCGCTCTGTCGTAATTGGTCAGTCACTCTGCACTGTTCTCGGAAATGTCACGCCCCTTTTACCATACCAATCCTTACCAGTCTGACACCGAAGGAGAGGAGGAACAACCACGACAACCTTTGCCTTTGAGTTACTAAATATTTTGCATAATTGCAAAAATGCAATTAGCAAAATCTATACTTTATGTCAACAACAGAACAAATTGCCATTTGTATTTGAGAGGGAAGGCTCAAGGCAACAATAGTCTCAACTCTGCAGGTGGTATTACTTGAACGCTTTTTTGCCTCTTATGGCTCATTGATTTGGTTTTATGAGCCAGCAAGTTTACTGATGATTCAGTCTCTTGGTTCTTATCATAGCTATAAGCCACAACAGCAGGGTGTGTTTTCAGCAAAGGTCTTAGATATACTCCTGATCACACGTTTCTTGTTTAGGACGAAACAGCAGACAGAATAGGTTAGTGCTGGTTAAGCTGGCGGTGTTGGCAGAGACTACGAGACGTGTGTTCTTTGAGTGCGCAGAAACAAAATTTCAAATAAAGTTGTTGTTGTTCTGTGTCTGGTAGATTTGTAAATAGGCAACTCTTTGCTTATACGTGACATTGGTACCAACTTTACATGACAATATCACTGTAGGGTTTAGAGGTTGTATTGTTAAGTGGCCAATAACACAAAAACAAAAATCTATTCTGCTAGAATGATTAGACTATGCATTTTGTTTTAACTTTTTTTTAACAGTTCTTAGAAAGAATACAGACATATATATATACATATACATACATATATATATATATATATATATATATGCACTAAGCTGAGCTCTGGGCACTGACTCTGCTCCCAGCCCAGCAGCGAGAGCAGCTCAGATCGCTTATCATTAGTAGTCAGGCTTCAGGAGGGTCTGCCATCTTGCTTTAGGTACCAAATGAGCCAAATAAAGACACAGGGAACAAAAGGAGACTGGCACAAACATAAAGCAGATGTCTCTTTTTAGGGGACTTTGCCCATGGAGATGAAATAAGAACCTAAGAATAAACAGAGCCCAAACATCTTCTGATATTACTGTGGCACAAACATAAAGCAGATGTCTCTTTTTAGGGGACTTTGCCCATGGAGATGAAATAAGAACCTAAGAATAAACAGAGCCCAAACATCTTCTGATATTACTGTTATATAACCAAACCTAAAGAGGAGCAGCGCCATTTTATTAGATTTAATTTGTGATTATTTTCTGACCATGTGAGGCCTCTCCTGGTCTGATAATCCACATGGGAATTTTTTATTTTTTTTAATGCCAGCTGAAAAAAGCTGAGCAATCCTGCAAGATGAAGGCAAACACAGATTCCACTGAGTGATTGTTGTAGAAGGCAGTTCCGCAGAGAAATTCTGCTCCTGGGAAATCAGAAAGCACATGCAGGAGAACCACAAAAGATTCTCATCATAAATCTGAGAAACAAAGAGCAGCAAAGCACCTGGCACTAATGAACTGTGGGACCATAAACTAGGGGAGAACACAGTATGCTATCAGCCTTTAGCACAATTTGGAGAACAAGAACCTTCTCTTAAAGCTAGAAGCTTAAGAAGTAGGAATAGCCTGAAAGTAAATCTCAACAATGTTTTGGAAAGAGAATTTTACTCACATTAATGTTTGCGCGTTAACCATAAATGCTAATTGGATGCCATTGGATCCAATCAGCCTGCACATACTGTATGAGCTCCAGGCATCATCTCTTACTGTACTTAGATTCAATGTGCCCTTTATTTCTAGCTTACAGGAAAGATATCATCATGTCCACTCATCTTAAGCTAATTGTAATTGAGCTAAATAGAGCCTCTTTTAACTGCTTGTCAGATCTAGTTTCTTGGATTTCAAACTTACAACAATGGAGTGAATAAAGGATGAAGCGAAGAGTGATTTCAGCCCATTCTCCACCAGGACTCCTGCCCAATTCATCAGAGCCCAGTACCGCAGGTAGTCATGGCCTCCGTGCCAGAGGCAGACGAATCCAAACGCGAGGCCAGTGGAAAACATCTTGTAAAGAGGACCGTGATGTGAACCTCCTAATGGCACATAGATGTATCTAGAACATGAGTACATACATACAATGTAACAGATCTTTAAAGAAGATTGTAACCTGTACGACCAAACAGAAAACAGCAAATAGTGATGGTATATGACAGATGCATACAGGCCAGGACATAGATGTAAAACAGCCAGATGTGAAACAGAGGTGGGGGGTTAGAACCCATGGCGCACAAAGGTATTGGTCAGCCTGTCACATCAATTATCATGTCATGTTCATTGATTTTACATTAAATATATGTTGCTTTGAAGTCCAGTGTAGAAATGGAGACACACCTGGGAATATCAATCCCCCCCCCCCCCCCAAGTAGTTAATATTGCTACAGCTGGGTTAATGATTCCATATTGTTTTCTGTGATTCACAACAAACCTTTTTGAAAGGCATGGGAGCTGCAGAGTTGTCCCGGGTGGATGAACACAGGTAATACTACTGTGTGCGCACACAGCTGGTTGCTATAATAAAGAAGCTTCAAGCTTACTTTGGGAATCATGCTTGACGGACGCTTGCTGCTGTTTGGCATTTTGAGGCAACACTGAACGCAGCATCAAGGCTAAATGTAAAGGCTGCGCTGGTTTGTCTGCATGTCTATATTACACTTTGACGCACATTAACACACTTTTTACAACAAAGACTATTTTTTTGTAACAGATGGCTTCTTTTTTCGGTTAGGTATGGTCTTACTTCAACATTTTGGTTCGTACATTGAGAATAAGCTGTTAAAAAAAAGAACTAGTTGGTCAAATAAAGAGCAAATATCACTTTTATTAATACTATAACACAATGCTGCCATTTACAGTCTTTGGTTATAGCCCACTTGATGTAAGTAACATTCCTCCAATCGATGCAGAATGTGGTGCAAGCTGTGAAGAGAAATGGCCTCAGATATTGTGTGAACCTCGCTGCCCGTTCCCAGAGGTACCGAGAGTCTCAACATGCTACATCACTTCAACACGCTTAGAAAACAAACGTCACGTTGTGCCCAGTGTTGCTGAGCTGGGAACTAATTATCACAGCCGCCCTGAATATGATCATTTTTGGACACACATTAAAACCCTGAATAATCACAATCAATGTCTACCCGACAACTGGAAACAGATGGTGCAAATGTGAGTGCACATTTTAAAGTTATTGTCATACAGAGACATACAGTACAGCGTTGTTGATCTTTCTTGCTATGAGTGCAAAGTTAATGGCTGACCCCCCACTTATTTATTTACAACTAATCCCCCTCAGGTTTCAGGATTAAATGCTCCTTTTCATATGCTTCTGTGATAACAGGCGGTAAGAGCTCTTTATGTGTGTGAAACAGACACCATGCAGACAGAGAAGCGTAATGGAATGGCCAAGAATGAGCCACTTAGCTGCCCAGGGAGACGGCGTGTCAGTGAGTCATGTAGAGCACATCACTAAACACCTACGCACTCATCTAGCGCTCTTCAGACAATTTCAACAGAATTTCAGAACCACATTAAAACCTCTTTAAGAGCACTTTCACTAGAAGGAACGACGGGGTATTGTGTCATGGGTATCATTTTGCATCTGCACAGGGATAATTACAAGTGATGCCATTAAGCAGGAGAATACATTTCCAATGGACACGGACTAAAATGGAGACGTGCATTTGCAATTTAAATTTAAGGTTCTTTAGCTAATTAATTTGGGCTTTTTTTTTTTACAGCCTGATATGAAATACATCATCATTAACTTGTTTTTAAAAAACCTAAAATGTACAGGAACAGTATCATTAATGACAAACAACAGCTAGAAAAAGTCAGGTCAACACAAGACTAATTAGACAACATTTTCACACACGTTGTGTTTTCTGACAGCCGTGCAACTCTAGCGTTTCCTCAATGTAGCAACCAGCGTCTACCAAGTGGACCAGAAACCCCCGATAGGCTGCATTCAACCAAGTGTGCATCATTAAAAGGCAGACAAACTAACAATGTGCATTGTCCAAAGTATGAATGAGCAAACACATCATGCTCCTATTACATATGCACGTTAAACAAAGAGGCACTTCTCAAGAGAGATACATAAATATTAACCCAACAGAAGAACTATTCACCAATAACGTCCTACCTCATAATCATAAGAAAGCCTACATGCAAATGCAGCATCCTCGTCCATTATGTCCAAACATGTGGGCAGGCAGCTGGAGGATGACACCTTTTAAAGGTTTTTTTTTAAACTGATAAGTTCAATACCCCACAGGAAACGAGCTCTTCACAGTAAATGTGCAATAACAGATACAGTTTGATTAAACACATGCTACACCATAAGAAAGCCTACATGCAAATGCAGCATCCTCGTCCATTATGTCCAAACATGTGGGCAGGCAGCTGGAGGATGACACCTTTTAAAGGTTTTTTTTAAACTGATAAGTTCAATACCCACAGAAACGAGCTCTTCACAGAAGAGAAAATAACAGAAACAGAATTGATTAGCATGACAGACTGACAGACAGAAAGATAGACGGACTGACAGATGGATATAACAGATTAAACATTGAGACAGACAGATTAAAGGTGGATTCATGTTGGGATTCTGTGAATACAATAACAAGGAGTACGGTCTAAGCCTGCTCTCTATGTGAAGACACTTGAGATAACATTAGTTGTGAAGTAAAAGGTTGATTGACTGAAAAACAGACAAAGAGAGAGAGAATTAACAGACAGACACATACAGTTGATTAAACACAAGGACATACAGACAGAGAAGAAGAAATAAAGATTGAAAGATCAAATTGATGATACAGATGAGTTTACAAAAAGATAGGATGGATAGAAAGATAGACAGACATTAACAGACAGACCTGTGGACAGAGGAATAGACACTCTGATATCTGTTATTTGATTTAGAGGCTATTTCACATTTTTTTGTAAGCATTAACATCTGAATTAGTCCGTCCGCTGCTCATTGAGTGCCTCTTACCTGATGAGCCATCGATACAGGCCCTCATCAAAGTGCCTGTGAAAGAACAAAAATGGATATTTCAGTCACAAATTTACATAATAATATAGCACTGAAACACCTGAGCACTGCATCTCATATAAACTGAGGCATGTGCTGTATGTACAATGTGTGTGTGTGTTTCTTTTCACTAAGAAGAACAGAAAAAGCTTTTCCTTTCTTTTTACATTTTTTTTTGTGCACAGCCTATAAACTGAAGCTGTTTTGTGAATGATGTCAGCGGACAGCTTTATGCATTCCATCAATGTTGTCAACATTGACCAGCTCAGCACACACAGGCCGGATTGGAGTGCCTTGGTGTCAGCACATTGGTCCATCTTGTCTGCAGCTGGTGCATTTTTACTGCAAGACCAAACGTACATCCTCCCATCTCAACTTTACGTGCTCTTAATGAAGAGAGCATTTTATGATCGCCTTTTACATTTAGTGAACGTCCGATTCTGTAATGAGAAAGCGGAATAAAAATGATGCTGTTCCTGCCCTGGTAATTGTACGGGTCATTGCTCAATCAGTCATGCTTATTTGGCCCGCTCATAATATCTTTCATTGCATTTATTAATAGGAGCACGTTTGTTCTGTCTAAGCATTGTTCGCGCACTCAGTCCTGAGTTGAATAGGTTTATCCTGCTTAAAGTAATGAAGGCTTACAAAGAAGGTAAGGTCTTACACATTCAAGTTATAGTGATCCCTTTTAGTTGAAACTTTCAGAGAGGTGTGAATTCAATGTTATGATCACTTTTGTTCAGATGACTTCTTATACAGTATTTTAGTGTCTTTATGGCTTAGGTTAGGTGTTTTCCAACTCCTGAATTTGATAAGAGTGCTACAATATTTAAACTTTATTATTACTACTATTAACATATCACACTACACAGAGAGATGTGTCTCTTATACAGTATATCCCACACTGACTGAAATAAATGGGGGGAGAGAAATAGAAGTGTTTTTTGTGTAATACAATATATTTCAAAATCTTCAGCCTCTAAGAGATTACTTTTTAGGTGAATTAACGGGCTTCATCAACAGTTCAGTAAATAACAAACACACACACATTTATTAAGGTAGATTGCAGGATTATTGTATACGACTGCAACAGTTATGTTGTGTGCTAACTAGTAAACTGGCAACAGAGTCGTATAGTACAGCTTGATTTGTATCCAGAACAGTGTTCTTTGTCCAGACATGTTCTGCATCCTGGAAGACATAAAATCTAAACGATGAACTCAAACAGGATACTGACACTAACATATGTTTCCAAGCAGTGAAAACTGTCCCTGTTGTAAGCTTTTTTTTTTCTTTACATTTTCAGTCTTGCTGATTAAGGAGATTTAGCCCTGTGTAACAAGCAGTGCAGTGTGTGTGTGTGTGTGTGTGTGTGTGTGTGTGTGTGTGTGTGTGTGTGTGTGTGTGTGTTCTAAACTTGAGCAATTGTGACCCCTTCAGCATCAAGCAGGCATAGACTTTTACTTTGCCCTGTTCACAGAAGTGGTAAATGAGCTTCATAAATGTTGCCATCCCTCAGCATTTATTTTTATTATGTCAACTCTGTCAGGGGTTAATTGTGTGTGTGTGTGTGTGTGTGTGTGTGTGTGTGTGTGTGTGAGAGAGAGAGAGTTTTTTGTGTGTGTTTTCTGGAATAAAAGACTGTAATCAAAACCTTTTTGGATGTAAAGTAAAACATATATGATTATATGCATACATGCATATACATTAAAAGGAAAGAGCAGGATCACAAAATCAGCAACAGGGGGCAGTGTAAAATCAAACGTGTTAGACAACTGGAGAGCTTTCAAATCTAATTTTATTCCTCTCAAAATGACGTGCCCCCCTGTCAGATTGAATGCCTACTCAGCATTCATATCCAGCTCATAACTGAATCCAGCTACATTCACAGAAATTCTATTTTAGAAATGGTATAAAACAACAGAATTACCTCCCAAAGTATTCAAACATTACATGTTTCTTTAGTTTATTACTGTTTCCATTAAAATACCTAGTTTCTTCATGTAAAAAAAGCCATTTAATACATTCCCTTTACTTCTAATTAGCCACCACTGTTTAAGGAAAGACACAAGCTTAACCTCAGTGCTTCATTCTATCACCTCTTTGAGCTTAACCAACAATCCTTGACTATCAAACTTTCCTAGTCATACTCATCAGACTTCTGCAGGCTGCGGGATGTCATAACTTTGTACAATTCAACCATAAAACCAAATATTCTGGAGTGAACGCGCGCATGTGTGAGTGTGTAATATTTAAAAACTCTATTTAAGGCATCTCTGGGTTAAGCTAAACAACAAGTAAAGATTGTCTTTAATGTATCTGTGCTTGCTGTTGTTATTTACTGAATAAAAATTGTCAGATCTCTATCAAAACTGACTCACACTTCTTACCGCCTTAAGTTTAATATTTAGACAGTTTTTTTTCCATGCTACTTCTAACCTGTTATTACTTTAAAAACATGAGAAGTGGCGAGTAATACTCCAACTGACCAAACAGTTTAAGCTGGAGTCTGAAAGCTTGACAGCATGTTCTTAGTGCAGTGGTGACCTATTGTTCTGATTGCCAGTAATGACAGAAGATGAGACAATTCGCCTTGCTCAGTCTGAATCTTACTGCCAAAGCAAAGTGAGCACTTGAGGCACTTGACACCGAATGTACCTTTCTCTAAAGGATCCATAGATGCAAGCTTGTCCAGTCACTCAAGTGTGTCAGAATAGTACAAGCGCAATATAAAATTGTACTAATGTCAGTGGTGTTAACTGGAGCTGGTACAACTGTATGATCTTACCTCCACATTCCTGTGAAACTGTACATGATGCTGACACATCGAGGAAGCTTTGGAGGAACTAGATTATCTGAAGTAGCCAGCATGGATGGAAGACCGAACAGAACCAGATACTTAACAAAGAAAAACTGGACCAGGGCCAGGGCCAGACCTCCTGTGAATGACAAAAAGAGAGGGTTAAACCAGTTACTATATAAATAATAAAGTTCTGATCTTTTCAAAGACAATCTCCCGTGTTTCAAAGCAAGGAAATTGTATTTCTAACAGGCATGATGGTGTGCCTTAAGGGCCTGGGCCCACCCACATGTGCTATTGGCCCACCCTAATGACTGGGAGAAGATAGACTTTCTTTATTATTTTATACATTCATAGTTAATATCTGAATGCAATTTAACCCCTAACATACAGTTTACTCTTTTAAAATGTGAAATCATTATTTTTCCTTCTAGTGTAAGAGTAGTTTTGACCAATCAAATCAAGCTATTTTACACTACCCAGGCTTTGAAATTGCAATCACTAGCTGGAGAAAAAGACTAAAATTTCGGAGGTACTTTTTGTCTAAATAACTGGCTTATGAATAATTTAGAGGGCTGTTACCAAAATAAGCATAAACCAAACCCAACCTAATTGTTCCAAGTATTCTACAAAGAACCCGTGGGGTACACAAAACCTGGTTGATTATGCATTCTTTTTTTTTTAAAAGCACGAAGCAACTGAATAAATACCCAACAGACAAAATGATGTCTATCCAAACATAATCAAAATTACTCCAAAGATCACGACGACTGGGGTATGAATCAAGGCCAATGAGTGAGTTAACAACCAGCATAACTGATGGAGGTTTGAGAACTAACTCGTTCTTGTGGGGGTAACATTTTTTTTTTTCTAATTCTGCATCTTTATAAAAATGTTTGTCTGAAGTGGCAGAGAAGGACTAAAGCTAGAACTCAGTGTTATACTGACAAGCACACTATAAAGACTCACCTAAGGCCCAAGGAGGAAGAATCTCTAAGTAGGTCTCATTAGACTGGATGGAGTGCATATATATTACATGGATCATGTATTCTGCGATGCACCACCACAGTATGATCCGTCCTGATCTTAGCACAAAGTAGCTAAAAGCAGATTTGTCCTTGTCACTCTCCTCAGCAGGCCTCCACATCTGCGAATGAAGAAAGTGAGCATGTTGTTAAAGTCACTTTTGAATCTTCACTGTCAAAACAAAAAAAAACAAGATAGAGAATTTTAGCCGAAGGGGAAAAGTGACAAACTGGCAACCTAAATCAAACATATAGTCATTTTTCACAAGTCTGCAAAATTCAAGTAATCATTTTCATCACTACCATTGTAAAAAATAGTCCACTATGTTGATGTGCTGTGTACTAGGCTTCTTAAAATATGACCTGACATCATCTGTACTTACGCGGTGCAATCAGCCTCAGCCTCTTCCAGACCAAAATAAAAGAGGCAATTCCAAAGTGAACTGCAGTTTAATACAGGAAAAGCTTTTGTCATCACTCTTACCTGCTCAACATAGTCTTTATATGTTATAATGGGTCCATTGTAGAAAAAAGGATGATAGAAGGTATATGAAAACAGCCAGTAGAGCTGCTCTATTCCACCACGTTCTAAGGGGCACCAGCAATGCTCCAGGCTGAAGCTGATGAAGCGTAGACCGCATACAGCGACACTGAAGAGCAGCAGATAGTACTCCTCCTCGGTCTCATACCAGCCTCTCTGTGTAATACAGAAGCACTGCCAATTATTTTTAACACAATCCAGGGCAATCTTTTTTACATGTGACAGTTTGGAACTAAATATGGACATGTGCTTAAAATCACACTTTTATTTTAAAATACATACTCAACATTAGCAGATCACCACAGATTTAAACAAGTAGGCTTAAGACAACTTTGAATGAGCTCTACTTGACAGGGTTGGGGATATAATTGCTTTCAAATTGAATTTCATTTGTGTGCATGGGTAGGGTGAACAGAAACGAAAGAGGCAGATTTTTGGAAGCATTCACAGCCTGTCATGTCTATTCCACTTAATACATTCAAATTTGAAACCATTGTGACTGGGGTTTCCTGGTAGGACTTCACCTGATTTGTCAAATACCTGCAGTTAAAGGGTGTTTTTGGATGACATGTTAGAAAAGAGGGATGTGGGATGATAATGTGTCCACCTTAACTAACCAGTCAATGTTGAACTTAATGGAATTGATTTTCTAAAGTCATACTAAAACAAAATATCTTCTTAGCTGGTCTCTAATTCATTGTGTTTATCAAGGTAAGAAAATGCAGTTTAGTAAAATGTCCCTTGAAAAAGATTGTCCTTTATTCTCAGTAGTATAGATGTTTGACTTTGAGGACTGTAAGTGAGCATGTTTCTCATTGTCTGCTCATATATTATACAGTGTTTCCCCTACCATTATTATTTTTTAATTATTATTATTTTTAGATTAATTTTTACTATACTTTATTGTAGAGATGGGATAGTGGATAGAGTCGGAAATCAGGGAAATAAGTCATTTAGGTATGATACCTTTTCGATAGAAAAGGACAGCTGTCATTAAAAGTAACGCATGAAGATTCCTTCAAGTGTTTGTGTCGGCATGTGTCGGTGTGTGTCCCCCCTCCCCCCAAAGCTGTAAACCTAGGGGAAACACTGTTATATGATATTTTTAAAATGCTTTTACACATTAAAACTTATATTGTTGTATGAACATAGAAAAAGATGCCAAGTTGACAAACGGCTGCACGAATGCGCCCCCTTGTGTTCTATGCATATATGACACTAGGTGATTTAAAAAGTATAGCATTAAAGTTCAAAACACACATAAACAAACACACATCAAGTGGCCCTGGTTAAACCTACATCTTTATATTGTTTTGTGACTGTGTTTTTATATAGCACAAATTATTTTGAAATGTGTTGAACTTATTCATATTAATAAAGCAAAACAATTAAAAATGTTTTTTTTTACTTTGACTCTCACCTGTATCTCTTGAAGTTGTTGAATATGAAAAGTACAGAGCAGCAGCAAATTACAGGCCCAGGACAGAGCCGGTTTTCGTAGTTGGGCCACAGAGAAGGAGAGGCCCAGATGTACCAGCAGCACACTCACACCTTTAATCCCCAGCACATTTGTGGCAGCTAAGAGGCCATACAATGTGAGTGCTGGCAGCCTTAACTGTTGAAAAACATCAAAACATATTGGATTTAAAAGCCTTACTCCTAATGACCATATTCAACTTACCGGTAACACTCCTGTAGCAGCTGTTTTCCTACCTTGGGGTAAAAGATGCTGGTCAATCTTGATATCACACCATGACCAATCAGAGTCCAAAGCAAAGACCTCTTTGCCCATCCGGTCCAGAAACTCCACTCAAAGTCAGATGTGTCCTAAAAAAAAAAAAAGAAGTAACTTCAACATGGGCCATTTGAAATACAACTGTATCCTGTTAAAATGTGTGTAAGGGCCATTATTTAATGCATCAAAAAATGTATACAAGTCATAATTTTACGTTTTTGTTGTGGGGGGGGGGCTTCTGTACACAATTGAGTTACACAAATGTTTGTTAACTTTAGTTCAGTCAACAATTTCATTATCAAACTTACCCTATTAAAACCATTGAGAAGGCCCTTTTCCAAATGGAATTCTCTCTGTAATCCTGCTTCATGCTCTGAGGTGCAAAACAGGAATTACAGACAATTATACTTCCTGATCGTTTATCCTCAATTCATTAAACAAATACGCGGATACGTTTGAATCTACTTTACCTTTGGAGAATCTATGCAGCTGGTAGAAAGAGTACAGATGAGATCCAAAGGATAGCACCCAATAGGTTAGGATCTCTATCCATGGCAGGGGTGCCACTGCCAACTGGGGCTGTGGTTTCGATGTCATCATGAGAAATCAATGTGCTCTAGTGCAACCTAACACAGAGTAGTGTCACTTTAAATTGAAACTGAAATCACTTTTTCATATTTATAAAATGTTTTCTTAAAGCTGTCAGAAATATTTATTATACAGATATCTACACATTTCGAAAATAGACTGTTGGTCTTTTTTTTTTTATAATTACTTCTTTATCTTAATTAATTAAATATCTTAATTCTTCTTAAGAAAGAAGAAGACACATTGTCAATGTTTAATGTTCAAAGTCATTTTTTTTTTATTATACGGACTAAAGTAAACCTAGTTTCCCGGATGGTCGGCAAACAGCGATCACTGTCGTTGCTAGGTAACACAGCGACGAGAGGCTGCAGCCTATGACGTAGCTCACACAGTAAAAGTAAAGAAGCAAGCGAGCAAGTAAACCCGCACAACGTTACTATACTTCGGTATGGCTTTTTACGATTATAGAGGTCGACACAGAGAGACGTTTTCAGGATAATTCAGCCAATTGTTTACTTCCCACTTTGTTTTGGTCTCTGTAAAACTTCCATGGGCTTCGCTACTCTATCCGGCAGTTAGCTAACGCAGGTAAGCTACTCTTGCTAATGCTTCGAACAAGTTGCAGCGTTACCTAAAACTGGGCTGGTGTCCATGTCGTTGCTGTAAATTGTAGACAGCACTGCCTGGTACTTGGACCCTAGAACCATAACGTTGGATCAGCCCGGCATCAAACATTTAAAAGGTACTGTACTTCTTCTTCGAACCCGCTAAATAATTGTATTTCCTAACATCTGTTAAGAGCATGACTGCCCCCTACTGCGCTGGAGGGCTCGTCATTCACTACACAGTCTGAACTTTGACCAGGAAAAACGAGCTCTGGTTGTTGCTGATAAGTCAGTCATGGAAAGTCAAGATGTTAATTTGAATAATGGCATTTAATGCTACTATTTCCTTCAAGAGTTTACATACAAAAAAAAAGTGAAAAGCTTATTTAATATGATGACTGCAGTGATTGATTTACCTGGCAGTATTCATTTCGTAAACATTTTTCCCACACCTCACCTCGCTTTACCCTGTATCTTAAAAGGTTACAACACAAATGAAATCAAGATTAAAATAAATATATATATATATATATATATATATATATATATATATATATATATCAATCAGGTAAACGAAAACTGGCAACTATACTCTGAATGACAGATAAACTATTTAATCTTTTTTTTTTTTTATAGTTGGAAAGCAGATTCTTCGTTTAATGTAGCCTACATGTTACAATTTAATGCCACACACTTTTGCTGAATATAGGCTACAGCAGTGGTTCCCAAAGTGGGGGTCGGGACCCCAAGGTGGGTCGCCAGCCACCAAGAGGGGGTTCGCGAGATGCCTTCCATAAAAAAATAAAAAATCATTTAAAAGTGCATAAGTATATCTTTTTACCATTTTTGTAAACATGCAAAAAGTAGTCCAATGTCATATGAGACAGTATCATTAAGTGAAATGGAAATTAAATGTTTCATTCTTTTAGGCTGTTGTATTATTTTGTGTTACTAGTTTTTGGATAGGCTTATTAGAGTGTGTGCGTGGCTGTCGCTACGTTATATACCTAACTAACCACCTTAAAGAACAGTGGGGGGTCCCCAGTTTCTGTTATCCTTATTTTGGGGGTCATGACCTGAAAAGTTTGGGAACCCCTCGGCTACAGGATATAGGCCACAGTTGATATCAGTAACTTATTGCTTTGCGTATGAAGTGTCTGATGTAACCAGGACAGAGATAATATAAGTTTACAATGGGTGCGTCTGGAGATAGTATCTGAAGGAGATTTAGGAGTCCCCTTAGGTGGAATGTTTAAATTGAGGTGTTGTATAGGAGTATTGCCATATATGGTTGTGTAACTTGATGTTTTTATGACGGAAAACAGATGTTTAGATGCATATAAGCAATTGTCTCTGTGTGTTCGACAGAGATCATTATTGGCTTCTTGATCCTCCTGGTCAGACGTGACCAGTGATTCTGTTTCTTGCTTAAATAAAATTATACTCTTTGAAAGCAAGTCAGTCTCAACGGCGAATTTCTTCATCATCAAACATATCAACAACAAGGAAATCCACATCACTGAAACTTATTGCTTTGCTGAAATGAATCCCATGGATTCTAAGCTTATTCGTGCTGAATGAAATTGTTGTATATTACCGGTACATTTTTCAGTCAGGGGTTTATATTTACAGTCTATGGTTTTAACACACAAAAGATATTTTCCTTGACATTAAAATCACTCCACAAGGGGATTGTTAAAGTTTGAAAGGGTTTATTGTGGAAGAACTGTTTCGGTTAATCAGTCAGCAACTGACTATGCATGCATCTGATTTAGATAACTTTTTGGTATTTTTGTAGATCAACAAATCTTAACAAAACAAGCTTTGGGAAATAACAATCATGGTAACAGGTTGACATCAAGACATTGTGCAAAACATTTAAATAGCATAAATATGTCCGTCTTACATTATTCATTCTTTCCTCTTTGACAAATTTGCAACTTCTCACCAACTTTTCTGAAAAAATTTAACATGTGTAGACTCAACTTAAGAACTTAACAAATAAACATTTCATTGTGTCATCTCCCCTTAGCCTTTAGGCTATAGCGTGATTCTTTGCCACACAAATAAAACATAGTGAAATAAGATCATAACTACATTTCATGTATGCCTTCAGTTATCCAAACTGAGAGATTCAAATTCATCATTATCACAGTCAATAGTACGCTCATCTATTGTGTGAGTGTGTTCTAATGTATGTGATTACATTCATTCTTGTGGCCTTTGTGTATGAGTTTGTGCAGTCGGTGTAATCACAGTATGAATTTTGTTTCACAGCTCGTCAGTCTCTCCATCAAAGGGCACGGTATCTATCTCCATATTAATACTGCCTGGCTCAGTACTTCCCACCCAGCCAATTGGAGTACGGTTGAAGGAAGGCCGGCAGCCGATGTCATGTTGGTACACCACGGGTTCAGTCTCCTCTTTGATTTCGGTTTCTGGCATCTGGAATTTCAGGAACTGGTTGGCCTTCTCGAAGCCACCAAATGGCAGGGCGGACCTAGTAAACAAAGGTGCAAGGTTAATTGTTTTTCCCCAATGTTTCTACAAAATGAGGCCTTGGGGAATTACCTGTTGAAGCACTTGTACTTGGGTATATCCTTTTTCTCAACTGGACCAGGCATTGCAGTTTTCAGAGTGGCAACGAGAATTTCATCCCCCTTCATGGCCTTCTCCCATGGCGAAACGTATGTCTTCCCAAGAATATGCATACCACCTCTTCCAACTCCTGTCAAGAGAGCATATGACACACTAAAGAGGTCTGTAGCAAAATTATATCCAACAGTCTATGGACTGGCAAATTTATCATTTGTGATGTCAATATTTTTGGCGACAGTCTTATTTTCTGTGTTACTATTTCATGAAAAGATCATTGCAATTATCATTTGCAGCTGTCCAAAAGCCACAAACATCTCTAAAGTTCACAAATAATTCATGTCAAAAACATCGGGTTTCAAACAATACCAAAGCTTTTATCAATATATTGTTGCATTATTCATTTATTATTACCGATAAGGTTTGATTTCTTCATTTGGTTCAGCAAAATCAAAAATAGTCTCAAGAGATATATTTTCTTTGTGAATTAATTATCCGTCTATCAACAGGCACAGATTCCTGAAACAGAATTGCTTAAACTTTGTGCGCATAAAAATAGAGATACTGACCTTTCAGTGAAGACTTCTCATATGCCCCTTGTCCTTGTCCACCTTTCCCCTGGTCGCCACCACCAAGTCCTCCTTCACCTCCTGCACCTTTACTTCCAGGCTTTGGAGGGGGCACGGGGGCCCCTCCAAAGCCGTGAACACCCATAATATGCACCTGTCCAGGCTGTTTGCTTACAAAATGCCCTCCAACATTGATTATCTGACTTCCAATCTCACCTCCCAGAGATGGAACAAACTTCTGCAGGTTGTCCTGAAAGAAAATGTTTAGAATCCTTATTGTCTATTAAAAGCCTGTGATTAATTAAACACAGAGAAATAATTCTCATTCAGATGGTTTGATTATCAGTAATGGTCAAAGATTATCAGCTGAAAAAGTAATTGATACAAGTGACTTAATTGAAACCTTTATTGCCCATAGGGGGCACAGAGAGCATAGATCACTACAAATAGACATATACAGGACAGCACATAAAAGAACATTCAAGCGTCACACGATTATGAGGGATTTCAGTAGAAAGTTAAATAAAGTGCAGAGTGCCGAGTTCATACTAATCAGAGCTTATTAAGCAGCTGAGGATAGCTGATACAAAGGATGTATTGCCTCTTTTAGTCCTCATCCTGGGCATTTTGTACCTGCACCCTGAAGTAAAGAGTTCATACTCCGACCAAAGTGGATGCAGAGGGTCAGCTGTAATCTTGTTGGCGAAATTCAATGTGTACCGGTCTGTCAGGTAAGAAATGCTACACATTTGCTTCCCAGTTATCTTGCTACCTAGTTTAACAAGTAGCAAGGTAATGTGTGTTGTCCAGTTTGTTCTTATTTTGTTTCACTATGAATGTTTTTTTGTTTTATTATTCACATTTGCTTCATAAACGTTAAAGACTATTCTCTTCTTAAATAACAGTAGTGTGACTTTATTTTGTTTTTTCCTCTTCATCTGCTCTCACCATTGACTCACTGCTGAAGATGTCAGGGCTGTTCTCGTAGATGAACTTCTCCACCCTTATCTGCCTCATCTTGAACATCTTGGAGCCTCGGTTTTTCTGCAGGGAAAGTTCCTCCAGCATGATGTCTTTAGGGGTTCTGATCTTTGGTCCCAGGTCAAACTCAGAGGCCTCAGGATCCGTATCATACTCTAGGGAGGAACATTTGAATCAGATATATAGAAATGTCTTATTTTGAAAACAACACGTGACTAAGAAGAATTTGACCTTTTACATTTAATAAAAGGTGACATTCACAAATATATTCACCAGAAAACAAAAAAACTAAAAGTATTCATCAATAATATCAATCAGTAATCAAACTAGTTTTTATTGATGTGTTAAACTGATAAAGTTATAATCACACCCTGTTTTTATCCGTATAATATTAACTCATCTTCTGAACACTTCTTTTCCCCTGAAATAATGCAAACAAGTTTCGTACTAAATAGGACACTTATTTACACACACTGTTGATTGCATTCACAACACTGTGCATTATGCAAAGTGAGTACTTAACTTCATTAAGTTGACCTTAACGATGCTTGTTGCTGTTTTGTGTCATTTTTGATACTTGTTTTTCACTTTTACTGCAGACATTACACCAACTAGTATGTAACCGCTGCACTGAGCATATGGAAATGTAGTTTTATATTCATTTCATTTGGTGCCAGCCTTACCATCCTGAGTGATGTGTGATAGGTCGGTTACGATCTTGGAGAGCTTTTTCCGTTTGTTTAGGGGGGCAGGTTTTCCCAGAGGTGTGCCTGGAGATTCAGGAAAGAACATGGTTTGAGTAGTTTCAATATTAGGGCCAAAAAACATCCAAAGAATTCTTACTTTAAAACTAAAAACTTTGTGTAAGAATAAGTCTATCAGTGATAACTTTTTAAAGGAAATGTTCATTGTTAAGCTATACATCTATTATGATAAACATCAGTCTTATTCCAGAATGATGAATACCAAATAAAACTATGACAAACAAACTTATTATTTAAAAACAGTCAACTTTAATTAATATATGTTCACATGATATTGTTCCAATTTAAAACAGGTACTGCCAGTAATATAGCATTACATTTGCAAAGATGAAGAATTTTAGTTAACGTTGAAATTCACTGAATCGAATAGTTCGAAGATTCATATCACACAGTTGAAGGAAACTTCAACACAGCGCTTTACTATAACATCCAACCACTGCACCAACCTCTTATGATCACTCTGTACATTCAACACATACAGCCATCAACAACCCCTGAAAGTAAATCCATGGGTCCTCAATGTATTAGACAGACAGACAGCTCAGACCCTGCTCAGTTTTCAAGTTCAAGGGGGATGTCTGTGCCCTTAGATTCCCTACATACCCCAGTGGAACAGATGTCCGCCCAAATGGAAACATATAGCTTAATGTGTGTTTCTGTTTTGTTTGGGGAACCATGTCAATATAAACAGAAGCATGTAAGGCCCTATCAGAATTCAGGGATCAATGCATTCTGGAGCCTCAATACTGCAGTAAATTCAAAGGCCTCAGGATCATAAAACAGGATCTGATCTTACCTGCAAGAGAACATGCATGTTTGGCTCATCTGTCAACATTTTACTCTGTGTTGAAGTGTTTTTAATATCTTAAAAAAATGTCACAACCTGTATTTCCTGCCTGCATAAAACATGCATTATCCAATTGTGTATTTTACACTTTTTTGTGTCCCTACTTGCATATCAGCACCTTCTGCACTCAACATTTTTCTTAAAGCCTAGTCAAGAGGCAAAACAACCCATCACATCTACTGACTGTAATTCAACCCACTGCAGCTATTTATAAAATCCATTTCCAGCCAAGACATTTTAGAGACTTGTAATGGCGTCATTCGCCGATCAAATGGGCTTGACACAACCCCCAAAAACATAAAACACACCTTCAGAAAACAATAATAAGTGTATGTTTGATCTAATCAAAACACTATTGAGACCTGGATAAGTTGTGGGCATTAAGAAGGGTTCTGGACACTGTTTTAATTTCCATAAATAATTACAGTTCAGAGACCCCTGGTGCTCAGATTTACCACCCCCCATCAGGGTTTGGTAACACGATATAAAATTTCTGCTACGCCCACAAAGAGGAATGGTCAGCAAATTAGTCCGTTCCTTTCGGCATTTTAATAGTTACAAGGAAAATTGAAAAGAAGCAAAGTTGCTCCCAGAACAACTGTAACTCTATCTGGCTGAATTTAAAGCATTCTCATCAAAAGCAAAGGAATAGTTTGGTTCACTAAGGTTTATGAGGCCTTCATCTGTAGGTTTTTTTATCAAAAGATTGGCAAATTGAAATATTTTGCACATCTATATTCCTTCTCCCAATTTTGTTGTACTCAGAATTTAAATCCAAGCTGTCGGTTGATTAGCAGAGACAAGCACATCGACTAGATGAAGATCCACTCACCGGGTTTTGTTGTCATCCTTGGAGGAGATATAAACCTATAAATACCAAACAGAGAAGGGGGAACCCTCGGCTCAATGCTGGTGATCTCGATCACAAGTTTACAAATCCCTCAGTGCCTCTGACCCTTCGTATGGCTGGAACCAGGTCCCGGGAAGTGCAAAAAACCCACCCTTCACTCAGATGGCAGAGCTTCCAGAGGGTTGGGGTTGTGGGTGGTAGCGTTGTTGGTGTCAAGACGGGAGGAGGGGGGAGGTTGAAGTTAAGAGTATGAATAGGGATGGGGGCGTTAAGATGGGGGGAGAAGTCCCTGTTGGCCAGCTGAAAGTGCTGATGGGGATATTAAGGGAACAAAATCATTCTCACAGATGGTTCAGAAGCCTATATTTAGTAGCAAAGACTGAGGGAACAGAATTCAGCTATAAGATAACCTCAGAGGACTCTGGGGTGTGTTTGGGGTACACAGAGAGATTGAGATAAGGAGGAGAGTAGTATGCACAAGTTCACAGTGCATGTTAAGGTTAAGCATATATGTTTGTTTAGGGCGATGTAAGCTTGTGTTTCACAGTGACAGTTGCCACCCTTGCATTACCCTAACCTGACACTAGATTGTCACATTTTCAGTTTCTCTAAAGCGTCATGTAATTTGACAGGATATATGTGTTGTTCATGATATATTGACTTTCATTTAAAAAAAAAAAAAAAAAAAACACACAAAAGAAATCTGTGCTTTGCTTTTGTGCACTACCTGTCAGCATTTGTGTCAAATTGGACTCTGTTTACACTTACTGATGTAGTTTCCTCCTCTATAGATCCTTGCTTGTAGGGTACTTACTCTCTGATGTACGTCACCTTGTACAACAGCGTCTGCTAAATTAATAGTAGAATTGTAGAACAAAGCTGACAGAGGTTTAAGAAAGATAAACTTGTTTGAAGGAATACATTTTAAAGCACCAAATAATCAAACAGCCCATAACCAATTAAAAGACAAGGCATTCCTTGTCCTGCTATTTTCTGTTATGTTGAGCATTAATGCATGAAATATGCTCAAATAACAATAGTAATAATTATGTATTTAACGATCTTGGTCTGAGATTTATTTCTAAAATACTAAAGTCATGTGTCCAAAGTCCCTCCATGCATCCCAAGTTGTTCCCATTCTAAATAAGTAATGTAATCAAAATGTTGATCACTAAAGAACCCCACATTTCCTTAGAAGAAAAAAACAATACAGACGAGTCTTTTGTTTGGATATTAACAGACTTTTAAGCACTCGTTGAGTGTGGAAGTTGGCATTGACATGCCCCTCTGATTGCACACTCAGTCAAAGCGGAATCCTCACACACACCATAGCACCACCTAGTGGTAAATATTCACCTGGCAAGGAAAAAAGGGTCTTACCGAGTTGATCAGAATGTCCCTGGTAAGTTTACTATTTTCGAAAAAGGAATTGATGTCTTAACATGAAGATCAGATTTTTCAAATCCACTTGAGAAAGGAGCTGTGACTTTTTACACACCCAGTTGATTTTTTTAGACAAAATTACACCAACTAATGAGACTGATTTCAAACTGATTATGAATGAAATTTAAAAATGCATCTGCTTTTAACATTAGCCAGAGTAAATAGAATTGAGACAGTATGTGTATTTTTCCAGAGATCACATTGGCTTAGTGGTAGGATTTTAGGATGTCTTTTTACTTTTATAATAAAGGTGTAAAAGATAAATGTTTGTTGTTTTGCTCATGCTAAACCCTTTTAAGACTAGTACTGTAATTTGTCAGTTGTTGTAGAATACCCTCAACTACCATGACATCACTTCATGTACAAATAGGGACCCTTAAAAAATAAATGTTCATTTCTCTTTAGCCATTTCACCTATAGTTGAGGATGTGGTGCTGATAAGTAAAGATGCATAAAAGTGTTCTGGAGCCAGGATAGCTTAAATTAGAAAAGGTGAGTTAGTAATTTGCCCATTCTTTACTTCTGGTTGAGAGAGAATTCTCTATTTATTTATTTTTATTAATTTCTCTCTCTCTCTCTCTCATATATCTCTATCTCTCAAATATGTATCCATTCTGCGAGTAGAGGGAGACAGTGTTTTTGTGGTGAACTTAACTGACACCTCTGTTCTATTGGAGAGGGTTAGCAACAGTAATGAAAAGGTTTTTACTAAACAGAGTTTTAATTGTGGTTTTAAATATACTCAGAACCATTTATACAGCCTTTTAAACTTGTCCTAGGTCAAGGTAAGATGGACGTGTATTTTAGCAGGAGGTGGAGGAGCCTGTCATGGTTAATGTGAAAATGCTTTCTAAGAAAAAAAAAAGTCCAGGTTTTTGATGGACTTCAGTTTTTGTAGAGCCAAGCAGGAGGACCAGAATAGTTTCCAGTCAGTGTGTGCTCATGACAGGGTGCTGTGCTCTGAGGAAGACGATCAGTTGGTGTTTGAAGATGTGCTGATGTAAATCCTGTTGATTTTGTTTTGTGAATGTGAACTTAGGATATGTGATGATTTTGAACAATGTGCAGAATCATTTACAAAGGTATGTTCTTTATTTCTTTAAATAATCTCTTTCTACTGTTCAACCTGACAACTCCAAACATTGACTCATTCTTGTATATGTATTTAACTTGTGTTTTCAAACACGTTTAGCTGCTTATGTTTCTGCTTTTAGCCTAAATTAAATAAACTTTTTTTCATGCGGCGTCTCAGATCTTGTCATTGTTATATATTTCTGGTGTGTCCAACACTTTGTGGAGATTGAACAGAATATGCTGAAGCTTAGTAATCAAGCAATAACAATCATCCTTAATAGAACTCCCCTCAGTATTGTTACACTCAGTTCTGCTTCAAATGACCTCTCTTTAAAGTCATCAATGACACTGAAGTCAATCTTAAATCAAATATCAATCAGATGAAACAGAGTATGTGTGTGTGAGTGTGTTTTCTTTATAAAAAATACAAAAAAAAGGCTGTAAAGAATTACCCTTTGAATGTATGGTTAAACATATATTTTTATTTAAACTAATATACATTTATTGCATTGTGTAATTATTAATAACATAATTATACGCTTACATGCATATACATTAAAAGGAAAGAGCAGGATCACAAAATCAACAACAGGGGGCAGTGTAAAATCAAACGTGTTAGACAACTGGAGAGCTTTCAAATCTAATTTTATTCCTCTCAAAATGACGTGCCCCCCTGTCAGATTGAATGCCTACTCAGCATTCATATCCAGCTCATAACTGAATCCAGCTACATTCACAGAAATTCTATTTTAGAAATGGTATAAAACAACAAAAGTACCTCCCAAAGTATTCAAACATTACATTTTCTTTAGTTTATTATTGTTTCCAATTAAAATACCTAGTTTCTTCATGTAAAAAAGCCATTTAATGAATTTCCCTTACTTCTAATTAGCCACACTGAAAGACACAAACTTAACCTCAGTGCCTCATTCTATCACCTCATTGAGCTTAACCAACAAACCTTGAGTATCAAACTTTCCTAGTCATACTCGTCAAACTTCTGCAGGCTGTGGGATTTCATAACTATATACAATTCAACCATACTGTAAATCCCAATTTTCTGCCATGCCAGCATTTACCATAACCCTTGTGTAAAATGGTATGACCCCATTCAGTAAACTGGCCAACAACATCCTGACTATCTCCCCTCCACAGCCACTCTCCTTTCTTGAACCCCATTATATTGAATGCTGGTGGTTCTATATCAATCGACTTCCCCTTGCACCCATTTAGATCAAATCACAATTAAACAAAATAAAATACACATTCCTGTATCTGTGTTATTTGTTTAATTAAAGTAAGGAATTCACATAAATATCTGCAAAGATCACACTCATACTAATAAGGCTCTAGTGTGTCTAATGGAGGCTGGGTTTTCCAGTGACAAGTGTACATTCAATGACAACTTAGGGACTTTCTAAATGTGACCCATGCGAAAAAAGATTTTTCTCTCAATATAGCAAAAAGAGGTATTTGGCTCTTCCTCATTCAAACATCGCTTGAAAGAGTAAACCTTATCTTCACATATAGTTCCAAGTTAAACTGAAGCATTTTAACATTTTAGAATTTTCAATGAGTCATGCATCATCAACACCTGAGAGAGAAGACCCGATCCTCATACATTTCTCATTGATAATGCTATAGACTAAATACTTTTTGGGCACATCAGATAATAGAGCATTATGATTAATAGTATTAAATGTTTCAACATGAAAGCCTGCAATTTAGCTCTATGATCCTCCACTGCAACATACATCTTCAATTAAATATGTTATCCTATGATAAGGATTGCAACTATTCATTTTTAACATCTTTTCAGACATTTCAAGTTTCAAAGAATAATCAGTACAGGCTCTGTTTAGATGGTATTTCTGCTGAATTAGTAGAAAGATCTCCAGAAGCCTTACACAAACCTCCCCCAGGACAGGCATATGGACTATACAGCATACGATATGTAATTTATTGTTATTGTCACTCAGATACGTGTGTAAATAAATATGTTGGTAGCTAAATAAATGTGAAAAGCAGCATTTGAATAATACAACCATTACACCTGTTCAAGCTCTCAAATATATTAAAAACATGACTGGTTTCTTGTTCTCAATTTAATACAGTATTTCTATATAACTTTTTGATTTATGTTCAAAGCTAATTTTGAGGCTTAAATAATTAAATGAAAGGCTGCCTAGATAAATTTACTGGAGAAATGCCCATCAAACGTTCCCAAAACTTGATGTGATGTTATCTTCTTTACCTTTATTTGTTTAATCAACCACCCAAAAATCAAAGACATTCGATATATGATTTAAGATGAGAAAGCATAGTATTTTCATATTTGTAAACTACAGGCAAAAGACATTTGGCATTTTTTACTAGATTTAAACAATAAATAAAGTACCAAAACAATTCTTAATTAATTTATTGTTTCCTATAGTGCCCCGGGTCTCCAAACATGGGGCTGGACACCTCCCTTGGTGGCAACAAAACGTGGTTTGGGAGCCTGAACTGGGTCAGATCGGAGTGGGGGCAAAGAAGCAAGGATACTAAGTTCAGGAGCACTCTGGAACTGCTTGGCTGTCTGAAGCCCACTGGTGTATGATACTGGAGTGTAAGGTTTAGGGACTGCAGGGGGAACAGGATTTGGAATAGGGGGGTTAGAAAATTTGGGGAGACTGGGCCGTGCAGCTAGATGGGAAGGAGGTGATACTGGAGTTGGGGCATTGAGTCGTGCTGTTGGCAAAAAAGGGGCTGGGGTTGAAGTGGGATCAGAAGAAGGAGGGGATGTCATGCCAGAATAGGTCAGACGTTCTCCAAGGGTAGTGGCTGAGCGGGGTGCAATGACCTTGGGATTCAGAGTAGGAGCTGACATAGGTGTGGGTGTTGAGAATCGCTTAACCTCAAAGACACGAGCTGTTTTGATTGGGATCTGCTTAGGTGGGGTTAATGAACTGCCCACCATTGTGTAATCCCCCTGCTGCTGCCTCTGGGCCTGGTAAGAGGGCATGGATGATAAATTAGCAGCACTTCCTCCATAGTTGAACATTGCAGAGTTGAGCTGGTAGGGCTGCCTTCTCATGAAATCCAGAGCTTTGATGCCCTCTCGTTGGGAGCCTCCTATACCCCTGCCATCAGGCTTGGTAGTATCCCTCTGAGGCCCTGTAGGGATGGAGGGGGCCAGGAGTGGGTTGTACCCAATGGGTGGGGGGGCACGGACATTAGGGGAGTATTTCCACTGAGAGGGCATGAAAGCATTTGAGGAGGAGTCAAGGGGCTGGCCTACACCGCGCATTGCTAGTTCCTGCTGGTAAGGGGTCTCAGATGGGGCCTCCACTACATACATACCCATGCGATTCTGCCTGCGGGCAAACAGTTGGGCACCTTTTCCACCTGCTTGAAGAAACTGTGGGGCATCGTGGATGACCCGAGGCTTGGGTGCAACCGGAGGAGGTGCCCTTCCCATGCTAGCCTCACCACTTCTGTCCTCCTCTACATCATCATAGATATTCTCAGACTGTGGTTGGCCATATTTGTGTAGGGTGGACCTGTCATCAAGGTTCTGCACCATACATAGTAGCTCAGGATTGGGGGACTTTTTTGTGACTTCTGGCACATTAAACATTGGTTTGGGTTTCCCAGCACGCCGCCGAGCCTCAAGTAAGATTCCTGTTTTACCTGTCTGACCAGGAACAGGGGTTTGAGCTACTGCTTCTGGCTGGGACACAACTGACACTGTAGCTGTAGGGGCTGTTGAAAACTGAAGTGGAGGTGGTATTTGAGGTTGAGGCACTGGGGCAACTATGTTGGCTGAACCAGGAATATAGGGTACAAGAGGAACAGGGGCTGGAGCCATCAGTGGTTGAGGAGCCTGTGGAAATGAAGGCATAGGCCCTGTAGGAACAGTTACAAATGGAGCCTGTTGAACTGTAGTTATTGGTGGTGATGGCTGAATTTTCTCTACTGAGGTAGAGACGGCTGGAGGGTGAAAGGAAACATAACTTTCTGGTGTTTGGGCAAAGGGACCTTGAGGTACAGAGGATGGTTTAGAGAACACTGATGGAGGAACAGGGGGTATCTGTGATGCAAATGATGTTGCATTAGAAGATAGTTCAGAGGCTGTGGAGAAAGGTGGTGGCATAACAGCTGCTGAGGCTGGACGCTGGTTTGTCTTTGTTACAGTTGGTCGGAACGTTACAGGGGCAGTTGCAGCTCTAATGCTGATAAAGCCAGGAGTGAAAGGACGCGCTGTTCTATTGAGGACATTACTTGCAGGTAGTTCTGGTAATGGTGTTTCAGCTGGTGGTGCAGGTCTGGTCAGAACAGTAACTGAGCCAGTGGGTTGTTTGGGTGCCACAGGTGGAGGTGACATCACCATGCTAGCAGTACTAACTGCAGAGTAGGAAAGATCGCCATTAGTTATTCCATGGGCTGTAACTGGGCCAGAAGTCTGAGACGGTTCTTGCTGCATTGCTGTAGGTCTGGCCGATAACATTTGTGGTGCCTGGAGGATTGGTTGCATCTGTGTTTGCATCTCTGTATGTAATTGATATAATTGAGCCTGCTCTTGGACTTGAGACTGTGGAGGAGCCTGAGGTTGTGCTGTCTCTACCTTCTTGGCATGCTCAGCAGCCCTCTTTCTCTGCTGCTCGAACAATTGAGCACCCTTGCCTGTGGTGTCACTCAAACCTGGACTTGGAGCTTCCTCTGCCCAATCTCCACGACCTTCGGTGCCTGCGGTTGCCCTCTTCTCCAGCGTATCCAAATAGTCACTATCCCATGTTGGGTCAGGAACTGATGAGAAGCCATCCTCATCAAACTCTGATTCACTGCCAGGGAATACTCCATCTTCCTCTTGTGAATCACGACAATTATCCTCATCCACACTGCCAAAGCTGGTGAGGGTGTACTTCTTGGAGCGCTGCCGCCTCTTCTTGAACATCAGAACCCCCTTGGAGTGAGGGTTAGGAGCATCAGTCAGTAAGGATGCAATTGTTCGACACCTGCTTTTGGCTTCCTTTACATGCTTGTCTTGTGGTGTATCCCCCTCGGTTCAGTTCTGCAAAGTTGAAAGCCATAGCTGTTAGTCATAGTTACACAATAGCGTAACAGTACTTCTATGTTGAGGAAGTCTGTATTAACAGATTTAACCTTTGAACCAAAAACGGTTGCTGACATAAGCTACGAAACAGGCCCTGACCAAAATTCCTTTACAAGCACTCATCTCTTAACATGTCACAGGAGCACTTTTTGGGAAATTCCAGGCAAGCCTTTAGCTTCTCATGTTAGCAGGGGTGAAGGATACATTTGCACATTGTTAGTCTTGTGTAAACTGACATCTAAGTTAACGACAAATATTTGCAAGCTATTGGAAAGTTGCATGTTGAAGGCAGGGGCTTGTCCAGATTTTTTTATTAACAGGGGTGGCCCACCTGGGGCACTGACTTATGCAGGTGTGGCATGATGTTTGTGGGCCCATATATGGAAATGAATTGAATGTTTTTAGACTTTCTAGACCCAAATTGTATGTTATACAATTTTGCAACATGTGGCATTCGCGATGCAAGTGCCGAGCTGTCATGCTTCTTGCGGCCGGCGAGCAGGGTCCCGCGAACGTTAAGTCGTTTCATACTGATTGCGGTCAGAGCGGTCTGATTACTCAACACGGCCTGAAGAAAGTACTTCCGGGCCCTGCAGCCAATCATTGCAACGCGGTCGGCATGGACCCGGCTGTTACAAAAATCTTGGAGGTGTACGGCTGGGCGCTCAGACCCTCCCTCTGTGGACCTCACGCCGACTGCGATTGTGCAATATCGCCGCGCCGACCGCAAGAAGCATGAAACCTGATTCAATGAGTCGCAATGTGCAGCACATGGTTAATTATTTGACATTGATAATGACATTATTTTTCCATGAAAACACTGTGGAAAGATTTGAACTCTGGCTAGCAAGCCAGCCTTTCTGTTAAACATGCTGTCTGATAATATTAACCGTTTGGTAGCCATAGGTAAAGGTGTTGAGAGAAATGTGTGCTAGCTTGAAGGTAACTTCATACAGCTTTCTGGTTCATTATTATTTCAGGCGACATTAAAGTGACAGCTGGTCAACAAATGTAATAAGGTAGCCCAGGGGGAATATAAACTTAATGAAAATCAGTAGGAGCAAAACATCAGGTTCATATATTGATAATGTTACATGTTTTATGATAGAAGATATGCGAAAATATTGCCATACTTAATGACTGCATTATGTTCTCTCAGACTCTTGCCCTGAGAGCTACTTTTATAGTGACTGCCCATCACATCACCCCTTAGTAGAACATGGTAAGCCCTGTTCTGCAAATTCAACCCATTTTTAAAAAGTGACTGAAGGTTGGGAGCATGGGTTTTTCATGTTTCACTGAAGCTTTATCAAAAAGTTAGAACAGAACATAGATATCGACAAGCAATTGTGTTTTTCTTAGTGTTTGCACTGCTTCTTTAGTCGGTCTGAATGCTAAAATCTTCTGTAAATTCACATTTTAAAGCTGATATTTTTTTTTTTAAATCTTCCCGGGGTGGGCATGCCCCCGGACACCCCTAGGGGGTTTGGATCCATGTCACCTTTTTCATCCCTGATGAGTTTGCACCCCTGTTATTTGTAGTTAAGTCCCACCTCTGATTAGGCAAATAGTCAATCATAGATTTGGATTTTTGGAGTGACACCTGGGGTGGCAAATCAGATTTCAAGGGGGTTCATGCCACCTCTGTACACACCCCTGGTTGAAGGTGATTGGATTAAGGAATTAAGATTAGCCACAAACATGTCCTTTAACTTGTTATTGTATTAAAAAGAGTGACCTCATAATGTTTCTCCAATATGTACTGCCCTATGAAGAAATTTCTTAATTACCTAAGGACAGGGTTTCATAGGACTTTTGAAAACTAAACCTATATTCAGTGATAGCAGAGGGGGATAGAAGAGAAAATTAACTAAAGTTCTAAAAACAGCTTTTTTTACATTAAATATTCTTTGTCCTTTTCCTTGGCTTATAAAGGAATAAGTGACTGACTGACAAGTTAAAGGAAAGAAGAGTTGGACATGGAGTTTTCTGTGATGTTGCCTCAAACATTTTTGCAAAAGTGACCTCTTTTGACAAAAAACAATGACATGACTTGTTCATTTTTCAGGTCTGTTATTTAAATAGCAAAGTGAAATACATTGAACAATGTAAATACCATCTTCCTTTTGTGACATTGTAGATAAAGAGAGATAACTTCTGCTCTTTTAGATCTGTAACATACAATGTTAACATCGAGCTTAAAGAATGATTGTTTAAGATTGTTGACTGTCAGATATGATGACTGGGAAAATTGGGATTCTTAACTTTTAGATTCAGATCTAAATTATGAAAGTAATCAAACATAATTCTTATCATGGAAACTACAGTCTCTACCTAGAGAAAAGCTATGTGTTTATATTGAGAACATATCTTCTTGTCTATAATTGCAGAGACCAGCTGTTGTTTACTCTGGTTATCCAACGATGTGCTGTAAATCAGATGACACATGTAGTACAAAAAAAACAATATTCTTGAATATATATTGAATAACAACCTAATGAAAGAAGCATACATTAGGCAAAGACCAGTGAATATTTGGAATCAGTATCTGTTATAGGGGTTCAGGTAATGACATATCTTTATATTTTTGAGTTTTTTTGAGAAGTGTTTTGTGACTCTACCAATCATTGACCTTTGTCAAATCTGTACATTAACTTTGGAGATACCATGTGATGTACAGGTGTCTGTGATTGTTTTTCCTCAACTCTACTTACTGGCTTGCTTGGCCTTTTCCATGTAGGTTGTAGTTAGCTCTTCGTCAATAGGTTTATTCACAGGACCAACCATGGGAACCAGCTGGCTTCGGGAACTTAGCATCATGGCCTCCTTGGCCCTCTCAGGGGATACCAGTGGCACGTTGGAGGGTTCTAGAAAGCCACTATCCTCTTCTTGTCCTCCATCTCGTGGCCCTTGGTCATCTGCTGAGGAAATGATGGAGGAGGTCTCAGTTGATGTCTGGGAGGACCACAATCCTGGAACAGGAGGTTGGTAAATCACCTCCCTTCTTGCCACCCCTGGCAGCCCTTCTCCTTCAACTCCATCAAGCCCTCGTCCAGCCAACAAATTTGGGTAAACATGTGCATCAGGAGCACTGTCATAACCACTCATCTCTGACGTCTCCCCGCCTTCAGTAGAGGCTCGTCCGGATGCTTTTATAGGGTAAGAGTTGCTGGGACTACGGCGTTTCTGCCGGCGCTGCCGCTCATAGCCAGCCACATCGGCATCACTGTCTGTCTCACCATAATAAGCCTCACTACCAGGAGGAGATGTCAATCCACTGGTTAAAGAGGAGCGGCTACGGTGGATCTCACGGACAGGTGCATGGTGGAGATGGGTTGGTGACATTGCTCGCAGAGCCGCTCGATACTCTTTGTCTATACGTGGAGATGGGGCACGGGTCACAAGCACCACTGACTGAAAACCGGCCGGCACCCTGCAAACAATTTAATGTTCAAAGGTTATTGATTTGAAAAAAATACCGTTTGTTATTGAATAATTTTCCAAATCCAGATTATGTCTATTCTGAGATCAAGTAGGATCTCAACATAGGCAGCAGAAACATTTGTTTGTCCTTATGATTTGTAGTCATTTTGGGAATGTACCAACTAAATTCACATTATAAATTGTGAATGTTTTGAATAAGAGTATTACTCTTGACTCTGACCTTTTGACCTTGATGTGTAATAACCCAGGGGAGCTGTCGATGAGGTCCATGGCCTGGGCATGGGATAGCGTTGCACATGGTTTTTCATTAATGGACACGAGTTCATCAGCTTCCTGTAACCCAGCCCGGCACGCCTTGCTGCGCTTACGTACCTGCAAAAGTGAGGGCAAATTATCTTCAGTATGAATCTATTCTTGAATTAATATGTTTTTAGTCCTTTTGTACCAGTACAATATAGCACTTTAATCATTCAGGAGACAACAAAGTAAATCATATGTCTAAAGTTCCCTTCTCAAGTCAAGACTCAAGACCTTGAGCGGAGTCCAAGTCCTACAAATACAAGTCTTTCATTTTAGACTGCTGACAATAAATTGGAAGAGCATAGACATTTCTATAGTGTTTTTCATATAGCCAAATCCCCTTGAAGCACAAGCCTAACAATTCTATTAGATTTAAACAGCTATGCTGAGCAGTTTGCTTCTGTTGTGATAATGTTCTATTGTTCCAGGTTTTGAATCATAAAATATCACATGTATCTATTCGCCAAGTATTTTTGTCACTGTTAGACTAGGGTTAGATGCTACTGTCTTGTCTTTGTGATAGTGACTGATAGCAAGACAATTTGGTCCTGACAGCTTGATCTCGCTGGGGACATAGGCCACATATTGCACCTTGACTGGGCCACTCACACACACTTGAACTGCAAAATGCCAGCCAGCAGCCATCTTCTTTGGTACGCTGCTATTTGTGCCCAAGGTCTGTCAGGACCATGGCGTTTTGCCCATTCTGAATTGCCTCAGGTCTATGCAAGCCATGTCAACATGTCTAAGTCATTTATTTCAGATTTTTCAAATAGGATGACTGCAGATTAAATTGTGATGGCACCACCATGTACTACGTGAATGCTTTATGTTGGATTTCAGAGATAAAGAAACATTGCTTTGGTTGACCTCATTAGTTTTCCTTTCAGCTATTCTTGTTTGCCTGTAATGAAATCCCACATCCCCATTAAGCTAAGCCTTTCAAAGTGGCTTGTGCCTGCCTGCTATCCAGGATGTCAGTTATTCATTCAGTCAGTCACCTTGTGGTCCCAAGTCATAACAGTTAGAATGCCCTTACTTGCTTCTACATATACACACCACATGGGCTAATACAAAAATACACATAAAGTCATATAAATAAACACATACATGGGCATGCAGGCCCACAGGCACAAACGCAGCACTGACACAGGCTCTCTCGGTGAGAATCCAAACTGCTCCACCTGTTGTGGACGTAGTATGAGACCTGTCAAGATTACACCTTCATACTCTCAGGGGTGAAGGAGCATGCTCTTTTGGATAGTTGGACAGAAACAGCTGCCGACCACCGCCTTAAGGTGATTTGGTGTCCCGTGGCACTGTGTACACACTACCACATTCTGCATAAGTCAACTCCATGTAGGATTAACATTTTAAAGAGCGATCATTCTTTACATGCTAACTATTGTCTGTTGGGTTTATCTTTTTCAAGAATGAGGTGATTGGCTCAGAGGTATAATCTAAAGGTGCCTCTGTGCTTTTTTCTGACCAACAAACCAAATTATCCTCTAACCCAATGAAAAGTCTTCTTTGACAAACAAAATGTATATGATAAATAAGATACATGATAAATTAAATAGTTCTTTCTGTTGAAGTAAGGAAAACGTAAAAAATAAGTTTTATAATTTTTTAAGAAAACTTATTTAGAAACATATTTAGAAAATCAGGGCTGACAAGGTTAACAAAAGCAATTTGGTTCCTCTCTAGTCTTCAGTTTGTCAAAGCTGGCTTGATGCCTGAATAGGAACAACAGATATTTAGCATTCAGAATGTTCTATGCATGTGAACCTGCAAAAAGAGTTGTTTGTTCTTCCTTGAGGTGTAAGTAGCTCATGTATAAAAATAGTGTATGAGGTACTTTTTTGAGTACTTAGCTGAAACGAACACCTTGGCTGAGCCCGTGGCCTGCTGCTTCTCAACCAAATATAGCCACTAAGGAAAGGAGTTTTGCTAATTCAACAGTTTTTTTAAATGGGTGTGCGTACGTGAATAATGTATATTTTAGTATGCGTCAAGTGTGTGCAGGTCTACTAAAACCGTCTTATGCTTATCACTCTTGAAAAGATTACATTAATAGGTTGTCTCATGTCTCTTAAAATAGGGACAAGATTGAAAGGGCAAAGAGCACAATGGATTGATCATTTTTATGAATCATGTGTTGGATTGAGATTACCTTAAATTGACTGGATAGAAAAAGCTTAAGATCAATTTGATGTCAGGAAATTTTAAAGTAATTACAATTTAGCTGTTCATGGGTCTTTTATCTCTCAGGAGTAATTCCTTTTTCTGTTTGAAAGCACTATTAGTCCTTATATCCAATACATTTCCCATTTTATTTATGCATGCATTGTTTTTGGTTTGCATGGCTGGAGTGTTTGGAGGTTGTCACTGAAATTATAATGTAATGCAAATATGCAACTTTAAATGCATGAATCAGATCATACTCATGGGTGAATGGTTAACGGTATCCACAAGCTTTTGAGACCAATGCTTATTCAATCAAATAATGACCATTGATACCAAAATACTCTCTACAATGTGCACATTACACTGCAAAATGCAAATATCAAGAACAATTTCAGAAAGTCAAGGATACTTGTCAGAAACAAACTAAGAAATCAATTAGGACCTGCTCAGGTTCTCTGATAAGTGTCTTTGTTATTTAACCATGACTTTGGGCTTCGTGCAGTTAAACAGGACAGACAGCAGTCAGTGGAAGATATGCAACAAGCTTGGCCTACATTCCCAGTTGAACTTGAAGTTTGAATTTCACCCGATCAATCATCAGTGCGCATTGCATGAAGACCATTCTTAAACAAGGAGATGACTCATATTCAGGCCCCAAACCAACTTGCATGACAGCCAATATTCCATTTCAACTTTATTCACAGCTCCTTAAATCTCCACCTAATATATCTCAGCTTAGGTTTCCCTTTTCCTCAGCGAGGCTGTTAAATCTAACACATTTTTCTGATTCGCTCTGAGCAACCTATGAATACTACTACTAAACCATTTAGTGACCTGCCTTACCTTAGCCACCTGGAGTGGTTTCTGATGTTCCACACCTCCCTGAAGACGAAAGCCCCATGGTGCTCCACCAGACAATGTAATTGTCACTTCCTCTGCAACCATTGTTCTGTTCTCTTTCCGGTTTTTTTTTGGTTTTTTTGGTTTTCTTCTTTTTCTTCTTTATTTTCCGCTTCTCTTCAGGTTTTAATATTTCTGCGGGGGGAGGGCCCTCAGTGCATTGGCCCCATCGTCTGCAGACAAGGCCCCCTTAGAGAGCTCTCACCTGCTCTTTGCCTGCCACACTGTCTGGGCACTGACTTCTCTCTGAGTCCAGCTCCAAGGCCGACACTCACACCTGAACACACACATGCAAATACACTCTAGTGTGAACCCACCCACACCCACAGAGTGGGTTAACCATCAAGGGGGAGAGTGAGGGAGAAGGAGAGAGAAATATGACTGGAGGGGGGTCTGTGTCTGCTTACACGGAGGAATGCCTGCCCCCAAATGAGCAAGGGGTGGATCCAATGCAACACTTGTCCTGTCACTCAGACCTATGTCACTGTGTTGCTGATAGCCCCTCCAAAAATAGGACACCATGGCCACCACCTCTGCTACTTTGCTCAGTCCTCTGCAGACCAAGGGAAAGTTAACATTCAGAACGTCCAAATGGCACAGTTTCATATCTGGCTTTATAGCACTGAGGTCATTGGTAACCTTTACTCTCAGATATCAGGGCTGATATTTGCAATGATAGGACATTCCACTTTCTTATTAGTGTCATTTAAATATTCTTCAAATTTACACCAAGGGGCGCAGATCAAATGAATGATGTAGATAGTGAATAGATTGACTTTGCCACTGAGGCTAATGTTTATCCTTCCAACTTCTCAGGACCATTACACATTCTGAGCTGTCATCACAGAGCCTTAGGATAAATACTTTTGTGGGCTCTGGATTAAGCTACTGCAAAGCTAAAGTGAAATGTGAAAGCTATATGTTAAAATCCCACTGTCTAGAATGAGCTAACAATTCTTTGCAAACATTTAAGGGGCCAATGCGTGATTGTATTAAAACGACTAAATTGAAGAGAAGAGGAACAAAGCTACTTTTAAAGAAGCTGTGGATTAATTTCAACACACATTTTTTCTTTATGCCCAGGAATTAGGCACAGTCAGACCCAATATTTTGACAAGCAGGTAAATAATTACTCTTTTGCATTGGCCGCTGTAAAATCTTAACAAAGACACAGCTCAGTTAGAAATAACACCTTTGGCCCAGAGCCATAAGAATGCAAACTTTTTTAATGGTAAGGTCACTATCTTAGGTTGAGCCATAGCATGCATAATTTGCAAATTATTACTTAATGGAGCAAGATGTAACATTGCACGCAGCGTTTCAAATTGGAATTCCAGTGAAGATTAAAAACATTGGAGAAAGCCGTCACCCCCCGCACCCTCCTTCCTAGAGTCGATGCGCACGCAAATTGCCATGTTGGGGACACGGAAGCTTCGTGATCAACCAGCTTTGAAACCATTCTGCACAAAAGCATCTCCAATATTTATCCTAGTTTTACCATGTTACATGTCGTGGAGTTTATTAGAAAAGGCAGAGGCTTATTAGGATTGGTAGAATCAGTTATATCTGAACCAGTTTGCTTGCCCGCTTCCATTGCTGCAAAACAAATAAACCATTCTGCACCAGAGTCAAAACTTAGGAGAAGCACATACTGGTGGCTGCATTGTTGTCGGAGAAGCCATCACTACAACATAGCATGTTTCCTTAATGTCTAATGATATAGTAAGGTAATTTTATCATTTAATTCAGTAGATATTGGACATATTGCTCCTTTAATTCAAAGTATAGGTGGGGTAGCCGGAAATGTGCAGGTCAAAATATTGAAAATACATTTGATTAGCTGATGATGCTGCGTGACCCTTAATGGATCACTTACATTGTATAGTTTCATCCTTGAGCACCTTTAATGTCTGAACAAGTTTCACAGGAATCCGCCCTAAATGTTTGGCTATCCAATCCTGGCCAAAGTGTACGAGACCTATGAAAACCACAATGGTTGTGGTACCATGGATACAGTAATGTTCAATTAGGTTGAAACTATAGAGCAATAAATTCATAGATTTTTTTAAAGTTTTATTTTGGGTCTTTTTATGCCTATATATTTAGGGATAAGACAGTGGATAGAGTCAGGAATCGGGGAGAGAGAGAGAGTGGTGATTGACATGCGGGAAGATGCCACAAGTCGGATTCAACCCCGGACCGCCTGCTCGGAGGACTATAACCTCCATACATGGCTCATGCACAACAACCATAAGCTACTGATGCCTCCAGTTCATAGATTTTGACTTTGATATAGTGTTGTCAAAACTTTTTTCAAGAATACTTTCCTTATCCCTCATTATGTCCTTTTTAGATTTGAATACTGTAGATTTGTCAGACATATGGAATGTAGGACTGAATTTCCATTGACTGTGTGTGTTAGCCAGATAACAAATAATGGGGTCAGCTACAAAAAATTGAGTTAAATGCTAGTCTAGTTAGATTAAATTTAAACAAGCAAGAAACAATGGCAATCTTCATTTTAATTGAAATGTTAAATCTGAGAAACTGGCCATTTGATTTTGAAACATTCCTTCATGATCCAGTGTGGCTGTTCTACATTTGATATTGTGTTAAGTTTTCCATCCCCTATGTACTGTTTTATTGTTCACATCTCAATTAAAACTGAAAAGTTACTTAATTTAAGTCTTATTGAACATTTTTAAACAACACTCTCACAGTCTCAGGTGACTGTAACTGTTGTCCTGTACATTTTCAGCTCTGACAACCCTTTAAACCTGTGGACAGAGGCTTGATGTTCCTTTGCCAGTGAAGCAACGCTGCCATTATCGTTGCTGCTGGAAGTTACCAATGATAGCTACTCCATTTGGCAGCTTTGCTTTGCAGCTGTCTCCAGACCTCAGGATAGTAACCAAGATCACTCTGGGTCAGACACTCAGTAAAAATGTCATCCTGTCTTCTTGGAGACACTTTGAGTTCTAACAGAAACCCACAGTTAAAGCAAGTGCTCAGTCACACTGTTACACCTCATCTGGCCCATGTGAGGTGTGTATTTTCATGGGGAAAATAGATTTTTTGACAAACATGTGGACAAACATGTACTAGTACTGTAGATCAGTTGGGCACTGCTCTCCCTAGTGGTTAAAAGAGGATTCGCTGTAGGAATCCAGGACCTTTTACCTATGCTTATTCCTGTCTGTTTTGCGCTTGAAAATATTGACGATAATATTAAAAAAAAAAAAACATATTAACTTTTATGTCTTGTTTTGTTTGTCTCACTTTTACAATCAGTCTTCAGGATGATGAGATCACAGATCATATTACTATTCAATACATCCACCCCAAAACAACTCTAGGAAGAGGTCTGCTAAGTCATGTCTTTCAAAGAAAGTAAAAAGGTCACATTATGCAGCAGCAGATGGCTGAAATGTTTTACTCTCCCCTGCGGCTCCATATGTTTTTTTTAATTCCATAGACTTCCCAATGTAATGTTGCAATAAATGAATGGAAGTGTTGTTTTGGAGAGCAGAGGAGCTTTGATGATTGTTGTTTTTACTCAGGAACTACTGGAAGTTAAGTGTTTCTTTTTTTCTGGGAGACATGGGAGAACTGTTAAGTGGCGCGGCAACTTCATCCCTCTCAAGTGTCTCTTGTTAATTAGTTTGTGTCTGCTGTTCTCTTATTTCAAGGTTTTCTCTCTCACTGTTGAATGGTGTTTTATTTTCTCTTCCTTTTTGAACATTTTAACTGTGAAGACACTTCTCTCTCTTATTTTTCCATTTAAAATTTTTTTTTGGCCAACTGTCCTTCCCAACAGTGCTTTGACAGGTTTGTTGAGAAACATCAAACACATACCCTGTGGCCTTTAACTGAGGCAACTGTTCTAGCATGGCAAACATTGCCAACAAGACTCTGCCAAACCTGCTCCCCAGCACAAATACAGTGAAATGAAACCACCATGCCCCCCACGGAGGGGAAACAATTGTGACTAAAAGGGCCAAGTTCAACTTTATCCAGATACAATTAAGAACGGGAACATGCATTCACCATGACGACATGTCTATTGACACTAATTATATCTACTTTGATAACTTACATTAAAATATTTAAAATATGTCAACAAAACTTTATAAATGATGACTACACATTTTACATTTACATTTTTTTTAGGTGTCAATGTGTATATTGTTTTACATTTCAGAATTTAAATGTTCTCAGTTGAATTCTTTAGGATTCAAAATATGTATGTTCAAATCACAATTATAAATAAAGAAAATATGCCTGTCATTTCTCCCACGGTTTTCAAACCACTGATGTGTATTGTGCTTTTAGAAAAGTCAGTGCAAAAATAGTTAATACATTCATTGAAACGTCTTTAAATTATTTGCTTTTGATATATAAGACAGGGACATTTGTATGGGACATTTGTTCAAGAAGTTGAGTTAAACAATGTAGCATTAAAGAACATATTGTACTCAATACAATACTGTACCCTTTTAGGGGCCATGTTTTTTTAAGGACCCCTGAGTGTCTCACATTTTTAAAATGTCAAGTTAAAAAGGTTGGTTTCCCCCTTCAAAGGAGACATAGTTCTGACATTTTGTAGTCTATTTTTAAACTTTGTCCTTTTCACAAGATCTCTTGTGAAAAGACTTTTCTTCACATTCCAGTAAAGGAGTGCTTTTTTAAAGTCTCACTGATCATCGGGCTCGCTTGATGTCTTTCTTAATATAAACACTTTAGATCTAAACTTTCACAAACATGAGTCTTGAGGTTTGAAAAAATAAGATCAGTGTCATTTTTTCACTCTTTAATAAAGAATGTGTTCAGCTGTTTAAGGTTGTGGTAAATCTTGACATGGTGCCTCTTGAATTAGTCACATATAAAGCACTTACTTTGAAGTATCATGCCATCAAGAACATGTCTTATTTTATATGTATTTGAGAAAAAAAGTTACTGTGCTAAATGTCCTTTCAAAGCAACTTATTTAGTTCCTCAAGCTGATTCACTGAACTCCTGACCCCAGTTTGTGACAGACTGTGCCGCATCTCTCCCAGGACTCCCCACTGTCTGCCAAGAGATGAGTCCTGTGTCATTTGCTTCTTAACAGAGAGGTGGCACTTAGCCAGGTGACCCTTATAACCTCCATGTACTGTCACCAGTGAGTCAAACACACCAACACACACACCTATGCATATGCACTTGCCAACTCAAACAAAACCACGAC